ATGAATGAAGAATCAGCAAAATTCATTTTGACAATGAGAATAGTGGGAGAGAATAATAGTTTTTTTTTGACTATATATTTGTTTTTCTTCTATACAATGAAACGGAAAATAATGTCAATCGGATATGTATCATAATCATTGAGAAAGGAAGTTTATTGTTGCAGATTTTTTTTCTTGTGACTACAAAAATCTGACAAACTTGACAGAATCGACAATTTATTTTCATTTTTTTTTTGTTTTTTTTTTTTCTGGTTCAAAGAATTTTTTTTTATTCACTAATATTTTGCCGGTTTGTACACACACACACACACACACACACACACATTGCATAAATTCAATGATGACATGAAAAAAAAATCAAATCACATCTGAAAAACAAAAATTCTCATTCAGTTTTTTTTTGGTCGAATGAAACAATGTTTTGACCATTTCCGGTATTCAAAAAATGAAAAAAAACTATGATTCAATGTTGTTGTCAATGATGGTGATGATGTTTTAATTTTCATTATGTGTCTGTGTACATAAAACGGAAATTGTTTGTTTGTTTTTTTTTTGGATGGCCAGTTGATCGTGCGTATCATCATCGTACGAAAAAAAATGAAACGATGCGTTTCATAACAAAACAACGAGAACAGACCATTGTTTTTTTGTTCGGTAATGACCAAGAGAAAAAAATTTTCGCCCATCAATTCAGAGAGGAAACAACAAATCCAATGCTCTAAATCACTGGACTTTATCGTCATTAGCTTCATAGTCGAGAATATTCGAGAAATTTTTTTTTAATTTTGACATTCATTCAAAATGGCAAGTTGTTGTTGTTGTTGTTGTTATTGTTGTTGTTGATCATTATCATTGATGGTCCAAATTCGAAATAATCATCATGTCAAATTAGTAAATCAACAGCGGAACAAAGTGGGGGGAAAAAATGAAATTTATTTTCAATTTTTTTTTAAATCATTAAAACCATTCATATGAATTTCATAATCGTCAAACAATAACACAGGCAAACAGAAAAAAAACAAAACAAAAATCGTCAAATTGATGAGGATTAACTCTCGTTTTTTTTTTGTTCACTGTTTATTTTCATTCACAACCAAAACAACAACGATAACAACAGCAACTGGTCTGTAAATGTCAAAATAGTACTGTTTTTATTATTATCTTGTGTTCATTATTATTGAACATCAAACATTGAATAATGTTTTTATGTAATCCTTGAATCCAAAAAACCATGAATACAAATTAGCTTGAAGAAGAAAAAAAAATAGATTTCATCTTTTAAATATATGTGTGTCTGTCCAGTCTATTTAAATCTTGATTTTTCCAACTTATATGGCTTCAATCATCATCATCCTAATCGATTTACGTTTCATTTCAATGGAAATGAATTTGTGATTTTTCTTTTCATTGGATTTTCCGGTATAGTTTGTTACGAATGATGATATCTAATATTTCCATCATATGATCATTCTTATGAACTTTGGATTCTACCAGTTTTTTTACATTATTGAGTGTGAATTTTTTTTTCTCATTCATTGTTATCATTATCATTTAGATTCTTTGATCATTTTTTTCGCTTCTTGTGTTTTTTTTTCATGTTCTTTTGGATATAATTTTTCAAAAAAAAAGTTGGTCGATACTATCCTATACAAGACTACGGATATTACATTTAAATGTTGGTAGTTTGTCTTGGTGCTGTCTGTGCGTTCAACAACATCAATCATTTTTGGTATGAAAAAAAAGCGTCATGCTAAAACTATGTGTGTAATAGCAATTCTTTTGGTAAAAATGTATTTTTAGTAGAGATTACATAATCGCTATGGTCTTTAAAATGGTGAAATGAATTGAAGAAGAAAATTTTTTTGAAAAAAAAACCCAAGAATTGCACAAAAAAAAATCGAATCATCATACAATTATGACGCCAATGCAACAGTTTTATTTGATCGTATCGTATCGGATGAAGGCAAAAATTATCATTTTTCATTTGGCCAAAATGATTCAAATTAATGAATTTTTTGTTGTTTCGCTCCACCCAATTGAAAATTTTAAACGAGAAAAAAAACAATAAGAAAAAAAAACGAAAGTTTTCTCATTCTATTCATTTTGGCTTGGTTTCCGTACAATTCTTCAAATTTCGGTCCAATGAATGATTTGGTATTTCTGCTGCATTCAGTTATATATTGTTATCATCATCATCATCATAGTAGTAGTAGTTGTAGTTGTAGACATCATCAATTAACCAAAAAAAAAAAAAAAAAAAAAGAAAGAAAGAAAGAGAAAATCACCATCATTCCTGAAAATGATGATGTTGTGTGGACCATGTGGATTGAAACACCCCACACGATAATGGAACATCATCATCATCATCACTGAATCATGGAATCCAAGTATATAAAAAAAAAAAATAAAATAATTGGATATGGATCACAACCACTGTAGTCACTCAGAATAGCGAAAACTCTATTATTATAACTTTATTCATATCTTTTTTTTTTTTATTCTGGCTGGCTCTTGCTTGTCTCACTACTAATGATGATTTATATATATATATTGAAAAGAAAAGTGCAAGTAGAAAAAATAAAATAATACTGATGATGATGAAAATAATACCATTATTTAAAATGGGATTAACCATCATCATCATCATCGTCGTCGTCGTCGTTGTAGTCGTTGATTTCCAAAGATTAATCCAAAGAAAATGATGTTGATGATTGTGAAGTAAAAATGCATCGAAAAAAAAAAAAGGATTTCATTCTTTTCCAATCAAATAACTGAAAAAAGGATTCGAATCAAAAAAAAAAAATATTCACACAAAAAGGTAACAATAGTGATGAATCAATAGCGATGATATACATTGTTTGAAAAAGCAAATTTTATTTTTTATTATTCATTCATTCATTCATTCATTTATTAATCAAATCCCGGGAATAATAATATTTGTAATTATGGAAAAAAAAATTATTTTGATTTTTTTTTTTTTACTAATCATCGTATCCATATCTACTGGATCCATATCCACTACCGTATCGGCTACTGGATCCATATCCACTACCGTACCGGCTACCGCTTCCATATCGACTACCGCTTCCATATCGGCTACCGCTTCCATATCCACTACCGCTACCATATCTGCTTCCATAATTTGATCCATAACCACTGTAGCCATAGCTATTATCGTCATAACTTCGTCGTGATCGATAGATATTACTAGGTGGAAAACTTTGAACAGTTTGTGTAGCCACCACCATAACGATGATACCGATGATGAAAATTAAATTGAATCGATTCATGGTTGAAATTTTTTTTTTTTTGTTGATAGTGTAGTTTATTCGATGATTTTCGATATATCAATAAAAAAATCCTATTCAAATACTTCTATTTATATGATTTTGTTTTTCATTTGGTCTGCAGAAATCATTCAGAATGAACCACTGATTAGCGCATTGACATCCTGACAAAATTAGTACAATCGATAAGATAAGTTGCAAGTGACAAATTTTATTGTTTTCCAGATTTTCAATTCTCTATTTCATTCCAAACAAAAATGATGAAAAATTTCACCGACACAAAATGATTAAGGTTTTATCGCATTTTTTTTTTGTTTTTGTTTACAGCCCAAAAAAAGATCTACCAGTGTCAATAAAATAGCCATGCAAAAAAAAAAGGAAAATTTGTCATTTCGTTGAATTTAATAATGAAGCAAAAATGTTCAAATACAACGGATTTTCAATTTCCGATCAATGAAAACATGATGATGATGATGATTTGATTTTTTTTTATAAAAAAAAAATATATTTGACAACAACAGAACAGCAGTGTAGAGTGGATTTAATTTATTGAACAAACACAAAAAAAAAAAATCAAGAACCGAAATTTTTTTTCTCTTTAATTCAAAATCAAATTGGGTAAATGAATTGGAAAATGGATGAAAATTAATATTTTTTTTTTTAAAGCATAAAACATGTAATTTAATGATGGAGAGAGAGAGATAGAAAATTTTGAATAATAATTATCTATATATGATGAAAATGATTCAATCATTGATTGATTGATTGATTGATTGATTGATTTTATCATTGTTGATGTGAATTGTTTTTTTTCCCTAATGAACAGTTATTATTATAAGGTATGAGATGAGATGAGATATAAAAAACATTGATATTTTGTTGCAAACTAAATGTGAAAAAAAAGAATGAATGAATGAATAAAAAACAATGTTTTCTTCAAGAAATAAATGTAAATTATTATGTTGTGAATTTTTTTTTTGCCAGTGACAAATTGACAAATATTTCAAATAGTGTACACATAACTATAGTATATTATAATGTATGATGATGATGATGATATTCTGTAGAACTGGCATATTTTTTTTTCTTTTTTTGGTGGGTAGGTGTGATATAGAAAATTAGAGATTCTATTTCACTATGTGATTGCATGAATCAGTGTTGTTGGTTGGTTGGTTGGTTGGTTACAAGATTTGATTTTTCTTTCACAGGATATCATTATATTCTCGTGCATGTTTGCATGTGTGTGCATTGTGTATACATTAATGAAATGAAAAGTAAAGTTCCAATACACACACACACAGAGAGAGAGAATATAGAATTAAAGAAAAAACTTTAATGTGTCACAAGCATGTTTTTTTTTTATTCTTGAATGTCTATGTCTGTACGTATTTCATTTATTAGAGAATTTTTGCTTTTTAGAATCATGTTGAAAAAAGAGAAGAAATATATATTAGATTCTAAAAAAAAAACATTGAAAACAAGTGACAGACACATTGATGTAAACATGTTCTCATTTTACCTAATAAATTATTGATCGTGATATGGTAGTTTTCTTATTTCTTCTTTGTGTGTTTGTGTCTTTATCATGACGAAAATCCAGAACCAATGTGAAAAAAAATGAAAATGTATGTGTGTGTGTGTGTGTGTGTGTGAGTATGGTTGAATTAAATGAATGAATGATTGTTGGAAACAGATTGAAATGTGAAAATCATAATAATAATAATTGCAAATGAATGTAACCAACGAATAATAATAATAATGATGATGATGAAGAAATGAAATTAATCTAATTAGTAGTTGAAAGTTGTTGCGTCACCATTCTTTGGTGATTTTGATGTTAATGTAAGCTATTGTTTTTCTTCATTTGTTGTTGTTGTTGTCGTTGCCGATGATTCGGTGGTTGTTGTTGTTGATGATACTAAAGGTGTGGCAACATTGCCATTATTCGTTGATGATGATGAACATAATTTTTTATTTGGAACATTCACATTATCATCATTTGTTGTTGCTGATGTACCATTTTCTTTATTACTATTACTATTACTACCACTGTTACCATCGATATCATCGTCACGCTAAAATTAAAAAAAATCAAATGTTAGAATATTTGTTTTTTTTTGATGCTTCACTTTTATCTCATCACTTACTTTACGTTTAATCAGATGTGTAATGTTTGTAATTGGTTTTTCCAATTTACGAAATTCTTGTGTCTTTTCACGTTCTTTTTTATCGACCATTTCCAAACGATCCATTATACGACGACCACTTTGAATCTGTTCTTTCATATCTTCAATCTTCAATTGTATCTCAGGTATCAGACTTTCTAATTGTTGTATTTCACTTTCTAATGTTGCTTTTTCAAATGTATCCATATTGGTAGTGTCTTTTTCCTTTAGATTATCGATACGTAATTTAATAACATCCAATGCACTTTGAAAACAATTATTTGATGTTTCACAATCATATGATGATGATGTTGCTACGGTTGAATTTGAATGAATTAATTTAAATGAATATGCAAGACCTAAATAATGATAGGTGACGGCAATTAAACGATCATCCGGTTTCAATACCCGACGACGATGTTCCAGACATTCATTTAACAATGCAATAGCACCATCTGGATTTTCCCAATCAATACTGATTTCGCCAAGTTTTTGTAATGCTTCAGCATAATTTAATGATGTTTCATTATTATCCAAATGTTGGCTATAAATATCTCTGGCAGTTGTTAATACTTCATATGCGATTTCAATATTGGAAGCATTATCTTCTTCTTCATCATCATTATTCGCAGTACCACCATTTGTTGCTGATGTTCCAGGAACATCAGCCGATGACGATGATGGTCCTTTCGATGTTGATGGCTGTTGTTGTTGTTCCATTAGATCAATGTCCATTTGTTTTTCATTTTCATTACTATTTGTTTCAACATTATCTTCCACTTCATCTCCATCTTCTTCATCAACTTTAGCTTTTTCTTTCTGACCATCAACATTATTTTCTCCTTCTTCTTGTTCCTCTTCATCACCTTCTTCACCGTCGCCGTCATCATCATCATCATCTTCACCACTATCTGGTTGATCTAAGAGAATTTTTTTAGGAAAAAATTAGATCAAAATTAAACAGAAATATCAAAACACACTTACTTTCAACATTGACAATACCACCATCAAGACCTTCTTCAAGACGTGACATTTCATATAATGCAATACCATAATTTAGATAGGCTTCAGCACATTCAAGTGCACGTAAACCATATAGATGGCCAAGAAATTCACATGCCGTTTCAAAACAAGGTACAGCTGAACGATAATCTGAAACGATCATATGACGTTTACCATGTTGCATCGATTGTAATGCTTCGGTTAATAATTCTTTATCACTGAAAAATAGAATGGTGAACAAAAAATTTTAGAAAAAATAGCAATCGAATCCTGTAGAATAAATACTTACGGTTCAGAAAATTTTGTCGAACTACTACTTGCAACATTGGAATCATCATGATGATTTACATTTTTTGTTGATGATGATGATGATGATGTTTTCGATTCTTCCAAATTCGATGATGATGTTGATCCAACAATATTATTTGTTGTTTCATTTGTTGTTGTTGTTGTTGTCGCTGATGATGGATTATCGGCCATGATTTGATTTCGAATTTCGAAATGATAGAACAAAATACTGATTTTTTCAAAATCAAAATGATTGAATATCCTAAGAAAAATGATTGTGATAAATAAAGATTTTTTAAAATTTACTTTAGTTGATGATTAATGATTAGAAGAAAAAAAAATGACAAAAACTTGAAATAATCGAAGAAAATGTGCCGCGGCCACACATAAAAAACAAACACAAAAGATTTTTGTCAAGCGCCAACAGGCAACACTTTTTTTTCTGTTTGTATTTGTTTGTTATAATCAAAACCACCACCACCACAACAACAACAACAACCACAGTTTGATCTAAGTATCGTCACATTAAGCGGCTTCTTAAACGAGGGAAAACATTGGTGATGATGGTCTACAAAAAAAAAAAAAAAGTATGGCAGCTGCTGCCAGATATCGTCATCGAGCACACAAGCGGTGTGTGTGAATTCTCATTGAACATTCGCAAGAATAAGTGTGTACACGGCCGGTAGAGAAAAGAATGAGAACAAAAATCTTCTTGTGCCACCATCTATTGTCGGATTCTGGAACTATAAAATTCGAATAAAATAAAATTTTTCTCTCATCATCATCATTGAAGTGTATTTGATTTTTAATGAATGGACGAGTGATTTTTTTTGTTCATATTTTTGTAAAAATGAATTTACATTTCCGGTTCATGAATGTTTGTTCGAATGTGTGTGTGTCAATACAATGGCATTTAAAAATTCTATGATTCAGAAAATTGGTTTGTTAAACATAACCAGTTTCTTTTTTGGATTTTATCCATCATTTATAGCATACAATCAATTAGAATCAATCCATCAACAAAAACGAAAAAAATGTGAATAACCCGAATGACAATTGATAAATTCATTTATTCATCCATTCATCCATCCATTTTTTTGACATTTTGATTCAATTTTTTTCATTGTTTGTTCACTGGTCAAATGGTCAATGGTATATTTTCGTGGTGGTTGTATAATAAATAACTCACACAAACATTGTTGGTTGAAAATTTCATTTCATTTACCAATTTTGTTCATTCACCACCACCATTATTACCACCATTCAATCATCAGGTTGTTAGATATGTATACACAACAACACTACCTGCATTTATAACAACAACTTGTTGGGGTTATACCCTTATCATCATCATCATCATCATCGATATCACTCACACACACACACACAATATACATGAACACAGAGTGAATTGAATGACCTGAACCGGTAACGTGAACCCTTAAATCAAATGAACGTCATCAACAATATATAATAAATAACATAAGGTAAAAAAAAACTTCTTTCTTTTTTTTTGTTGTTCAGTCCGTTTTGTTCACCAACCCAACCATTCATTCATTGTATGTCTGTGTGTGTGTGTTATATTCTTCATTGATCGATATATTGCCATTGGATTGTGGTTTTTCTTTTTCAGAACTAAAGAAAAACAACAACAACAACAATTGTTGTGTATTAGACATGTTTTTTCTGTTTGGCTATAAGATTACATCATTATTTTTGTCTTGTTACTAATCATCATTGATGATTAATCTGAAAAAAAAAAAGAAATGTTATTATTTAAATTCAAATCATCATCATTTGCATTATTCCTATTATTATTATGTTTACATCAATCATTCAATCAAAATCATAATGTTCATTGTACGGAAATATCAAATGTTGATGAAAATCATCATCAACAACAACAACAACAATTGGATACGGAAAGATCACCATCGAATGAAACGGGCTATTTTTCAGGTAAATTTTTCTGAATGAAAAAAATTCCCAAATTAATTATCATTTTGTAATTTAGATTTATGGAATACATTAACAACGGTGAATAAAACATCATCATGTCCAGGTGAATGTGTTCATGCTATAACATCAATATTTTGTGATAATGTTATTGAAGATAATGTTTCCTGTGGTGGTCATCTATCTCGTTGTTGTGTTTCGAATAGCCAATATTATCAGATATTTGGTCATTTACCTACTCAATCATCATCATCATCATCATCGGAAAATTCAGATATTTTCGAATCGAATATATCGACTGAACAATCACAACCAACAACAACTGAAACATTTAGTGTTATATCAAATAATCATCATCTAACGACAACCACGACATTGGCGCCGATGACCACAATAAATCATCAAGAACCATCATTATTCTATACAAATACAGATTATCAGCAGCAGCAGCAGCAACAACAACAGAATTCAAGTATAAAAACAAATCCATGTCCAGTACAATGTACATCAATGCATGCAAGTAATGCATTCTGTTTACGTCCATTATATGATGCTTATTGTCCAAATTCGAATAATGATGAAGAATGTTGTCTAGAAATTGAATCACCATCAACATTGGATACAATGACAAAAAATTTTATCAAATTAATACAACAAACAGTAGCTATGAATCAAACGAAAAATATTGGTGCCGAATTTCAGCAACATTCTGTCTCATCATCAACACCGTACACTATAACCACGACAACAACAACAACAACAACTCAATCATCATTACCGCAATGTGATGGAACATGTGTTGTACCATTATTTCATATGTTATGCGATGAAATTGATCATAATCAATATTGTGCACATGGTTATTGTTGTGTAAATCGTGATGAAATTATTTCTACAACAACAACAATGCCAACAATTTCACCATGTGATGGTACATGTTTACCGGTCATTCTAAGTGGAATGTGTACGAAACCATCGGAGCTAGTATTGAAAACATTAGATTGCGGTACTGGTACTATTTGTTGTGCACGTGGTAAAATTGATCAATCATTCCAATCAATTATTCCTGGTTTATCTGGTAGTAATAATAATTATCCAAATCATCATCAAATATCAATACAACAACAACCACCACGAGTACAATTACCATTAATTCCCGTAAGGAAAAATAATCATCCACCATCACCATTATCATCATCATCATCATCAACGATTCTAATGGAAACTGGTAATAATAAAGTTCATTTTCGACCACCAACAAATATTCCAGATAATTCCGGATATGTTCCAACAAATGATGATAATATTATGCAATCATCATCATCATCAATTAATGAACAACATAATTTTATTTGTCCAGGAAAATGTATAAATTCAATGTTCAAATTTACATGTTTAGGTGGTTATTCAATAAATAAACATTTTAAATGTTCTACTAAAGGACAAATATGTTGTGCTTCAAATGTTGATATTGAAAAATTGGAAATATTTCTGCATAATACAAAAATGGTCCAACAACAAGTTCCACCACTACCACAACCACCACAACAACAACAACAACAAATGTCGCAAGCATCTAAACCTAATCCAACGCTAACATCACAAATTCTACAACCATCGAATGATAATAATAATAATAATAAACCACCAGTAGCAGGAATAGTTTCGATTGCGGCACCAATAATGAAACCACCAATTATAACACATTCACCAGTACCAATCCAATCATCTAACAATGAAAATATGTTAGGTTTGTATCAATATGTTTTTTGTCAGTATCCTCCAATATAACATATGTTTTAATTAATTATAGATCTTCCACCTTTGCAACAACAACAACAACAACATCAAAACAATCATCACATGTATGTGGTATAAAAGGATCAAAACGTAGTCAACGTGTTGTTGGTGGTAGTGATTCATATCCAGGTGAATGGTGTTGGCAAATAGCATTGGTTAATCAACAGAATAAATATATTTGCGGTGGTGTATTGATTGGAAAACAATGGGCATTAACAGCGGCACATTGTGTTACAAATTACTTACGTAAAAATGAAGCTATTTTTATTCGTGCTGGTGAATATGATCTTACACGTAATAATCGTTTTGGACAAATGCAAAAAGTACAGACAATTTATGTACATCATAATCATAATAGTCAATCATTGGATAATGGTAATCAATCAATCTATTATGGATTTATCAATCAATCATTTGAAAATTATTTTATATTTTTTCTACCTAATAGATATTGCTCTAATGAAACTTTTATCACCAATCGAATTGAATCCAAACACATGTTTAGTATGTTTACCTACATGGAATACGAATCGTTCATCATCATCATTATCACGAGATAAACAATGTACGGTTACTGGTTATGGATTTCAACATGAATGTAAGTGATATTAATTCCACTTTTTTTTGGTTAAATTGTAATCAATTCGTTTTTTGTTTCAGCTGGACCAATTGCATTAAGAATACGTGAAGCATTAATACCTATCGTTGATGATCAACAATGTATAATGAAAATTAATTCCGTTACGGAAAAACAATTTATATTACCGGCAAGTAGTTTCTGTGCCGGTGGCCATGGTGGCAATGATGCCTGTCAAGGTGATGGTGGTTCTGGTTTAGTTTGTCATACAATAGATGGTTATTATGAACTTACTGGTTTAGTTTCATGGGGTTTTGGTTGTGGCCGTAATGGTGTACCGGGCGTTTATGTAAAAATATTGGCATTTATCGGTTGGATTAATCAAATTGTTAGTACAAATGCATAAGTTGGTAAGAGAGGGTTATATAATATTCATCTCATCTCATTTTATTTCATTTGTGTCATAAAACATATTCAACATACATACAACATATATTAATTTCATTTGTAAAATTTACATTTTATTTCATTTTTGCTTGACCACACTTCATATTGATGATAATTCTTTTTTTTAAAAAAATAAATATTCAGGATTGGAAATGATATAGAAAAAAAAATTAAATCTTTATAGTATGACGAAAATCAATTATAAATGGATAATTTTCATCGAAAATTGTTGTTGATAATAAACGACGTTGTTGTTGCCGCTGCTGTTGCCGCTGTTGTTGTTGTTGTTGTTGTTGTCGTTGATAATCATGATGATGATGCCAATACCATAAACGAATATAAATGACAATCAAAATATTAACTGTAATTAATAGAATTAGAAATATTGAAGTTTCCAAACAATTTTCTCGGCTTTGTCCAAACCACAGTAATGGATCATGTATCATATGTATGATGGCGATCATTAATGTCATTATTATGAATGATGAATATATTATTGTTAATAAAATACGTTCACCAATCACGCCGATTATGCCGATTATTGATATTATCGATGTAAATATTATAAAACTAATCGTCAATAATAACATTGAATCCTATGAATATTCAAACATAATTATCATTAGAATGATGAAAAAACAAACTGGAATTTTTTTTTTTTTTCGTTCATTACAAACCTTCATTTCCTGTAATTTTAATTCATCATCGTCATTTTTATTATCATCATTTTGTCGCTGTTGTTCATATTCATAATGAACAATAATTTCATCGATAACAATGATCGGTATGAATGAACGTAAAATGATCGATAGCCAACAACCAAATATTAATAATGATAATATTGTTCGAATTGATTGATAAAATTGTAATGATTTTAATAACATTTTTCCATTTTTTTCCGTTTTTGTTGATATCGATATGTTTCTACTGAATTCATCAAGAATCCTTGATGATTATGAAACTCATGTAAACATCTCTATAAATCGCTCTGTATGCGCATCTATTTTCACATATTTCAAGGACAATTATATAGAATTTGACATTGAAATATATTCGTGTGTGTGTGTGTGTATGAGTATTCAGATATCTTCTGGTTATTTTATTTCGGTTATCATTATTTGAAAGCATCAAAAACAATAGACAACAAGTCATTCATTTTAAAATGAAATTTTTCAATAAAAACAGAAAAAAAAATTTCCAATTTCATGTTTTCGGTTTTTTGTTTCATTTAGATTTTCGAATGAATCAATCGAACCACCTGATAGGTTTGAAATGTACGAATTGTAGACCAAACAAATGCATCGCTTGTACCGACAATATTTGCACACATTATAGCAGCATTGTCAGCACCGATTACGGTTCCAGTACTCATACCCGATGGTATACGTAATGAAGACCAAATATCGGCTTGTAATATTGAAACATCTGTTGTGGGTGGTGTGCTAATCACTGTTTATTTAGCAATGGGAAAAATACAAAACAAAACAAAAACATTTGAATCATAAATATAAACTTGGAAAATCATTACAAATCATTACCTGGAATTGGAAGATTAGCTGCCAATACCGGACCAAGACCATTACTCATACCGGCAATAGCAACAACAACTTTACAAGATGGCCATTGTTGAATTTTGGCTGCCATTTCCAATGTTTTCTGTGTGGATTTATGTGCCGATGCAACATGTACATCAACAACATAGATTTTATATCGATTCATCAATGTATCTTTAATTTTCATTGCATATTCTTTATCGGATGGTGATCCAACAACAATAGCAACAGTTGGTGCTACAACACCTTCAATTTTTGACATATCCGGTTTTGTAGGTATCAATGAATTGAATAATTTTTGTGTACGTTCGGCAACAATTTCAAAATTAGCTTTCACTAAATTCAATGCATCTTCATCGATCTTTGAATTGTCCATGTTACGATAAACTTGTTTGTCTAACATTAAACGTTTTTCACCATTTGGCCATAAACGCCATGAATCATTATCGATTACATCAGCAACGACAATCTGTTTGATACCATTCTCTTCATATACACCAAATTCAATTTTCATATCAATCAATGAATGATTAACCGTTTGCCAAGCTATTCATAAATATCATCATCAAATTAATTTAAATTCAATTCGAAAAAAAAGAAACAAAATTATCTAACCTCGTTCAAGTACTTCGAAAACTAAATTCGTTACACGATACATTTCCTGGACATGGTCAGCGGTAATAATCATATCACCAATATTTAATTTTGCACCAATCAATGTTTCTTCCGACCAGAATGGATCATGATTAGCATCATCTTTGTAAAATGTTTCCAATTTTAATGGTGCAAATCGATAACCTTCTGGAACATGTGGATGTCTACGAAGAAATGAACCGGTTGCAATACGACGACAAACCCATTCAATCGGTATCATTGAACAACGTTTAGCAATAAATGAACGTTTTGAATCGGGATTTGATTCCGCAACTCTTGATACAAAATGTGTACGTATACCGATGGCATTTAAATATTCAAATATAGCACAATTAGTTTGTGTAGAAAGAATTGATTTTCCAACTAATGTATGTGATTTTGCACCATCACCTGCAGTGATACGATCCTTGCTCAATATATAAACGTGATTACGATGTTTTGCGTTGGATGATTTAAATGAATAAACTTGTTTTGTTTTACCTTCGATCAAAATATCGCCAATATCAGATTTACTAATTTCTGTTTGTAAAAGAAGAAGAAAAATTTTTTTTATTATTATTTAGACTTGAATCTCGAATGTTTCATCATCATCATCATCATCATTTTTTTTTTTTTTTGATCATTGATCAATTTGATTTAAGTACATTTATTGTTACGAAATTTGAATTAATTAACTCACCCATTTTTTCTATGTTTTTTTTTTATTTAGATGAAAAAAAATATATTCAGATTCCTGCAAGGAAGAACAAATTATCAAGGTTATCAAGTTTTTTTTTCTTCAAAAATTTAAAATGGACACACACACACACACAGAGACAAACACACGAAGAGACAGTGTCGATTGAATGATGATCGATACCAAAAATAAATCTTCGATTAAATAGTTTTGGCAATGTTTTTTTTTGCAATTATATATGATGATGATGAATGCTGATGGTAGTGGTGTATGACCAAGTTGGAATTTTTTTTTATTTATTTACCATAAGAAAAACAAACAAACAAAATGAACGTATACGCGTTTTATCGATATGCGACAGAAAATGATGGCAAGAAAAAATCATTGATTCAGATTCAGATTAATCGAAGATAAAATCGTCTTCGCGAAAAGCGGACAATACAAATCCCTCCAATGTTCATTGATTGTATCATCATCATCATCATCACCAAACATCATAAGTTTTATTCAGATCAGGCCATAATTTTTTTTTTTGTACGTATGATTCCAGTGATTGGAGAAATTCTTTTTTCTCTGTTTTTCATTCATTAGTTAGATCATTTAATATTCTTAATCGTACTACTACTACTACTACTAATACTATTTTTGGAATTTATTCAAATGAAAAAAAAGCAAAAAAACAAAACAAACAACACTAATCAATCATCAATATCATTGAATATCTGATGTTGCCAATCATGAGAGAATGAGATCAAAGTTCATGAAAATACCATCATCAAATAAACAGTGATTGATTGAGTGAGTGAGTGAGTGAGAGAGAGATAAAATAAGCGAATTTCCGATCACATCATTATAATTATCATTTTTTTTTGATTTTTTGATTTTATGGTTTAATGATACGATTTTTTTTGTCTGGTAGTCCAAACCATAATGATAATATAAATCGAGATTGTTCTGGAAAAATTAAAAGTTAAATCTGTGAAAAATTTTTTTAAGAATTTTGTCAAATTTTTTTTTCTGCAAATCCGAATCAAACATTATAAACATCTTTTTGAATCGAACAAGTCAGTTTTGATATGTCGTAAAAAACATACATATATACAATACACACAACGTGATATTGAGGACAATCACCTTTTTGTGGATTTTCAATCATTTTTTTTGTTGTTGTTGTTGTTGTTTTGTTTCATATATGTAATTATTATACGATGATGTTTCAGCTAGATTCATCAATAATGAATTGTATTCAATGGCGGCGAGGTGGGGAGGGGGGAAGAAGAGAAAATTTTGTAGAAAGATGATAGAGAAACATGAAAATAAAATACAAGAGCTAATAATGATTATCATCAAGTGAATAAGCGATCCATTTGGAACGAATTAGTGCGTGTGTTTATGTGAAATCAGGATACTCTTATTTTTGTTGATTTGATTGATTCAAAAAATAAAAACATGCTACACATATAAAAAATATATATTACAAGGCTACAAGGTCGACAAATTTTTTCTTTTTCATTTTTGTTTTCATTTTTTGATTATCCAATATCAACGACAACAACAACAACAACAACAACAACACAAACACTGTATATATGAAAGGATACAGTATTTTTTCTAGATTAATCAACACAAAAATCACATTTGTTGAAGAAAAATAAAATGTTGAAATTGATGTTATTTTCGAAGAAAAAAGATAATTATTTTCAAAAGAAAATAGAGAACATTTCCATTATCATCAATATTTATTTGACCATCAATTTATTATGATAATGTTTTTTTTTCTCTCGTATCCAAGAGAGAGAGAGAGGGGCGGAAAATTCGACCGTTCAACACAAAATCAATGAAAAAAAAAAAAAATAGAAAAAGATTACCATTATCATATCCACATTTTGTATTTTTTTAATTTTTTTTCTGGGGAAAAAAAATGTTTTTTGAAGTTTGTGATTAAACACAGAAAAAAAAATTTATTTGTCGATGATGGAATAATGAAGAGACATTGAATTTGTTCGTTTGTTTGTTGTCGTTGTTCACAAATTTTTGAACATTTTTTTTGGTTATATTTCCATATGGTTGATTTATGGGGTTTTTCTATCGACGAAACCATCGCCAATCAATAATAATTATCGGACAAAATGTTCAAAATGGCCGAAATAATTGGATTGATAAGAAAATTACCAAAACTATTCTTTATTATGATATTTCGTGATCTCGTGTAAGTTTTTTTTTTTTTTTGCTGATTCCTGTGTGTTTTTATTGTTTTTTTTTTTGTTGAAATTTAATTCCATTGTGTTTGTGTGTTATTTTAGGTGTGCAATATTATTTTTCACATTTCAAATACGTATTCGATGGATCATACGTAGAAATCGTGTTTTGGTCAAATATTTTGATTATAATGTTCGCCGTCATCCAAACAAAACGGCCATCAATTATAATGGTGAATGTTTTACATTTCAAAATGTTTATGATCTTGCACAGAAAATATCCAATTGGATCGAAGAATCATTACAACTTGGCCATGATGATGAATGGGAACGATGTAATAGTCCTAAACAAACCGGTGATGATGATTTTCCATTGAATCGTGAAGCGAAAATTTATCGAAAATTCGAAAATAATGCACGTTGTACACAGATTGGTCTTATGTTTGGTAATATACCGGAATTGGCAAGTTTCATAATCGGTATTGCACGTGTTCGTTGTTCAGCTGTATTGTTCAACACAAATAATCGTCGTGATCTATTATTGAATGCATTTCATGCAACAAATTGTAAAGTGTTTATTTTTGAATCAAAATTTCTTTCAGCTATACAAGAAATAGCTCCACAACTGCCCGATATTCGATTTTTTATGTATGATCGAAATGAATCGAAAAATATTCTTATTGATCCCCATTATAATGGTATAAGTCGTCAGGATTTAGAATCCAAATATGAAGATCCAAAATGTCAAAAATTTGCTGCCATCTTGAATGCTTATCCAATAACAATGGTTAAAAAAAATTATCCATATAAAATGTCCGATATGATACAATTTATGTTCACATCCGGTACAACCGGTGGTAATATTAAATGTGTACCTGTGGACAATATACGTTATATTGGTGGAAATCTTTCACATGAATTAGTATTCGGTTTTCGTCATTCGGATCATTTTTATGTTTGTCTACCTTGTTATCATGCATTTGCCGGTGTTATTGGCTTGAGTACGATATTCATCACTGGTAATACGATTACATTGGCTGATAAATTTTCAGCATCAAAATTTTGGAATGATTGTCGTATAAATCAATGTACAGTAAGTATATTTATCTATTCATTATCATAATCAGCATTTAACCAATAAAATTTTTCAATTTTATTTAATTATTATTGATTAGATTGCGTTATATATTGGTGAAATATGTCGATATCTTCTAGCACAACCGGAACATTCGGATGATCAACGCCATTCATTACGAATGATGTTTGGTCTTGGCCTAAATAAAGAACATTGGATTAAAATACGTAAACGTTTTAATATACCAAAAATTGCTGAATATTATGGATCAAGTGAAGGAAATATTCTTATTGGTATGATGATGATGATGATGATTTGAAATCAAAAAATTCGAAAAAAAAATTTTCTTCATTTTTTCAAAAAGCCAATCATCAAAACGTACCTGGTTCATGTGGTTTCATTCCATATTATTATGGTCCATTACTTTATACATTGTGGCCATGTCATATAATTAAAGTGGATCCAATTACATTGGAATTGGTTCGTGATTCAAAAACCGGTCTATGCAAAATGGCACGTAATGGTGATCTAGGTATGATGGTCGGTGAAATACGTAAAGGACAAATTTTCACCGAATATCTTGGATATACATCTGCGAAAGAATCTACTAAAAAATTAATACGAAATGTTCGACAACATGGTGATTTTGTTTTCATTTCTGGTGATCTAATGGAAATGGATTTTTATGGTAATCTTTATTTTAAAGATCGTACCGGTGATACATATCGTTGGAAAGGTGAAAATGTTTCCACAACGGAAATTGAATCAATTATAACACAATTTATTAATCATCAAGATTGTATTGTTTATGGTGTCATTGTTCCTGGTCATGAAGGCCGATGTGGAATGTTAGCAATCAATAGTAATAATAATGAAAATAATAATCATCAGATTAATCTAGATTCTTTATATGAATTTATGAAAAATCGTATACCCGAATATGCTATACCAAAATTCATACGATTCACACGAAAAATTCAATTGACTAGTACACAAAAATATATTAAATATCCATTACGTGAACAAGGTATCGATCTAAATCGATTAACTGATGATGATCAAATATATTATTTTGATCGTATCAAAGAAAAATATCATCCAATGAATCATGACATCTATGATAAAATAATCAATGGTTTCATACAATTCTAAATGAATGAATGAATTTGATTATTTCGAAAACAAGAAAAATTTATCATTTCATCATCATCATCATCATTATCATAAACATTGAATTATTGATTGAGATTTTAATTCATCAATAAATCATTTCAAACATCAAAATACTTCAACAAAAAACCATTTTTTTTGATTTCTTCCTCCACACCCATACAACAACAACTCGGTGACATTTGACATTTTCCTTTTCGATTCATATTTTATTCTATTAAATTATAATTTCCAGATTTTTTTATCTGTAGAAAAAATACCAAATGACATTATTTGAATAATAAAATGAAAAAAAAATTAATTGGTAAAAAATCTTCGAATCTTATCATTGAAATTATCGATTTGTTTCATTTTGGATGATGATCTGATTTTTTTCAATCTTTTTTTTCAATATAAAAAAAATTATCAGAAATAGCTGTTTTGCATGTCAAAATGGCAACAAAAAAAAAATTAATGAGAACACAAAAAACACACATTGTTCCAGCGATAATATGTGGAATGAAACAAGAAACAAATATTCATTTTTTTTTTGAACGATAAATGAATGTTTTTACATTATTTTAGGATAAAAATTTACCCAAAAATAAAGACAATTTTGCGAAAAAAAACAAAAAAAATTGATTATAAATTGGAATTTTTCCCTTCGCCAAAATTTGTCATTAATTTCATTTCACTGTATCATCATATAACATTCCGAACGACAATTAATATTTATTTATTGAAAAATTATGGAACAAATACGTGAACAAATTAAATATTTTTTCTCACTTGTTTATTTAACGTTTGTTCGTGATTTAAGGTATGTCTGTCTGTGTTTTTTTTTTTTGTCGGTTATGAAATTTATATTAAGTAATTTTTCTTTACCATTAAAAAAATCCTTTTTTTATAGGTTTTTTGCAGTGATTATTAGAGTTTTACTTCGTCTGAAATGGAGTAATCAAGCGGTGGTCACTTGTTTCGATAAGGCTTGTCGTAAAAATCCTATGCGTACGGCAATCATTTATCAAGGACGTGATTATTCATTTCAAGAGATTGAAAATTTAGCTAATAAAATATCCAATTGGTTTGAACAATGTCTTCAATTAGGTTGTGATGATGAATATGAAAAACAACAGCAAATCAAACAACGTGAAGAAGAAATGCAGCAACAACAAGGACAAGAGAATGAGAATTTATCACCAAATGTTATGAATTTAATTCGTCGACATCAAAATTCGATTAAAATTGGTCTAATGTTTGGTAATGTACCAGAATTTGCTAGTTTTCTGATCGGTATTGGCCGTGTAAGATGCGCATCTGTTCTATTCAATTTTAATCATCGAAGTGATCTGCTTGTCAATGCATTTGAAGCATCAAATTGTAAAATATTTATTTTTGAATCCAAATATTTATCCGCAATAAAAGAGATTGCAACACGGCTACCAGATGGCATTCGTTTCATAATGTATGATCGTAATATCATCAATCAAAATAATGATGGTACGACTTCATCAAAACATGGACTAAATCTTGATTACAAAGGATTTACTCGTGAAGATCTTATCAATGATAATATTGTTGAAGCGGATGAAAAATTTTCCCAGTTACTCGATTCATATCCGGTTACTAGTGTTCGAAAGAATTACCCATATAAAATTAATGATATTTTTTCCTATATATTTACATCTGGTACAACTGGTGGTAAAATTAAAGCTGCAGCAGTGAATAATTATCGATTCTTGGGTATCAATTATTTGATGGATTTGTCATTTGGTTTGAAAATCAGTGATAATTTTTATGTTTGTGTGCCAATATATCATGGAATGGGTGCTGGTATGGGCATTGGTTCAACATTAGTAAATGGTAATATAACAACATTGGTGGAAAAATTTTCGGCATCAAAATTTTGGAAAGATTGTTATGAAAATAAATGTACAGTAAGTGTATTCTTTATACTGTAAAATGATTGTTGTACATGGATTAAGTAAAATTTTCTCTCAATTTTTTTAGGCTGCTCTCTATATTGGTGAATTATGTCGAATATTATTAGCACGACCACCGGGTGAATATGATCGTAAACATATGGTTAAAAAATTTATTGGTGTCAGTATGAATAAAAAGATTTGGACCAAATTTATTGAACGATTCGGGATTCAAGATGTTCATGAATATTATGGTTCTACTGAAGGAAATGCCATTCTTTGTAAGTAACAATTTTTGTTGTTGTTCATATGAGATTTTGATTTATATTTTTTTTTTAAAGTTAATCTAATGCAAGTACCTGGAGCATGTGGATTTTTACCATATTATTATGAAAAAATTATGCGTCTATTTTATCCGATACAATTTTTAAAAGTTGATCCAGATACCAAAGAATTAGTACGTGATCAAAATGGATTATGTATAACGGCTAAACCTGGTGAAACAGGAATGTTGGTTGGTGTTATACGACAAAATGTTCAAAGTTCCCATTTTCTTGGCTATTCATCTGTGAAAGAATCATCGAAAAAATTAATAAAAAACGTACGACAAAATGGTGATTATGCATTTGTTTCTGGTGACTTATTGGAAATGGATTGGGATGGTAATCTGTATTTCAAAGATCGTACTGGTGATACTTTTCGTTGGAAAGGTGAAAATGTATCGACAACAGAAGTCGAAACGATTATTTCACAATTTATTGATCATAAAGATTGTGTTGTATATGGTGTAGCCCTACCCGGTTATCCAGGTCGTTGTGGTATGGTATCATTAACTGATCGTAATCTGGATCTCGAAAAATTTTATGATTGGATGAAAACACGTGCTCCTCAATATGCTATACCGAAATTTATACGATTCGTTGATCAAATCGAAACAACAACTACACATAAATATATTAAATATTCATTGCGTAATGATGGTATCGATCTTGATCGATTGAAATCAAATGAACAAATCTATTATTTTGACCGTGATAATCAACGTTATCAATTGATGGATAAAGATGCTTATGAAAAAATTATTAATGGTACGATACGGTTTTAGATGAAGGAATGAATTTGATTATTTCGAAAACATGAAAAATTTATCATTTCATCATCATTATCATAAACATTGAATTATTAACTTCGATCACAATTTATCATAAATCATTTCAAACATCAAAGACCATCTGTACTCCAATAAAAACCCATTTTTTATTTCTTCCTCCACACCCATACACATTTGACATTTTTCCTTTTGATTCATATTTTATTCTATTAAATTATAACTTTCAGACTTTTTTATCTGTAGAAAAATACCCAATGACATTATTTGAATAATAAAATGAAAAAACAATTTAATTTGAAAAAAATCTTCGTATCTTTATCATTGAAATTATCGATTTGTTTCATTTTAGATGATCTGATTTTTTCAATCTTTTTTTCGATATAAAAAAACATTATCAGAAATAGCTGATTTAAATATCGACAAGCATCATAATGAATTAGTTATCAAAATCATCAACATCCAATTGCCAAAGCAAAAAAAAAAATTTTAATGAGAACACAAAAAATACATATTGTTCCGGTGATAATATGTCGAATAAAATAAGGAACAAAGATTCCTTTTTTTGAACGATAAATGTATGTTCATACATTATTTTTATTTTAGGGTACAAATTTACCCAAAAATAAAGACAGTCTTGCGAAAAAAAGCAAAAAAATTGATTATAAATATAAGCAAATTGGAATTTTTCCCTTTGCCAAAATTTGTCATTAATTTAATTCATTTCACTGTATCATCATATAACATTCCGAACGAAAATTCATGTTCATTTATTGAAAAATTATGAAACAAATACTTGAACAAATTAAATATTTTTTCTCACTTGTTTATTTAACGTTTGTTCGTGATTTAAGGTATGTTTGTCTATGTTTTTTTTTCTCGGTTATGTTAAATAATTTTTCTGGACCATTAAAAAAATCTTTTTTTTTATAGGGCTCTTGTAATTCTTATTAGAATTTTATTTCGTCTGAAATGGATGACATGGACTAACCAAACGGTGGTCACTTGTTTTGATAATGTTTGCCGTCAAAATCCTACGCGTACGGCAATCATTTATCAAGGACGTGGTTATTCATTTCAAGAGATTGAAAATTTAGCCAATAAAATATCCAATTGGTTTGAACAATGTCTTCAATTAGGTTGTGATGATGAATATGAAAAACAACAACAAATCAAACAAAGTGAAGAAGAAATGCAGCAACAACAAGGACAAGAGAATGAGAATTTATCACCAAATGTTATGAATTTAATTCGTCGACATCGAAATTCGATTAAAATTGGTCTAATGTTTAGTAATGTACCAGAATTTGCTAGTTTTTTGATCGGTATTGGCCGTGTACGATGTGCATCTGTTCTATTCAATTTTAATCATCGAAGTGATCTGCTTGTCAATGCATTTGAAGCATCAAATTGTAAAATATTTATTTTTGAATCCAAATATTTACCCGCATTAAAAGAGATTGCAACAAGGCTACCAGATGGCATTCGTTTTATAATGTATGATCGTAATATCATCAATCAAAATAATGATGATGGTACGACTTCATCAAAACATGGACTAAATCTTGATTACAAAGGATTTACACGTGAAGATCTTATCAATGATAATATCGTTGAAGCGGATGAAAAATTTTCCCAGTTACTCGATTCATATCCGGTTACTAGTGTACGAAAGAATTACCCATATAAAATGAGTGATATATTTTCATATATATTTACATCTGGTACAACTGGTGGTAAAATTAAAGCTGCAGCAATGAATAATTATCGATTCTTGGCTATCGATTATTTGTTGGCTATACCATTTGGTTTGAAAACCAGTGATAATATTTATGTTTGTGTACCAACATATCATGGACTGGGTGGTGTTATGGGTATTGGTTCAACATTAGTAAATGGTAATACAACAACATTGGTAGAAAAATTTTCGGCATCAAAATTTTGGAAAGATTGTTATGAAAATAAATGTACAGTAAGTGTATTCTTTATGCTGTAAAATGAATTAAGTAAAATTTTCTCTTATTTTTTTAGGCCGTCATCTACATTGGTGAATTATGTCGAATATTATTAGCACGACCACCGGGTGAATATGATCGTAAACATATGGTTAAAAAATTTATGGGTGTCGGTATGAATGGTACAGTTTGGACAAAATTTGTTGAACGATTTGGTATTCAAGATATTTATGAATATTATGGTTCTACCGAAGGAAATACCGCTCTTTGTAAGTAACAATTTTTTTGTTGTTGTTCATATGAGATTTTGATTCATTTTTTTAAAGTTAATCTAATGCAAGTACCTGGAGCATGTGGATTTTTACCATATTATTATGGTAAAATTATGCGTCTATTTTATCCGATACATTTTTTAAAAGTTGATCCAGATACTAAAGAATTAGTACGTGATCAAAATGGATTATGTATAACGGCTAAACCTGGTGAAACAGGAATGTTGGTTGGTGTTATACGACAAAATGTTCAAAGTTCCCATTTTCTTGGCTATTCATCTGTGAAAGAATCATCGAAAAAATTAATAAAAAACGTACGACAAAATGGTGATTATGCATTTGTTTCTGGTGACTTATTGGAAATGGATTGGGATGGTAATCTGTATTTCAAAGATCGTACTGGTGATACTTTTCGTTGGAAAGGTGAAAATGTATCGACAACAGAAATCGAAACAATTATTTCACAATTTATTGATCATAAAGATTGTGTTGTATATGGTGTAGCCATACCCGGTTATGCAGGCCGCTGTGGTATGGCAGCATTAACTGATCGTAATCTGGATCTCGAAAAATTATATAATTGGATAAAAACACGTGCACCTGAATATGCTATACCGAAATTTATACGATTTGTTGATCAAATCGAAACAACAACTACACATAAATATATTAAATATTCATTACGTAATGATGGTATCGATCTTGATCGATTGAAACCAAATGAACAAATCTATTATTTTGACCGCGATAATCAACGTTATCAATTGATGGATAAAAATGTTTATGAAAAAATTATTAATGGTACTATACGATTTTAAAATGATCCGAAGGAAAAAATTTCCATTAAATGTTTACCATTTGTTTATGATAACAATAATCATTGGTTCGGAAAAACAATAATGTTTATATTAATTTTTACAATTTTACGAACATGTATTCATTCAATCAATTAGTTATTTACAAAATTCAATGATAATTTTTTTTCCAACTCCATTCATGTCTAATTTTTTTTCTCTTTCTTTCTTTTTTTTGGTAAAATGTTAATGATGATGTTCATCATCATCGTATTATAATTGCCCATGGCAATCCGTTGTATCCGATACGAATATTTTTCTTTATTATCCGGGAAAAAAAACATCAAACAACAACAACATCACATAAACTAGAAGCAAGTTCAAATATTTTTTTTTCTACTTGTGTTCTTTATTTGAGAGACAACACACACACATGATTTAATTTTTTGTTGCCCAAATGACCATGTGTAAAGATTTTTGTTCCATCTTATTTTTTTTCGTTTCCTAAGCTGATTATACATGTGTGTGTTGTGCTCACACAGAGAGAGAAAGAGAAAGAGAGCTTGATTTGACCGTCGCCCCTTGACTTCCTTTCTTCTTCTTCTTTCGTGATCCGTTTTTTTTCTAATCGATCTATCGATTTATCAATCGGATCTTGGATACTTTCGTTGCTTATCTCTATCTGTATGTGTGTGTGTGTTTGTGTTTGTGTGGACAATCGATCATAAAAAATTTAATCATCGTCTTTGATTATTTCCGTTATCATTCTTCAAAGAAACACAAAAAAGACAAATATTCATTTCATCTTGTTATCCAATGCTAGTCATCAACCTAAACCTAAATTATTTTATCATCAGCAAAAAAAAAAAAAAAAAATTTCCTCTTGTTCCATTTCTCAAATGTTCACATGGTTGATAATGATTCCAATTAATGATTCGATTCAATTTCAATTGATTGATTGAAAATAGGTTGAAAATAAACCATGTTTTTCTGTAATCATTTTTGTGATAAAACAATTCAATGAATTAAATTCTCAATTGATTTGTTAACATTTGTGTGTCCCAATTTTTTTTTTTTTTTTTGTTCTCTTGAAAAACAAATTTTTATCACATGATTCGATAAAAATGATGATGATAATGATTGATTTTCTTTTTCGTTTTTATTACCATGAAAATGAAATAAAAATATGAATTTCATATATTTTTTTTTTACCTGGTTCAGTGATTGTTTTCCTATTTTCGTTTCATTTTTTTTAAAAATTTTCCTTTTCAACCATATATTTTTTATTATTAAAATTGAATTTACATACAATAATTATAGCCAATTTTCATTTAAATTTTTTTTGTTTTGTTCATCATTTATTTCCTCAAAAAATATGCGAACAACAAATAATCACAGTAAAAAAAAAACAAGAATGTGGTGATCAAAACATCCTTTAACTGTGAAATCAAATGTATTTTTATAAGTTGTGTAATTGACGTATTCAATGACGTTATTCATTTTTGATAACCAAAAATAAAAATAAAACAACAACAACAAAAATTCTTCAAGTGGAAATCCCAAATTTTATTTATTGTTCAAATCTCATCACCTCAACCCATATTCGTTGTTAATTATTTCGCCATTCGACAACATAAAAATGTCATTCATTATAGCTGAAATGATACGAAAATGGAGCAAATTATTCTATGTAATGTTAACAAGAGATGTTCGGTATGTGCAAATATTGAAAATTCTTGTATTTAATTTTTGTTTTACATACACACTAGATCCATATTCTTGTTATTTACATTTCAAATCAAAATGTTTTGGTATAAACGCAAAAATCGTATTATGTTACATTTTTTCGATGAAAATGTACGAAAATTTCCAAATAAAACGGCTATCATTTATAATGGTGAACATTATACATTTGAATATGTTTCCAATCTTGCTAATCGTATATCGAATTGGATTGAATCAACATTAAAGTTTGGTCATGATGATCAATGGGAATCATTAAATCAGGTTTCGGTGATTGGTAACAATGACAATGATAATGTTAATAAAAAAGAAACTATGATTGAATCAAAAATCTATCAAAAATTTGATGATAATTTACAAACAACTCAGATCGGTCTAATGCTTGGTAATATACCGGAAATAGCCAGTTTTATTATTGGCATATCAAGAGTACGTTGTTCGGCCGTTATGTTCAATACAAATCATCGTTTGGATACATTGATCAATGCATTCAATGCAACGAATTGTCGAATATTCATTTTTGAACGGAAATATTTTGATACCATTAAAGATGTTGCTGAACAATTACCGGATATAAAATTTTTTATGTATGATCGTGATGCCATTAAACAAAAACAATCGCCAACAGAATTACTTTCAATTGATTTCAATTATAATGGCATTAGCCGGGATGATCTCATGATGATCAATAATAATGATGATGATGATGATAATGCTGATTCAATCATTGAACGTGCAATACAATTCTCTCGTCTATTGCAATTATATCCAATTGTATCGGTGAAGAAAACATATCCATATAAATTTACCGATAAAATGATCTATATATTTACATCCGGTACAACCGGTGGTAATATTAAAGCATCACCAGCTGATAATGTACGACAGATTGCATCATATTTTTCACAATGTCGTGCATTCGAAATTAACCATAATGATAATGTTTATATCTGTCTTCCATGTTATCATTCATTTGCCGGTATTACCGGTCTTGGCTATATGTTTATTGGTGGTACAACCATTACATTGGCGGATAAATTTTCAGCATCAAAATTTTGGAAAGATTGTTGCCAATATCAATGCACGGTATGTTATAATAATGATGGTGATTGATTGATTGATTTTTTCTCATTTGTTTTTTGTGTAAATCTTAATTCGAACAAAACAAAACAAAAAATGAAAATTTTCTAGGCTGCCATTTATATTGGTGAAACATGTCGATATTTACTAGCACAACCACATCGACCAGAAGAAACGAAACATTCATTACGCATTATGATGGGACCAGGTATGAAACGTGAAATTTGGCGTGAATTTCAAACTAGATTCCATATCCGTCGTATTGGTGAATATTATGGATCAACCGAAGGCAATGTTCAAACATGTAATAATATTTTGAATTTTGAAAAAAATTTCTAAAAATTCTATTTATTTCTTTCACATATTTATAGTCAATATGACAAATGTCGAAGGATCATGTGGATTCATACCTTATTATTATGGATTTCTTTGTAAATTTTTCTTCCATGTTTATCTGATCAAAGTTGACCCAGAAACAATGGAACTTGAACGTGATCGTTATGGTCTTTGTAAATTTGCTAGACCAGGTGAAACTGGAATGCTTGTCGGTCAGATACGTCCAGGACATTCGTTTTCAGAATTTCTTGGCTACACATCAACACAGGAATCGACGAAAAAAATTGTTCGTAATGTTCGTTCAAAAGGTGATTTTGCATTCGTTTCTGGTGATCTAATGGAAATGGATTTTTATGGTAATCTTTATTTTAAGGATCGTACAGGAGATACATTTCGTTGGAAAGGTATAAAATTCAAATTGAAATTAAATCAATTCCTAATAATGATTTTTTTTCGTTTTGCATCGTCAAAATCATAGGTGAAAATGTATCAACAACCGAAATTGAAGATATTATTTCACAATTTACCAATCATAGTGATTGTGTTGTTTATGGTGTTACCGTACCACATTGTGATGGTCGCGCTGGTATGCTGGCCACAAATGATCGACAATTAGATCTGAATGGATTTCATCAATTTATGCGTGCACGTGTACCCGATTATGCTATACCGAAATTCATACGTATCACTGATGATATCCAAATGACATCCACATTGAAATTCATTAAATATCCATTACGTAAAGTTGGTTTTGATTATTCACAAATGAAACCAGATGATCAGCTTTATTATTTTGATCGTCAACAATCAAAATATCTACTCATGGATGATGAAACATACGAACGAATCAATAATGGACAGATAAAAATTTCATAAAACAAAAATGATGGAATTTTTTTTTTTCGAATCATCTCATTGCTCATACTAATGGCCCATAGATGGCGTAAAATGTTTGATGAATAATTTTTTGTTTCAAATCAAATTTTGGTTTTTTTTTTTTGATTAATTTCTGGTTTTATTTTGTGTTATGTTGTTGTTGTTGTTTTTATTGTTTCCTAACAATTATAACTGTGTAACCATTGAATTCAAATGAAACATTTTTTTTTTTTGGAAAAAGAAAAAGCCATATATTGTGCTTGTATGCATCCATTAATGGATGTAATTTTGTTTTTTCATTTGAATCTCAATGTTTGAATCAATAAAAGAATGGATCATCATCATTATTTACACATCAATAGTTTTGAGAAATAAGTAGAGAAAAAAAATCAATCATTTAATTGTTGATCAACAGATTCTGACGTCAAAAATAATGATGGTTCGATGAATGTTTAGTGAAAGAGAAAAAAAAATTATAAACAATGAATCGTTTTTAGTGTTTTTTTTTCTCATTGAAAAACAATTTTCGTTGATAAACAATGAAACAATTTTTTTTTCGTTCTTGCTGCTTACCACTACATTTTCTGTGTATTAATTAATTAATTGTTGAATGAAATCATTAAAAATTGGTTGCAATATGATTATGATTAAATTGCATGAAATTAATTTATTCACAGGTTTTTTCACTCTCTCTCTCTCTCTCTCTCTCTCTCTTTCTTTTTAGAATTTTCAATAAAACCAAATATGTATTGAATTTCAGATTTGGAATAAAATTTAGGTCGAAAATGTTCAACTATATACTAATGATTAATGCTTGATTGATTGAAAATTATCCATCAAGCAAGCGTTAATTGATGGATAATTTTCTTAGTGTTCAAACATGAAAGAAAAAGTTTCAGGAAAAAATTTTCCAGCATTCATTTTCACACTAATAAACAGATATTGTTTTATTTATGCATAGAAAACAAAAGATCATATTCACCTGTTGTGTTGTGTTGTGTTTTTTTTTGTGCAAACATTCCACACAAAAAACAAAAAAAAACCGGAACTTTTATTGATAACGGAACAACAACAACAACAAATACAGGAACGTATGTACGTAAAACATTTTTTTCCACAATCGATTTATTTGATTTTCTCTTTTTTTTGATCAACGAGATAAATTAACAACAAATTTAGGTCCAAACATTCAAGTTTCTCTCTCTCTCTCTCTTTCTTTCTTATCATTTTGATTTTTCCTATATCTCATTTGATTATCATCATTGTCAATCATCAAATGAAGAAAAAAAATGACTATCATTAATGATCCTCGGGCCAATCAATCCAAGAAAAAAAACTAGCTGCAAATAGGGCCAACAAAAATCATTTCAAAATTTTTTTTCCATTTCTTACTTGGTTGATTTTTTTTTCTCCTTTCTTTTTTTCTCTAACGTTTTTTTTTCTTATTTAAACGTAATCATCCATTATTCATCAATGATAGAAATATCAGTATTGTAACGACGGACGATCATTACAAGCAACGGTGTTGTGTAGGAAAAAAAAAAAAAAAAGAGAGAGAGAGAGAGAGAGTGAGTGAGTGAAAGTGAAAAAAAACTGGATATCGGTCAACGAAACCGAAAATTCGTATAAAGATTGAGAGTTGTAGAGAAAAAATGCACAATAAAAACTAGAGGAAAAATGTAAAAGAGAAAAAAAAAAAAAAAAAATGGATGGATACTTTTACATGCACACACACACACACAAACACGATGTATTAGGATGGATGTTGAAAATCTTAAACATCTTATCAACATTGGCACTGCACATATACATATTTTTTATATGAAAACAGTAAAACGATAAACAACAGCAGTGATCCTCATCATCATCATCATCATCATCATATCAATCAGATACAAAGTCAATCGATCGATTGATCGAACAATCATTCATTCAATCAATCAATACAGTCATACACATCATTCAACAACAATAAATAACAGGCAAAGTTGATTCGAAAAGAAAAAAAAATTTATATATAAAAAACAGTGAAACAAACATCAAAATAAAAAGATTGCAGAAATCGTCATTATGTGATCATCAATGAAAAAAAGAACGTAATCACGAAACTCAAACAACAGTCATTCATATTTGTGCATGTGTGTGTGCGTACGTCATCATAAAATCATCGTTTTTTTTTTTTGTTGGGATTTCTGTTTTTCACTGTTTTATTATTATCGTCACATTCACTTTTTAATCCATTCATTTGAAAATCTGATTCGTAACATTTTTTGTTTTTCTTGTGAAAAAAAAACAAAAAATCCTTTGATTGCATTTGTGTTTTTTTTTTTTTTGGTGGAAAACAAGATTTTTTTTTTTTTTGCTATAAAATCTGAAAAATACGACCAACATTCGTTGTGGGGGATTCCGAAAAAAAAAAAAAAAAAAAAAAAAAAAAAACAAATAATTTTAACAGCCGCCACACTTCAATCATTATCAACATTACAAATTTAATCTTTCAATTCTTATTGTTGTTATTGTTGTTGTTGTTGTTGTTGTTGTTGTTATTGTGATTGAGGCTAACGACGACAACAACAACCACCACCATCACCACCACACCACCAACAAATAAATGATGAAAAAAAATATGCTGTTCACATTCAAACGATGACGTCATAATCAATTATTAATTGATTGGGCAGAAGAAAAAAAAATTTCAAAACTGAATAGCAAAAAAAAAAATTCGAAAGAAATAAAAAATTCTACCAATTCATTATTGCAATTCTGATTAATCATCATTGAATACGTTGACAAAAAAAAAAAAAAATTCATTCATTCATTCATTCATCTGTTTGATTGGGATTATTGCTCATTGATTATCATTTTGTGTTTGTTTGTACTTTGATATTAAAAAAAAAAAATTCCATCATATTGAAAAAAAAATCATCATCATCATCATCATCATTGCTGTTGTTCCAAAAGTCAATTTATTGATTAATAAAACACCATACAAAAATGGTACTAGTCTATGTAACATTATTTGTCGCCCATATTGGTGAACAAGTTATCAATTTTAATCTATGGACAATTGCATCATTATTATTGGCCAGTGGTCTAACATTTTTAGCATTTTTCTGGGATTTTGTACGACGATTTTATTTTACATTCTTTCGTGATATAAGGTTCGTAATAATAATAATGATGAATTTTTTTTCCTTGTTTCGATAATTGTATATTATATGATAATAATAAAACAAATTTATATCCTCGATATAAATCAATTGATCGATTTAACAACAACAACAAAAATAAACAAAGAAAAATAAAACCTAGCTTTTTCAGAAGAAGGAAACATGAGAAAAGTTTACTGAAATTTGAATCAAAATGAAAACAAAAAATAGATAAAAGAACAGCAACTATATATTCATTTTACATTACGAAATTGACATTCCCATTTATAATCGAGGAAAATCTAAAATGAAAAAATTTTTTTTTCTTTAATTTCGATCAATCATCATCATCATCATCGTTTTTGATGATGATGATGAATAATAAAGTTTCATGAATCAAATTTTAATATTATCATCATCATCATCATCATCATTGTCTATGATTTGATGATTTGCCAACGCATTTGCATCTCCGTTTCCACCATCATCAAATACACACACACACACACACACATGTATTATCTATATTCACACTTTTATCAATTGTTTGGTAAATTCATATTTTTTTTCTTGTCTGCTGTTTTTATTATTACCATTTACCATTATACCATTATTATTGTTGTTGACAAGGACATTTTAAGATTAAAAAAAAAAAATATGTTTTTGTTTGATTGTTTGTTTGTTGTCTGTTTGTCTGTTTGTGTGTGTGTGTATAATTATAATCATCACACACACACACGAGTTTGACAGCGATTTTTATTTTAATGCGAAATGAAAATGGATTTTTTTTTTCATTGAAAATGGATGATGATGATGATCATGATTGTGATTGTGATTGTGATTGAGAAAGATGAGAACAACAACAACAAACAACAACAACAACAACAACAACAAACACATATCCTCTTTTTTTTGTCTTGTTTTGCTGTTTGTCAAATTCATTGCTTTGTTAACCCGCTAAACATAATTATTATTATGTGATTTTTTTTTTATTTTGTTCTCGTCTCCTCTATATTTGCCAAAATGTCATCATTTTGTTTGTTTGTTTGTTGTTTTTTCTATTTGAAAAAAATTTTTTTTTTTCCGCTTACAAGGTTTCTGATTTTATTAGCAAAAAAAAAAACAAGAGACAAGAGACAAAAGACAAAAAGAGTTTTGATTGATGACCATCAACACAACCAATCAAAATTTTCATCATCAACATCATATTTATCAAACTGAAAATTATTATTGTTTACATCTAGTGTTGTTCCGGTGATGACCAAAATTCAATCATCATCATCATCATGAGGATGACCATTCATTCTCTGAATATGACGATGGTGTGATTTGTGTTCGTAAGAATTGATTTCCGATAAAAAAACAACTAACCAAACGAAAAACATTTGCATTTTTTGTTTTGTTTTGTTTCAATCAAAATTCCGATTTGTACAAAAATATCAAAAGAGAGAGAGAGAGAGATGGAGAGAATTGATAATCAATAATATTTAGACGGATATCCTGTTGTTGTTTATCATTATCATCGTCATTGACAATTTTCTTTGCCTGTATTTTTTTTCATTCTAAATTTTGCTCTTGTCATAATTAGTAATATAAATCTGATATATTATGATAATGTATGATATAGATGGCCAGTAATAATTTCTTTTCATTTTCATATCTTGTCTTATCTTAATTTCTTTTCGTTTGCTTTCTGCTACTTCTGCGGCTGCTACTGTTGTTGTTGTTGTTATTGTTGTTGTTGTTGTTGTTGTTGCAAAAAAAAAGACATTATCCAATTATCCAACATGATTATTCATAATTAAAAACCTTGAAATGAAAAAAAAATCATGAAAATTCTCATTTTTAAAGGATTTAAAGAACTTTTATGTGGTTTCAATGTCAATTTTTTTTTCTTGCACTTTCATCACCTTGGTCTAGAATTGAATTTTTTTGTACCAAAAAAACAAAACAAAAAAAAAAACAAATCCATTTTTGCATCGATTTCATTTCCAATCAAGGATATTGATCTCGTAAAAAAAATCCTCCATCAATAAAAAAAAAAAATAGTGAATGAGAGAGAAATGTGCAATCCGCTAATGATTGGTAATCATAATAATTTCAAAATAAATGATTTTTGTCGTTACATTGTAATATATAGGGACAAACAAGCAAGGTGAATCAATACAAATGTCCAGTCATAATACGATGATGATGATGAGAGTCCTTCATGGATCAATTTTTGTTGAATTGCTGATTGATAAATTGATTGATTGATTCATTTTTTTTTTCTATACTTTTTATTTCAACAGTGCCGGATATGCATTGGTTAAATCTCGTTATTTTATGATTAAAAATCGTAATTCTAATGTACCGAAATTATTTTCATTATTGGCCGAAAAATATCCAGATAAAATATGTTTCTATTATAAAGATGAACAATGGACATATGATGATATTGAAAAATTTTCAAATAAAGTTGGCAATTATTTTGCATCCATTGGTTACAAGAAAAATGATGAAATTGCATTGGTAATGAATTCACGGCCAGAATTTGTTGGCATTTGGTTAGGTTTAGCCAAACAAGGTATTGTAACGGCATTTATTAATACAAATCAACGTATGGAAACATTAGTACATTCAATCACTGTTGTCAATTGTAAAGCGGTAATTTTTGATGCTACATTAGCTAAAAGTAAGTGGTTTTTGTTTCGTCTTGATTACACTTGAAAATTATTCTGAATATTTTTTTTATTATTTATAGATATTGAAGAAGCAATACCATTGATTGAAACAAAACGTCCAGGTATGATGTATTATAGTTATGTTGGTACAGATCCACCATCGGTGAAAGCATCAGAACAGGATTCAGAAACGATCAGAAAAATCAATGCAAAATGTTTGGATAATTGTATCGAAAATATGATCTATACACGGCCACATGCTATTGATGATCAATCAATGGGTGATAAATTATATTATATTTTTACATCCGGTACAACTGGCCTACCAAAAGCGGCTGTCATTCGTCATCATCGTTATATATGGATTGGAATGATTTTACGGAATTTATTCCGCATTAGTGATAATGATATTCTTTATTTAACATTACCATTATATCATAATAATGCCGGCACCATTGGCACATGTCAATCGATTATATTCGGTACAACAATTGTATTGCGTGATAAATTTTCAGCATCACAATTCTGGGATGATTGTGGCCGTTATAATTGTACGGTATGTGTTTATTTTTTTCAAATTTTCTGTGTCATTTTTTTTTCTCTTATGAAAATTTTAATTCAATTTAATGATCTTGATAAGGTGGCCATGTATATTGGTGAATTATGTCGATATTTATTGGCACAACCGAAAAAAGAAACCGATACAATGCATAAAGTACGTTTAATGTTTGGCAACGGTTTGCGGCAAGAGATTTGGAGGGATTTCAAAAATCGTTTTCAAATCCGTCAGATTGGCGAGGTTTATGGTTCGACCGAAGGAAATGCCAATGTTGGTAAGTATCTGTGTGTGTGTGTAGGATTGATTGAATTGATTTTCAAAATTTTTATTTCCCACTCCCATCCTGTAGCTAACTTTGATTTCACTGAAGGTGCATGCGGTATTATACCATGTTGTGTTCCATTCATTTGTCGTTTTGTATTTCCGGTTACGGTTATTCGTGTTGATCCAGCAACTGGTGAACATATCCGTGATCGTAATGGTTTATGTAAATTGATTAAATCAGGTGAAATTGGTGAAATTGTCGGCATGATACGAGAAGATCCAGGGCAATCATATCCTGGTTATGTGAACAATGATGCAACAAAGAAAAAAATCATACGAAATGTTTTACATCATGGTGATAGCGCATTTCTTTCCGGTGATCTAGTCGAAATGGATTTCTATGGTTATCTTTATTTTCGTGATCGTACTGGCGATACGTTCCGTTGGAAAGGTATGAGAAAGAAATAAATTGTTTTTTACATTTGTTTGAAAATTTTAATTTAATTTTTTTTAATTTTGAAATTCATTCAAGGTGAAAATGTATCCACAAATGAAGTTGAAGCTGTCATACAGAAAGTAGTCAAACTATCCGATTGTGTTGTATTCGGTGTTTCCATACGTAATTGTGATGGTAAAGCCGGTATGGCCGTTATTGCCGATCCAAATCATACGGTTGATGTGGAAAATTTATATTATCAATTGGAAAAACGTTTACCAGCATATGCAGTACCATTATTCATACGTATAGCACCGAAAATTGATTTGACAGCATCATTTAAATTGTCTAAATTTTCATTGGAAAAAGATGGTTTCAATATTAGTCATATTCATGATCCATTATATTATCTGGATCGTAAATCTAAACAATATATTCGTATGGATCAAAATGTTTATGATGATATTCAAAATGGCCGTATTTTCTTGTGATCTAATCATCATTATTCATCATCATCATCATCATCATCATCGATTATTAATTCCACCGTTTATTATTAATGTGGCTTTTCCACTTATCAACAACAAAAGAAAAAAAAAAAACCAAATCAAATCATGGCATGACATGAAATCTATATCGATAATTCTCATCATGATATTTAGGTTATTTGATGATATGGATGGCATTTTTTTTCAGACATTTTTTTTCTGACTGAACTTTCTAACTTCATCACCACCATCATCATCATCATCATCATCATTATCACATTCCATTAATTATTTTTTTAGCTTTAAATCATTGAATCAATTTATAATTTTGGGATTATTTTTTTCGGTTCGATAAATTATTGAGACATTTTTTTTTCTCACCCCTTTCATAAATCATCAAATTCATTCAATCAATCAATCAATCAATCAATCAATCAATTGTTAAAAAAAAAAAAAAAATTATAACATTAAAAAACATTGTCACAAGATGGCGTTACTGAGTGTTGTTTTGATTTTTGGAGCAAATTTTTCTGTTCGATTTATATAGATTTTATAATTCCAGAAAATAAAAAAAAATAAAAATAGAAATTTAAATTTTTATAATCAAACAAAACGATTTCAATCCAATCCAATCCAATTGTTTTATGAACCTTGACGACAGAAGAAAAACAACCAACCAAAATCAACTAACCAGCTAATTTATTTAATTTTAAACAAAAATGTGGCTGATGATGATGATCATAAATTATCTCAATAAATTTTTTTTTTTTTTAATAAAAATCCAATCAAATGATTGTGATAATTCAACAACAATGCGCATATTTCAGTGATGATAAAGAATGTGTAATGTTCTGAACATTTATTTATCAAAATTGAAAAAAAAACAAATGTTTGTTGTTTACAAATTATATTATATTAGAGATTATTGTTGTTGTTGTTGGCCGTATATAATAATAATAATAATAATAAAACTCGACAACAAGTGTGTATATATATTGACCGGTAAGAACCGGTTTCAACTGGAACCGTTTTTATTTCTGGTTTAATAATAATAAGATGAAAATTTTTTTTTTTTTCTCTTGATTTCCAGAAAATTAAAACCAAAAAAAAAAAAAAAAATCCAAATTTAAAACACACTTATTATTGCATAGCAGTCAAACTGTGTATACAAAAACCTTATTTGGATACATTACATTTTTATTAGATCATTCGATAGATACATAATGAATTTTGATCTTTGTTTTTTAAATCAATATCAATATCATCAATATATAGTATCATCATTTGTAAAAATCATCGATTGATTTTCAATTGATAGTGTACACTGCGTGTGTGTGTATGCTTGAGGTTTTCTTTCAATTCTCAGTCACAAATCATCATATCTATATTGATCGTGTCATCGTTTTTTATACTTTAAGAAAATAATATTCAAAAGGAAGAAAAAAAAACAGGCACACCATGAGACTGTTGTTATTTTTATCGGTGTGAAAGAAAGAGAGAAAAAAATGAAACAGACACACACACACACACACACGCAATATCTATGAAAGTGACATAAAGTGCTGGTATATGGGCGTATGATGATGTGAAATTTGAATAAAAAATCATCAACTAATAATAAATCAAACCAAATTTGGAACCATCATCATTAAAAATTGAGAATGATGATGAAATAAAAAATTGAAAATTTCGCATTCAATTTCTGTTATGGTTCTTTTATATAATATTTTCAATCATTCGATTGATCGATCGATTGATATTTATTGATTTTTCCGTTTCTTTTTTTTGTTGTTGTTGTTGTTGTTGATTCCTATAAACAATACCGCTTTTTTGATATTACCAACATCATCATCATCATCATAATTATGATGACATTAATAAAAACACATTTTTTTTCTACAAGGATTTCAATTCAATTCACACACACACCAAATGATAATGATGGATTTGATATCAGCCAAGTGCCAGCCAGCCAGCCAGCTCTAAAGCATCACATCGCATCTAATAAAACATAAAATGATTTTATTCATTTTTTCATTTAATCTAAGTCTTTTTGCCACTCTCTCTCTCGAGATAATCGCAAAATGAAACAAAAAAAGAAAATCGGTTTTAGAATCATCGCACAAATATACAAATAATCAACTGGTTGTAGCGATATATTTTTTTTAGAAAAATGTCTAATGGTGAACTTTGAAACAAGGCCATAAATTTTTTTTTTCGTTTTTATACATCGTCAAGTTCATCATTGACCATAATTTTTGATAATTTATTTTTTATATTTTGATGTAATGTGTCTGTTTAATGAATAAACACATCTTGAAGAAAAAAAAATGATTGACAAGATAAATCGAGAAAAAAAACTAGAATAGACTAGAATTTATGGAAATTTTTCGTGATAAATCTTTCTGTTTTTTTTTTGTTTGTTGCTTGACCGATAAATAGAAAAGAAATAGAATTAAAGACATGATGACAGAAATATTTCATAAAAGCATGATTACCTGATTTATCAACATCATTATCAACAACAACATTTTGTTCTGATAAGCATCATAATTCTTGTGCATGTGTGCGTGTGTCTATGTCTTTTATTTTTTTTTTTTGGTGAAAACAACAACAACAACAACAAGATTGTCATAAAATAATTACTTAATGAAACATTCTTTAGTTCTGGCGTTGTTCCATCATAATGTGTGCTGTTGCAACATCATCATTTGATGATCCATAAATAAAATTTTTATTTTTATTTCATTTTATTGAAATTATCCATTAATTGGATGAAATTCTTTTATTTTATAAAGATAAGATTCAGTCATAACTGGTATATTTTATTTATCGGAATCCATATCACCAGCATCGTTTTTTTTGCCATGCCAATAATTAATCTATCATCAAGCATAAAGCAGCTGATGATACAAAGTATCATTCAAATACGCTTTAGTGGAAACAACAACAACAAAAAAAACATAAATTTTTTAAGATAAAAATAAAACGGAGATAGAAAAAAAATCTTTATATGTATGATATATTGATTGTATCGATTGTACAATCGATTTGAACGTCCGGCACACCGTTTTGGTTTTTGTTGCTGTTGTTGAGTTTTTGCCAATTATTACAATCGAATTCATTCGATCGTTTTATCAATCAATCAATCAATCGATCAGTCAATAATCATACATTAATATAATTAAAAATTTTAATCGCACTGCAAATACAGTGTGAATCTTATTTTTTAAATTTTATCGTTATTTTTTCATCGATGTTACCATCATTATCATCATCAGCATGCTTTTCTTTATTTGGTCAAATCCGATATATATATAATGTACTTTGTCAATCAATCGATAATGATATCGAATTAAAAAAAAGCTATTTACTCATCATCATCATCATCATCATCATCGATTTATTGCAAATTTTCACAGATTTTTACCAAATATGAAATTTTAGCTATATTTTCCCTCCCTATACCTTATCAACTTAATATCATCAATTTTTTGCTGTGTGTATGCATAATAAAAAAAAAAAAAAAAATCCACCATAATGAAAAAAATAAAGCCATCGAACCATAAAAACTTGTAGGCATGGATTATTATTATTATATATGAGCGATCTCACGTATCTGATACTTGATTAAGCCAAAAAAAAGCACGTGCGATACCCGATCGATATATTCAATTAAATTGGATTCGATTCGATTCGTTTTGATTCAATTTAATTTTGTTGCAATTTAACATTGTTTTATTTGTTTTTGTTGTTGTTGTTGTCTACCATTAAGTCTCGCGATATTATTCGATACGTGTTGGATACTAATACGAACATCTAATCGAAAAATCAATCAAAAATACCGAAATCGTCTCACACTACCACCACCATCACACAAACCACACCATCATCATAATCATCCTCTTTTGATTAATTATCATCATTTCATATTTTTTTTAGTGTAGCAAATTACAATAAAAAGTATGAAACAAATTTATGGCATTAAACATATATATATCATTATCAGCATCACCATTCTTATCATCAATGATAATAATAATAATGAAACCAAAATACAATATTATCATCAAATTGAAAAAAATTAGGTTTTTTCTGTTTCTATGATGTGTTTGTGTGTGTGTGTGTGTGCGTGTGTGTATGTGTATGTGAAAAAACAACCAGAAAGCACCATTTATAATCCACGTGATTATAATTTTGATGACGATGATAATAATAATAATAATTTGGGTCCGAAAAAACTCGAAAAATTTTTCTGCTAACGGTATAAGAAACAAGTAGTGATTTTTTTCCTAGAAATTTATTAAAAACCTTAATTTATTCGTTAATAATCGACAATTGACAACACTTACAAAGTTGCACATCATTGCTCACCCACCCACCCACAATCAACATTTTTATTATTACATATCTAATTTACGTCTATGAAAATATACGTCTTACGTCTTTGATTATAGAAGAATTTTGATTCCTCGAAAAGAATTTCAAATAATCATTGAATTTATTTTCATTTTTTATTTACAAATTATGAATTTTTTTTATAATCACTGAATAATTATCAATTATAAAAATCTTCAATTAATCCATTGACAAAATGCAACAACAACAACAACAACAACAACAGCCACAACAATCAAAACAAACAGAAAATTCGAACGAAACTATTTCAACTTCAACGGCTACGACGACTAAATTGTTACGGCAAACGAAATCACCACGATCATCGTCGCGTTCAACATCACCCTTAAGTCTTCAGATTACTACAACGGTCGATTCGGTAAAATCAATAAATCCTATGAAAATTGAATCAACCGAGAAGAAAAGTTCGAAATATAAACGGAAAAATATCTGTAATGATGATGATGATGATCAAGATTGTTGTCCAGATTCATATCCGTCATCTTCTTCATCAAGAACACCAACACCATCGACTACACCGACATCAAGCCGATCTCCATCATTACGACAATCACCATCATCATTGACGACGACCACAACAACAACATCAGGACCTTTGTCATCAATCGATGAGAAAATCATCACTTCTTCATCATCATCACAATCTTCGGCTAAAAAGTATAATAATGAAAATAAAAATGTACGAAATCATTCTCGTATGAATCCAATATTGGAACAGCAACAAAATCTTGTACGACCATTGCAACCAACTCAAGCTGAATTACCGATAAAACCATTATATTATCAGCAAACAAATGAACAAAAAGAAAAACAACAAATGACAATGATAATGATTACCAATCCTGATCAACAACAACAAATTCACAAAGGATCAGAAGATCAAAGAAGCGGTCGATTAGCAGTAGGAGGAAAAGGAAATCATCATCGGGAACAACCGAATCATAAGCATTTGAATATTTATGAACAACAAAAATTGGCTAATAACAACATACAATTCGAAGTAGAGAAAGCATTTTTTGGACAATCAACATTACAAACACAAGGATTCATCACAGCACAACAACATCAAGCATATCATTATCAACAAAATCATCATCATCATCATCAAAATCAATCGAAAATTTCAGCCATTATTCAACAGCAACAGCCATATCATAAGAAAATATCTAAACCAATGATAGAAAAACGTCGACGGGATCGTATTAATCGTTCATTGAGTACATTAAAACAATTAATTATCGATTCAAAACGTTATCCAATATCGAATGTAAGTCAATAACAGAATATGATATAATTTTTATAATTTTACTGGTTTTGTTTTACCTCGTTTTTTTGTAGTATAATAAGTCACGTTTCGAAAAAGCCGATATTTTAGAAATAACGGTAAAATATCTTGAATCATTAGTTTTGGAAGAACGACGTATATATCAACAAGGTTTTGATGATTGTAAAAAACAATTATCACAATTTATAAATGAACATTTTAACAATGATGATGATAATAATAGCAATCGGAAACAACAGAAACGAGATTCAGATAATAATTCCAATGATGAAAATCCTCAATCAATAAAAATGGTTACCGATGATGATCAACAACAACAAAATCAAAATGTTCATCCAGTAAACAATGATGCTAATGTTACTGATGATGATAATCAACAACAACAGAAACAAATATTCATGTCAACATTCAATAAAATAATGGAACATTTAGAATTAGTGGGTGAAAAATTGTTTAAAGAAAAACAAGGAAAAATAATGAGCGTTAATCTTTCATCATTAATTGCCGAATTAAATGAAATTAAAGGTCGTAGTTCATCCATTAGTGGTGGCGGTGATTCCGATGGTCATTATTCGGCCGATGAACAACAACAAAATTGTTTCAATGATCATCATCATCATGGTGGCGGTAATAGTTCTGGTTATCAATCTGATAATATATTTTCAACATGGAATACAACATCGATAGAATCAACATCATCAATAAATCAAAAATCATATGGTGTCATACAACATACTAGAAATTATTTGGAAAAAAATAAACAACAAGAATCATCAACATCATCATCATCATCAATTAAAGAAGAAAATCATTCGATTTCATCATCATCATCATCAACGTTGAACAATAATAAAGATTTGGATCAACAATCTAAACATTTAATTAAGAAATTAGATCATCTTAGCCTGATGGAACAACATCGACATCGTAGAACTAGTGGTGGTGGTGGTGGTGGTGGTAATAGTGGTCATTCATCAACAATGGCCACAAATGATTACGAACAACAACAACAACAACAAATATATCATCCGCTTAAATCTAAATTACTATCATCATGTGGTTCATCATCATCATCGAATTCTCCTTCTTTTTCATCATCAACATGTTCATCATCATCATCATCAACAAAATCTGAATATTCACCAAGTTATTCAACATTATTATTAGCTAATTCGAAAATTATTCAACATCAACAACAACAATCACCACAACAGCAACAAAAATCATTACGACCAATTGTTGATGCAAATCCATCACCATTTTATACTGAAATAACATTATCACATCCAAGAACTAATTTTGTTGGTAATGAACGTAATGGAAGTGAATTACCAAATTATGAAGCAATATGGCGACCATGGGGTTGTGGACATCAATGAATCGAATGAATCAACGTTTAATCACAATCAATCAATTGATCAAAATTTTGGATGATGATGATGATGATGATGAAATGATTCAATGTTGTTGGATCACACAACAAAATCATCTTCAATACCATTTTTTTGTTCAAAAAAAAAAAAAAAAAAAAAAAATATTTTCACATATTTCAAAGGAGGTAAGTGACGCGGGCACACACCCTCATGCAAAACAAAACGAACGTACGAATGATTTGAAATAAATTTCCACAATTTTGAGTGTTTGATTATTGTGTTTATACACGTGTGTGTGTATGTGTGTGTGTGTGGGTGTGTGATTCCTGTGCACGATTTCTGTTGTTGATCCAATAGCATAATCATTGAATCATTCATCATTTCGGCAAAATTAAGAATCAGAAAAAATCTTTTTATCGATTTCAAAATTATGAATTTTGCAAATTTTATTCTTATTACTACCATTTAATTTCATAATCAATAATCATTACATTATTATTATCGAGATGAAAAAATACAAAATTTTAAAATTCAAAAATGAAATTTGAATATTGAATATTGCGCTTTGCATTTGCAGCACATTTTTCTCTCTCTCTATTTTCGTTTTTTTTCCCAAAATCCTTCGTCTCTATATTTATCTAGCAAACCAATGTTTTTGTCAATGTGTCCATACTGTTACATTCGGATCCAACATCCTGGGATGCCGTTGTTCCAGCTCTTCAAATATATCACCAAATGGTCGATCATTAACAATGATAATAGATTCGATATTAATATTAACGTGACACTGCAAAAAAAAAAAAAAAAAAAAATTAACAGAGTAGGAAAACAATGAGTCTAGAATGTATTTAGTGTTGAATGTTTTGTTTGGTAGTAATAAGAATTTGAAAAAAAATAATTTAATTCAGAATAATTCCATTTTTCAATTTTAATTTTCTCTTTTTTTCCCATCACCCATATCTGATCATCATCATCATGTTTATTCATCTTAATCACAATCAAATTCATCAATATCGCATCTATTACATCGGTACTTACATGACCATCGGGAACCGTAACGAATATTTGGATTAAATCATTTTTTCCCTTTTTTTTCTTCTTATTTTTCTTCATCTTTTTTGTGGATTTCTTCTTCAAATTGATTGCCGGATTATCATCATTATCACGATTAATGGTAGCGGATTCGGAAATGGATTTATATTTAACCGATGATGATAATGGCCGTATTAAACCAACGACAGTATTGTATAGAATTTCCATACTTTTGTTTGGTATTTTTATTTTTGCAGTAATTCACTTCTGATGAATGAATGTTTGAATGAATGAATGAATGGTTAGTAATTTTTAATAATTTTGATTTTTTTCTGTAAGTATCGATCTTCAAACATCAATAGGTAAATGGGGTAAGTTTTTTTGTATTTTTATTTTTTTCTCATCAACAATTCTCAATCACATAGAAGAAATTCCACATGTAGTAATGTATGTGTGTATGCAAATTAGAATTGATTGTTTTTCAACAGGTTTCTATTTTTTTTCACTTGTTGAATTGATAAAATATTTTTTTTTTGCAAAAAGAATTTGACGTCATTTAGTGGTCAATGACGTCTTATTCTTTTTTTTAAATGAATTGTATTTAATTGATTGATTGATAAAAATGCTAATAAATTTATATTTTTCCACTTTTTTTTCTCTCCATTCATTTCCATGAGACTAAAATGTTTTGTTTCGACTTGGACTTGGATTGAATTTTTTTTCCACTCTTTTCTTTATGATTATGGTCATTTCGTTTTGTCAAATGACAAACAGGATTTTTTTTTCTTTGGCCACCACCGCCCACACAATTGAATAAAGATTGCAAGTTAAAAAAAAGAAAAAAGGATTAAAAATCATCATTGAACTTTTTCGACCTTTGTTGTTTCCATCCACCATATACACAGTTTTGAATTTTAAATATTTTTTTCAAGAATCAAAAAAGAAATTATCCTTTGATTTTTTTTTTCTCTTGGATAATAATCCCCATCATCCATGCCAAATTGTTGGACCAACAAACACACACACACACACACACACAAAACAAAACTGGTCCGTTCTTCAAAAATTTTCCAACAGACCAATGAGACCAATCACACAATAACGCACAATGGTCACATAACTGACATTTGGACAATTTGAAGGGATTATTCCTTTTTTTTCTTCTGAATTGAACGGCTTAAATCTTGGTCCTATGAAATGATGATGGTGGGTCCAAGTCTTTAGATTTTGTTCTGCTCATTGACTCCTGGTTGTCGTTATGTCCTCATGGTCATCATCATCGTCCAAATACAAATAAATAAATTGATTTGATTGGAAAAAAAGAACTATACAAATGAATGAATAAATGAAAATGGGTTGCAATTTCTTTTTCATTGGAAAATTTGAGAAAAAAAAAATTTTCTATAATCCCAGTGTTTACGGTAAATAATGTAAAATGATCCGAACAAAAAATGCACAGAGAACAATGAAATAGAAAAAAAATCAATTGATCGAGGATTAACTCTGTTTTTGTTGTTGTTGCTGTTGTCTTTGATGATGATGGTGATTATTTGAAGTTTGATGGTCTGCCTTTTTTTTCCTGGTGTCTGGTATGTATATCGTACACTGAGTTTGTACCGTAAATCTCGGTGGTCAAAAAATGAAAATAAAAAATTCTTTAATGGTAAGAAAGAAACCAGAAACCTTTTCAATTTTTTCTTTCTTTCATTCATTCATTTGCCAAGATCAAGGTCAATTTCTTTTTTTTTCGTTATTTATTGGTTTGAAATTTATTTTTCATTATTTATTGAAATTTTAATTGATTGATTTTTGTTTTTGTTGCAATTTACAATTTGATGATTCGATTTTGATTATTATGACGTTTATCATCGTTAACGTCATTGAATTAGAATTTGATTTCATCGAATTTTTTATTATTATTGACTCAATCAATTTATTTTACAATTTGATTCAATTTGAATTTTATTTCTATATATTTGATTTATTTTCTTTGCACGAGAAATTAACGACCACCCAATCATCCGAAACTATACGTCACACGTGTTTATGTCAAGTTTTATTTTCTGATACAAAAAAAAAATTCATGATGATGAGGTCAACGGGTTTTTATCGACAGATTTTTTTTTGTTTTGTTCCTTTTTGATTTGTGTTACATATTTCATGGAAAATTATCACTCAATAATTCAATGGAAATAAATCAAAAAAAAACTTTGTTTCAAATTTTTTTTACCCGCTACTTTTTTGGACCGGTTAAATTTGTTGATGATTTATGTGACATACATACACTCGCACACACACACACACGTACACGTACACGTTCACATATGGACATTGGCCACTGGTAAATTTGAGCCACCTGAGTTGCTGAAAAATTATTATTATCATATATAGCCATCCTCCCCTCCATAGCTAATTGGACCAATAAATAAAAAATAATGATATTGGACCATGAAAATGAAATGCAAGTTTATCATCATCATCATCATTATTATTTATTATTTATGGGATGATAATAGTTTTATAGACTAGTTTCATCGTGATTATCTTTGATTTCATTTTTTTCTTTATTTCTTCTATGGCCCATGTTGAATATCAATCAATGAAGATCGATTATCATCGTATTTTTTTCCGGTGTCTACCAATACATATAATAATAATAATAGGATTTTTATTTTTCTTTTCAAATAAGAAAAAAAAAGAATTGACCTAACCTGACTTGAGAATGAGAATGACCGAAGCCAACACTACTACCACCACTAACACCACTAAATGAACACACGAGCGAGGTCAATAAAAATTAAATTCATTTTTCAGTAGTTTTTAAATTCAATTTTTTTTTCTTCATTTTACCCTTGTGTATATATATTGGACAATGACAATTCGTTACGCCTTCGTGTGTGTGTGTGTGTGTGTTTGATCTTTGAATCAATATATCTGATGATGGTCATCGGATTTTTCATTATCCAGTTAAGATAAATTTTTTTTTTTTTTTTGATTTGAGAAACTTTTTTCCTGGTGAGCAACACACATTAGCATGATTAGGATTATTTTATGATTTTACAATAACAATAATAACAACAACAGCAATCAATTTGAAATAAATGACCCATTCTCTTTTTTTTGAATATTGGTGTGTTGACCTAGAAAAAAAAATTATCATCATTTGTGGATAATTTTTTATTAAATAAAAATGATATATATGTCATTATCATCATATTATGATGAATGGGTAAATTGATCAAATGAGACCGTGCCCTTTCAAGATTGAAGAGTGTTTAACGCTCAAAAATCATTTGATTGACTTTTTGATTCGCTGTTTTTTTTCTGACCATTTCAGTCTATTTTTTTTTTGATCAAATATTAATTAAAAGCACAAAAAAAACTTGAATGGAATTTGAAACCAAAACGAATCAAAATGAAATGTTGAAAATATGATGATTGAAGAGAATAAGAGTGAATATATACACTTGATTTTTTTCTTTCTCGGGTCCTCTGATGAAATGTCCAAATGAATGAGATTTATGTCAATCAAACACACACACACACAAATGACCAATATACAAGCCCCTTGTTGTTGTTGTTGTCATTTACTATAGCGGCTAACTTTATTTGAAAAAAAACAGATTTTTTTTTCTTTTTCTTCTTCTTCATTAGTTTTTCTCGCTTTATATTCAGATCATTTTTGATTGAAAAGAACATTTTTGCTGTTGCCTTTTTCTCAATGGCAAGGTTCCGGCTTCTATTGAGATTCTTCAAATGTCCATAACCATAATGAAGTTTATTTATTGTGTCACCACCGAAACCACCACCAACAACACACAACAACAACAACAACAACAACAACAACAAAAACGAAAAGAAAAATTCAAAGCAAATACGAATTAAGCAAATACAGCAAAAAAAAAAAAAACTGTCAATAGTTATGGTTTTCAAAGTTTTTTTTTTCAGGAAAGATAATATTGATTTGTGGAACAAACCAAAACATTGCATACACACACACGTGCACATGACTTATAATATGGAATGGAATGGAGATAAACACCGAAAAGCATTTTAGCAAACTTTGAAAAAAAAATTCTATTCACTCATCGATCAATCGATTTATGAGGTTTCAAAAAAAAAAAAAAGATTTACATTTATTTCAATGACTTAGCCAAATATAATATATAAAAAAAATACAACGATAACAAGAACAACAAAAAATTTATATTACAAAAAAAAGAAGAATTTTCACCATGGACGCCATACATTTTCATCATCATCAAAACAATCTTGTTGCCGTCGTGGTTGCTGTGAATCATCATGTTTCATAATCTTTAGATTTAATGGATGATTTTCATGTTGTTGATGATAATCTGATCCATAACCAAAATCATCATCATCATCATCATCATCATCATCAATAACACCATCTGAATCATCATCAGTGATTTCTGCATCCGTATCTGATTCTGGAAATCTTTTTCGTTTTCGGTAATTATTATCCGTTATGATTGTTGTTGTTAATGATGATGATTTAATTATTGAATTAGAATTTGATGATATTGAAGTTGGTGGTGAACATCCATGATTCGATGATGATGATGATGATGATAATGATTCAGATGATGGTGCCGGTGATGGTGGTGTTACAAACGTTGTCGTCGTAGTAGTAGTAGTAGTAGCAGTCGTTTGTGATCTTTGATGATTATGATTCTGATATGTTATCGATAATGATTGTTGAAGAAATTCTTTCACCGATTCATATGATATTTTTGATTGATTTTTTGTCAAATATTCACACATTTGTCGTACACATTCTGAATAACCGGCCATATATTGATCATCATCGATTTTTCCTGTTGATTGTTGTTTTTGTTCCATATGTTCTTGATGAAGCTGTTTAACATAATTTACTGTCAATTCAAGTATATCGGCTTTTTCTAATTTACATTTATTATTCTGTGTATATTGTCCAGCTGAATCGACAACAATTGTTTTCAATTGTGATAAACATTGATTTATACGTGCCCGGCGTCGTTTTTCCATCAATGGTTTCGATATACGTACACCGTTCTGTTGTTGTTGATCTAATCCCAATAATACATTTGGATTTGTATTGAATCTGGTTGTCGGTGTCATTATCATCGGTTTTGGTGCATTATTATTATTGTTATTATTATTCGTGGTCATCATCATCATCATTTTTGATTGTGGATTTGGAAATGAAGGACGCTGTTGATGATTCATCATCATTGATGGTATCGACGGTTGAAGTATAATCGATTGATTCATTGATTTTATTGGCATCGATGGCGATGATTGTTGTTGTTGTTGTCGATTTGTAGCACGAATATAGGCAATTTTTGTCATTTTGTCATTCAATCGTAAATCAAACTAAGAATTTTTTCTTGGTTTTGTTTCTCTTTCTTGAACTAGAACAAGATATAGACTGTTATTATGATATTCAACGATACAATTTATATACCTTTTGGTCCGCTTGTTTTTTGAATATATGTGTGTGTGTGTGTGTGTGTGTGTGCATATTGCCAACAAACATATATGTTTGGGTTGATGGTAGTGCGTGTTTTTTTTTTCTTTATAAAATTTCGTGTGCTTCGGCAACAATTATTCATTCGTTCATTCATATATGCTTATGCACACGACAACAATATCAAGCTCGCGATTGATTGGTCCATAGCGGTACTATTGATAATAATTGAAATAAAGAGGCCGGACCATAGGGTACTTTTTTTCCACTGTGATAATAAAGTATAACATATCCACGGGCTGCTACTGTTAACAATAACAACAACAACAACAACAAAAACTCAAGCAAGCAAAAATAGTATATTTCTTTTGATCATATTGCGCTTGTTACATTTTTTTTTTTTTTTTTTTGTACAAGCAGGCGCAACAAGTTGGCTATATCACGTGATCATCATCATCATCATCATCAACGTTGGTAATAAAAATAAAAAAGAAAAAAAATAATGACCGAAAATTCATAAAAATAAAGATAGATCAAACGGGTTGTAAACAATAAATCTTTAGAACGGTTTTTTTCCGATTTGACAGTTTCAAAGGTCCCAGTTACCATCATCATCATCATCAATGATGACGATGATGACCCTTGTTCTCTCTCTCTCTCTTGAACTTGTTATTTTTACTATATGAACTAGAGAGATTCGGCATCGTAAAAAAAACAAAATTTAAAGTTTTTGGTGATCCAAACTTCATGAGAGAGGTTTCACATTTCAAGATTTTTTTTTTAAATTCATTGTGTTTGTGTCTTTTTCATTCGCCGATTGCAACAAAAAAAAAAAAATAAAATAAAATTGTCCGATTGGACCTGGAATCTATCAAAAAGAGTGAAAATAATGGTAACAATTTTATAACAAAATAATAATGACCAATGATCGAAATCACACAGCAGCAGCAGCCCTTTTTATTTGGTCATTTTTGGTCAAACATTTTTTTTCAACCAGGCTAATTTTATGACCAATAAAAACAGCAATATTTATCTATTTATTTTCATCCTTTTTTTGGTTAAATGTCTTCATTTTTATTAGAATCAGACTTTTTAATGATGATAATTCAATGATTGACCAATTCAATTGACCTGTTGCAGTATCAATAAATGAAAGTAAATTATACAAAAAAAAAATACGGTGACCGCCTCCATACCCATTCTATTTGGTCATTATTTATAATCGATTGATCGATTATAATGGTTAGAAAAAAAGGTTCATTGACCATCATGAACTATTCTATTATTATTACGGTTCATTTGACACCTGACACTCTGGGTTTTTTTCCTCAGTTTTATTTTCATTCTTATTCGATTGTGGTGGACACAACAACAAACCATCGCAAATATGTCAAGAATGTTTTTTTTTCTTGATGATTGAATGAAATTTTTTTTTCTCATTGATCAGAAATTCAGACAAAAAAAACTCTTTGAATGTAATTTTTTGCTTGCTGGAATTTCTTAATCAATTGTGCATAGATTTTTTTTTGCTGAAATTAAATGTCCAGATTTTTTTTTCGTCATAGCCATCATCATCATCGTCATCATTATGGAACAAAATTTGAAATTTTTCTTTCTTTTTTCTTTGGTGACAACAACAACAACAACAACAGAAAACTAATTCAATGATGTATGTTTGATCTATTTTCGATTTATTGAATAGCGAATAATAATAAAATAAGAAACTTTTTAAAGTTCCATAAGAGAGTGAGGTCAAAGTTCGTTTAAATATATTTTGAACACACACACACACACACACAAACATACATACAAGATGTCATGTCATGTTTTTCAAACAAATGGCAAAAATAAAGGCGCGAGCAATAATGAAACAAATATGGACAGCATATGAATACGAATTCAAATTGAATGAATTCCAAGACAATAAAAATATGGAAATTGAGGAATGAAAGAACAAAAAAAAAATTGATTTAAATTCAATTCCAAACAGGTAATAAATCATTAATCAACAGGAAAAAAATTGGTGTTAATTTTGATTGGATTTAAATTAGACATCGACAACAGCAAAAATTTTTTTGTACCAATTGGAACCTAGTCATCTCTCATAGGTGGAAAAAAAGTGTGATGGACCTACCACATGCCATTAATCATCATACACACGCACACACAGTATGAATTCTCGTCGTGGATAAAAAAATGAAATGTTTCAATATTTACCCACCACTGGAAACACAGCAAGAAAACATAAACAAACATGTTACAAACGGGGAAACAAATTGTCAAATAATTCAAAAATAAAAAAAAAATTGTCAACAACCAACAACATGTAACAAAAAAAAAAAAAACAAAATTTATTGGTTGTTCCAAATGGAACTTCTTGAAAGATGAATCTCTCTCTCTCTCTTGGTGCTGTCGTCATATTTTTTACTGCCATAATTTGAACTTTCAACTTTTTTTTAGAAATGAATAAACTGAATTGTTGTATTTATAAATTGCATCACAAATGACATGGGTATGAAAATGTTTTGTTGTTGTTGTTGTCTTGGGTCAAAGGAAAATTTTTTTTTATTTCTTTTTGTCCACTTGCTTTTGTTGTTTTCATCATAGCCGTTTGACCCTCCATGTCCATTAATGATGATGATGATGATTGTTGTAGTTGTTTTGTTGCTATTTATGTAACAAATGAAAAATTCAATTTTCATTATTTATTTATTATCGTCATCGTTGTAGTCGTTTTGGAACATATTTTTGGAATGGGCCATATTTAGATCCAGTATGTCTATATATAATGCAAAATGTCCACAAGACAAGTGTCCAAGAAAAAAAATTGATATTCCCTCGATGATGATGAATACAAGTTCGATTCAAATAAATAGAAAAAAAAAGAAAATCAATTTAAAGAAAATTTTTTTTATTCTTTTCGGTACATTTAAATTTTTTCTTTCATTTCATTTATTCATCATCATTAGGGACCTTGAACTTTCACTTATGATATATACGGTATTTCATTTCATTCAGGTAAATAAATTGATAACATTTTGTAGCAAAAAAACACATCGATTCGATTGATACAATTGAAATTTATTTTCATATCGAATAATTATCAATAGAAAAAACATCTGCATTTGAACAACAACAACAAGAGAATCGAACAAATAAACAAATGTTTTTCCTTTTTTTTTTACTTTCTTTCGGTATATTATAATATATGACAGTGGACATGTTGGACACATGTTTTTTTTTCTCCTAACACCACCGCCAATAATAATAATGGTCAACACACCAATAACAACAACAACAGTGAGTGGTGATAAATGTTATCGATGATGATGATGATGATGACCATAATCGTTTGGACAACAACAACAACAACAGAATTTTAAATGATCCATTTAAAAGAGACAGTTTAGAGAAAAAAAATCTTAATATTTCAACAATGTTGTTGTTGTTGTTGTTGTTGTTGCTAGAAATAATATCAGCAATAACAACAAACCCCTTTTTTCTAAAATATGAATCAATCAATCAAAATGATGATAGACGAATAAGTCAACACTTTGGCACCGAAAATGAAAAATTGAAAAACGACGACGACGACGACGATGAAATGATTCCATTTTTTTTGTCGTTAAAATCGATCGATCATTTTTTCTCCTGGTGTGTGTGTGTGTGTGTGTAAACATGATATCTGTATATGGTATTCAAAGTTCCGTTTTTTTTCGTGAAAAAGAAATTCTTTCATTTTCTCTTGATGAAGAGAATAAAGATTGAGACAATTAAGACACATTTTTTTTTTGGCTGGTAAGCCTCATTTACATTAGACGTTTTTCTTGCAAAAAAAAATTACATTTAATTATCTTTCGGGTTTCACAGTTAAGGTCATCATCATTATCAACAATAAAATTTAATTCCCATGAACTATACTTGAATTCTTAGTGTGGACATGGCCGATTTCATCATCGTCATCATTCAAGGTTCAGATATGTCCATCAAAGTTCCATAATAATTTTCGTCTTTCTGTTTGATTGATAACTGGTAACTGGTAATATGTCTCTGTACTGTACTTTTCAATGGAACATTTTTTTTTCGTCCATAACCGAATTTTTTTGTGATTTGTAATAATGGATGGCCAAAAAAAAAAAAAAGATTTTTGATTTGATTTCACTTCTTTTTGATGGACTTCATCCATATCTTTGAATTGAATTTGACCGAAGTACAGAAAAAAAATGTACGATAAAAAGAGTGATCATACTGGTCCAGACTGACCTCTTGCTCTTATTTTTTCATCAACAACATTGGGGCAATGGCAAGCGGACAATCAATGTTGTTGGTGTTGCTATAGTTGTTCATACTCGATCATATCGGTCAAGCGTCAAACAATTAACTCTCGTGTATATGTGTATTTTGCGCTAAACTCTTCATATTTTCATCATCATCATCATCGTCTTCGTTTTCGTCTTAACCGAAAATCATCGTTTTTGTCCAGACCAACCAGAAAAAAAATCGGACAAAGTTTTTTTCATGTCTAATTTACTTTCTCTCTTCGGTTTTGTATCACGGTCCAGGTTTCTTCTTCTTTTCATTTTTTTTTTTTTTGCGAGACCATTGGGCAGCCACATGTTTTTTTCTGTTGTTGTTGATTTCATACTGGCCGCCACATATATATAGATGATGTGTATGGATGATTATGATGATGATGACCTTTGACCAAATTTATATATGGATACACAGTTTTTTTTCTCTGTGGTCTTGTATTACGTAGTTACAGTGACCAAATGAATGAATGGCTTAACATGACCAAAGTTTTTTTTTTTTGCTTTGAAACAAAAAAAACGTGCATGGTTGTAAGCTATAGAAGCTCGAGCCAGAACGCGCGACATTTCACGCGGCTCCAAGCATTATGGGGAAAAAAAGGAGAAAGAGAAAAAAAAATACAAACCTTTCGGCTCCACACACACACACACACACACAAGACAGATAGAAACTAAATTTGATCAAATGACCATATGGCCCCTTTATATGAATATTGACCACATACGACAAACATTGAACATGTTTTTTATTTTTTACTTCTCTTTCTCCTTTGACATTTTATTTTAGTTTTTTTTTTGTTTTCTGGTTCAAGATTTATACACAAAAGAGTTGTTGCATGTATATATATATGGCTAGATGGATATCCACCTATGCACATTACCTTTGACCTTTTTTTCTCTTTCTTCTAAACTGTCCTGAACAAATTTTCATATAATCAGAGAAAAATGTCATGAATTTTTTAAAATAGAAAAAAAAATCCCGAAAAAAAATAAATTTTAATGATAATCCATACCCGGGCTATGAATGAAGATTTAACCATCACCATCATCCATTGAAATGGAATTTCTAGACAAGAAAAAAAAATCCAATGTAATTACGAAATAAATTGAAGAATTATATATGTCTAGTGAAAAATGAAAAAATTTCACCCAAAAAAAGGGTCTGACCCAGTAAATTATGGTGTTTATGGTTCGATTTTTATCCTTTGTGCAAGACTTTTAAAATAACGAACAACAATAATGAAGAATTAACCAATTTGTTTTTGTCGTTGAAAGGTTCATTTCTTTTTCTATTCGTAGTTTTCAATAGTAGCACTTAATTTTAATAAATGAGATTGGTCATTAGCCTGACCACAATGACAACAGCAGCAGCAGCAGCAACAACAACTGAAACACCATTGAACTTTGAACCCCGAGGGGCCACGTTCGGCTTTGTTACAGCGAAAATTACGCAATCGGCTACCATCGATATCGGTGGACAAAGATTTGAAAACATTATTTTTTTACACCAAAAAAAAAAATACCAGTATATCTGTAGCCTGAAGCCAAGAATTTTTTTTCAATTCATTTTCAATGTGAATGAGTAACCTACGTGTGTTTGATTCATTATTCGTGTGAATGAACATTCATGACACCCATTCATACGGTATTTTGAAGATTATGTAACAAACATTTTTTACAAGGAACGATTCGAGACTAATTGATTTCGTTCGTTTGTGGCCATAATCGAAAATCCTTTTTTTTGGATTAGCGAAAAACAGAAAAAAAACATTCATAACGGGAAAATATTCAAAAGCGAAGGAGAGAAAAAAATTACGAATAATTTATGTGACATAACCCGTGAAGAAGAAAAAAATGCCATTTCGTTGTTATTTGAATTCAAGTGCAACGAATTATCTTGAGAAAAAAAATTCAATTTAAAATTTTAGAGGCTAAGATTCAGGTGTGTGTGTGCGAATGACTGACCAGAAAAAAAATCTTGTCAGAAACCAAAAAAACACGGGCAAAATTCACGTCACATCAAACAAGATAAAATCCCATTGACCCTCATTATTTGATAATCTTTTGATCGAACCAAATCGGACAAAACCTTAAAAAAAAATTATCACGATGTTGTTTTCATCACAATCCAATCAATTAATTTAAATGGAACCAAATTGTTTATTATTGTTTTGGTGTGTGTATGTGAAAACCGAAATAGCCAATAGTTGGGGGAGGTTTAATCAACCAAAAGAGAAAAAAAAACATTCAATGTTATCATTGGATTTGAATCAGAAGAAAAAAAAACTGAACAACTTTTTGTGTGTATGTGTGTGAGTGACCCATCATGGCTAATCAAATCAAATCAAGAACTGGACAAACAAATAAATAAAATGCAGAAAAACAAACTTATTCTTTTTTTCATGATGAAGAGTTAAAAGTTACTTGACGTAATAAGTTATTTCTTTTTTTTTTTTTCTTTGCAAAATAATAATGAAAACAAACGTATTTGTTTGATTTTTTTTTGAAATTTGAAAAGAAAGAAATTTGAGTATTTAAAATTGGAAAAAAAAATCTTATTGAAATCAAAAAAAAGATAAAAGAAATAAGAGATAAGACACACAAAACACACACACACACAGGAAATAATAAAGACTTTATTAGGCACATTGAATATTATTGAGACTAAAAAAAAAAACAAATTGATAAAATGACAATTGACAACAACAACGATGACGACAACAACAACAAATAACTGTTGTGACCACAAACAATGTTGTCACGTAAATCAGTGGCCCATCAAATGTCTTTCAGATGGAACATGTGTGTGTGTGGCCAATCTTATCACATTATCTTTTGGATTCAATCTTTTCTGGTAAAAAAAAAAAATGAAATGATCCAAAAATATAATAAGAAGACGAGACTGACAATTTTTTTTCATGTGGGTTTTTGGGGGGGGAAACAACAGAGAAAAGAAAGATCATAAATTGAAAATTAGCCATTGGATAGCTGCTGGACAGCCACTGCAACACAATCATTTTTTTTACTTTTATTGTGTAAACACAAAAAAAGCAGAAGCAGCAACCACAATGTTCTTTAGATGGATACCTTTACCTGAAAAACCTAAAGAAGATGAACTTTTACTTTTTTTTTAGTGCCAAAATCGTAAATTACTTTTGGGATTTTTGTATTAGTCACCAATGATCAAATAATAAAACCATCTGTGATGAGATTACAATAAAATAAAATAATGAGCCATGGATATTTGACATCGGAAACAATTTCCAACATCCGGTGGTAATTCGGACGATATTTTTTTTAAATGTTCAAGCGATAAAAAAAAGTTTGAATTTTTTTTCCTGAAGATACAACGGGCACTGAATCTCTTTCATCATTTAAAACAGCAACAGGTTAGAGACATCTGTTCTTGGGCCATTGGAGAAAAAAAAAATTAACCGAATTTTTATTTTGCACAAATAACCAGTCAAAGATGATGATGAAAAAAAATTCGGTTATATGTGTAGCACCTTTTTCTAGGATCTCAAGGATTTCAAATATACTAAGATTACAGGTATACACGTTATACAAGTTATATGATTTTAACGGTCATTCAGGAATTTCATCCACCACCTTAAGTGTTAGTGGAATCATTGAAGAAAAAACGACTTTTTTTTACCCGCTGCACCGACATAACCGATGAAAAAAAAACATTCAAACCACTTTGGAATGTTTGTCCGTTTTTTTTTTTTTTTTGTTTCACTCCAGTCATAATAAAAAAAATACGTGCACATCACTCAAACACACAGGTATATATTGAAAAAAAATGACAATCTACAAAGTCGATCCAACATTGTCTATTGTTATTTGCAACAACAATAAAAAAAATCTAGATTGGAATGCGGGACATGTGACCTATGTGGATGGAAAAAAATTTCCGTTTTTTTTTCATTCAACCAACCAACCAACCATCATTTACTTTCTTTGATGCAATGGATAAATGAATGAAAAAAAAAAAAAATTCAACGACTTTGCCTGTTGCCTGAGTTTATTGGTTTATGTGGTCGGTTGAATTTTTTTCATGTTTTGAAGGTGAAACGATAATGATGAGAGTACAGGATACAGGGTAATGGGTTTAAATGTCACGATTTTTTTGCTTATTCATCTGAATCACTATCATCCGACGACGATGACGAGGAATCTTGCGGTTTTTAGCCAATGTTTGTTTTTGTCCAATTGAAACGTGAATCTTAACTACTGGAGCTGGTGTACCCGGTTTTTTAGCAGAAATAATAGCAGCTGATTTTTCATCCGAACTACCATCTGTTGAAGCCGAAGAATTGAATCATCTAATGCCGAACTATCATCGGATGATGATGAATCATCTGATGACGAACTATCATCGGATGATGATGAATAATCTGATGACAAAATATCATCGGATGATGATGAATCATCTGATGACGAACTATCCATTGCTTTTGCAGTTTTTTGCAGTGTTGGTTTTACGACAAGCAATGGTTTCACTGCAGCTGGTCCCTTTTTCAATGGTGGCTTTCCATTATCATCATCATCATCGGAACTGGAATCATCTGAACTCGATTCTTGTGGTCGTGGTCTTTTTGATGATATATTAATATTCTGTGGTGGCTGTATCGATATTGGTTTTTTAATCGTAGAATTATTTTTTTTATCATCATCATCATCATCGCTTGAATCATCCGAAACTACTTGAATCTTGGGCCATTTTTGATTTACTGTTAATATTATTATTCATATCTTTCTTGTTGATATTCGATGACCAATTAGTATACAATTCTTTCAATGAAGGATATTTAACATTTTTTGATCGATTCAATTTATTCATTGTCAATTTCATTTGACGAAATTCAGGATATAATTTCGAAAGACGTTGTTGATTTTGAATCACATATTCAATGACAATCGAATCGATTGTCTGCTGTTGTTGTAGATTCATTTTATAGATCAATGGAATTTTAATTATCTAAAAATGAAAAATGCTGATTTTTTGTTTCAATTTAGAAAGATCGACACATCAACACGAGCATAAGAATGCACCACACACAACATTCGAAACACGAAAGCATGGAAAAATGTGGTTCCCGTGATTTGTGATGGTCGAATACTATCGATGTAATCGATTAATTTTTTTTTTATTTTAAAAATTCGAAATTTTTTTACTCCACCTGCATGGAATAAATTCAAATCTTTGAATCGAAAACACATTAAATCATGAAAAAATGTTTGGTTTTGGATTTTCTATCGCCGATTTCGATGCCATTGATTGGTCGATATTATTTTTTCTATCATTCATATTGGCCATTATTTATACATTGATCACTGGTTATCTGATTGGCATGAGAAGTTTTCATATATTCCTGAAATGCGTTCTTGTGAATCCAAGATTATTTTTCTTCATTCTAAGACGACCATCTTATTTGTTTAATTTTACACTTCAATGGGTAATGGGTTTAAATGTCCCGATTTTTTTGAATCTGCTATTGACAACAACTACATGAATGTTTGGAATGCGAATGGCACACGTTTTTTTTATTTTGATTGTGATGCTGGAGATTGAGAAAAAAAAATTCAAGACATGTGTGTACTACTTACCATCATCACCAGCAGCAGTGTTTGTGTGTGTGTGTGTATGTGTGATCCAGGTGTTATGGAATCCAAATTTTGTAAGGATTTCAACGGAAATCGTGAAAAGAAAAACAGTTTTAACGAATACAATTTTTTTTCTCGCTCTCTCACTCATTCACAATATGTCTTGATTCAACTATAAAATGAGTTCAGAATAATCTTTTTCATTTGATTTTTAAATAATCGATAACATAAAAAAAATTTATATGATATGGTCATCTGTTGTTGCCACTGATGCTAATGATAATGATAATTGTCCATGTTTCATCAAATTTTTTTTTGTTGAGGTCGGATAATCGGATACAAAATACATTTTGAAAACAACAACAACAACGACGAACAACAACGACGACGACAACAACAAAAAAGCAATAACAATAATAATTTGATATGACCGAGATAAAATTCAGAAAATAGAAGAATGTTGTCGGTCGTAGTGTGCATACCAAACATTTTTTATTAGACCGTTTTTTTTTCATTATCCATCCATTTATTCATCCATCCACGTTCTCTACATTACTATACACACACACACCTTAAATTGCGTAATACCAGGCCAAATGATATGTATATTCAGTAGAGACCAGACACCATTTGGTGTGTGGCACTATACATACATTTGACATGTGTAGAGATAACCTGAAAAAAAAGGGCACGTGGTATTTGATTTTTTTTCTCTTGGTACGTGGTTGTTGTTGCCATCACACGCATACACACACACACACACACACACACTCACTTCCTTGCTGTCCCGGACACATACACACATATTTCGGGTCCCGTCACTACAAAGAAAAACATTCCACACTTTCAAACTTATTGTCGATTTCTTTCCTTTTTTTTATACTATTGACAGTCATTATATTAGAGACTAAGAAAAGAGAAAAGAAAAATGCAACAGATGCTTTAATCGATTACGATCACGATCACGATTATCATCATCTGATACCATATTTTTATCTTTTTAAAACTTTTAGGTCAAAGTTCATTCATCTTTTGGTTAATCATCAATATAAGATTGGCTACTACTGTAAAAAATTTTTTTTTGAATTTCTTTTTCTTTTGGATGCTCGCGTGCCATTTTCTTGTGAAAATGAAAAAAAACGACGACTAACGACAAAGATGAAGATCGATCGATGGTATTAATTCGTAGTAACTTGTGTGTGACCTTGATGTTAAAAAGAGGTCGCGTGCAACGTGTGCTTGGGACCAAGGAAGTGAAAATTTTATCTTAGTTTTTTTTCATCGACAATTTTCTATGGAACCAAGAAAGGAAAAAAAATTTCTCATCAATATGTTCATTGGTGATTCATTTCTAAAAAAAATAACAATCAAACTTTCAATCCTTACCTTACAAAAAAAATTCCAAAAGGGCTAGCTAATTTGTCAAAAAAAAAAAAAAAAAAAAAAAATTTCCAAATGGACAAACGATATCAAGATCCATATCATAAGTGTCATAACGATTATGGTATACCAGATATATCATATCACCACCGCTACACATATACAGGTTTGTGTGACCAAAACCAAAACGTCACCGGATTGATCGTTATCAATTTATCGTTATCGCTGGATTTGGATCTAGTAATTTTTTTTCCAAAATTAATAAAGATATCAAAGCAAGCAAGCACTATTGATCCAGGAACAACGAAATGATCGATACATAATTTGCAAATGAAAAAAAAGGGTTGAGCACTCTCTCTTTCTCTCTCACGAACACGCAACATTTTGGCAAAAACAACAACAACAACAAAAGTTTGAGTTAAAAATAACAGAAAATATTTTATTTTCAATATTTCAAAAAAAAAAAAAAAAAAAAATTCAATTGTCATACGATCAAAAAAAAAAAAAAAAATTTTTTTTTTCAAATCTTGAAAATGTCATTTGTCAAAAAAAAAGTAAAAGTCAAGGCTTCCATTCTATTCTGTTCTGTTCTGTTATCCAGAAAAAAAGTGTACCAAAAAAAAAATAAATAAAACTTTTTTGACTGGAACTTGGACGACCAGCAACAATTGCCATTGTGAATTGTTATTGCCTGTAACAACACATGTTAAAGTCATAAAAAAATTATTATTATTTTAACTTTTAACTTGTCAATTTTTTTCTTTATTTTTGAAAAGTCAAAAAAAAAGTTTATTCGTTGTTGTTGTTGTTGTTGCCCCAATACCAGATATCTACTGGTCATGATGTTTTCCTGTTGGAAAAGTTATGAAAAAAAGTGTCAATGAAATGATGATGATGATGATGATGATGATGACCATATGTCCATGATTATGAATGCCGAAAATTAACTTGTCACGTAAAACAAATAAAAAAAATTTTTATTATCCAAAATTATTGTTATTTTGACAACAACAGATCGATATATATCCCAATTAATGACATACACATTGTTGATTCCGGTTGGTTAAACATTTGGTCAAAAAAAAAATCTTGTTTCAAATGCTAAAAAAAAGTCAGAATAAAAGACGGAATTCTTTGGTACAAATAATGAAATTTTGAAATTGACAAGCACGTGTATTGAAGAATTTTTGTTGTTGTTGTTGTTTTTCTCGATGACCTTTGATCACGATCTTTTCACAAACAACAGCAACGATATATAATTGGATTTCGAAAACAATATTGGCAATTATCAATGTTTTTTTTCTTTTCTTTTATTTTTTTTGAAACCTAAAAGAAAATTACTTTCATTCACAAAACGGGTTGATCATCATCAGTCATCTTAGATTGTTGTTGTTGTTGTTGTTTAGCTGAAAATAAATTAAAGGCTTGAAAATTTCAGGTTCAGAATCATCATAATCATAATGATTATGGTTAAAACGATCGTGCTTTGTATGTGTGTGTGTGTGTGTGTGTAAGTAAATGATCATCACAACAATCAAACTCGTGCCAGAACAATAAAAAAATGATAATAATAATTTGACATGACCAAAATGATGATCGTGGTGGTGGTGGTGGTGGTAGTGGTGGTAATGGACACCTAAATTTATGTAGATTATACGTTTTTGACGGTACCAACGTCATTGACAGGTTTCAATAATTTTTTTTTTCGTATTCAGAAATAAATCATCATCAATATATACGCCTCCACCAATTAAACCCATTTACCATTTGCTTTATTCACGTATCTCAATACCAAATAATCAATCTGATTTTCATTTTATCGTGACCTGACTGATGATGGCCATCATGTTTAAAGGGTTCAAAATTCGTGAGTCGTCAAAGTTTCAAATTGTTTTTATTTTTTTTTTCGTTGGATGGTTGTTGGTTGATGTTGTCCATCAACCATCAATGTGATCCGCCTTTTGGACCAATGGCCACCAGGTGATGGCCGATTGATAATTTTTTTTTGTGGTGGGTGGGTGAAAAAACAAAAGAGGAAAATTGCCATAAATTTTTATATCGAATATATCATCAACGATTGACTCTGGTCAACGATGATTTTTGTTTATTTCCTTTCAATTTCTAGCCATCTGATATATCCAGCCTACTGATGGTATCAAAATATTTGCAAAAAAAATAAGAAAATTCAAATCACAAAACATTATTATTACCTATTCATAATACGGATTCTTACACTTGATTTAATCTAATGTGTTTGTTGAGCTAGAGAGAAACGAAAAAAGAATGAAATTTTTTCACTCTTTATTTATTTACCAAAATCGATTGAAATCCGATTCCATTCGCGATCATCAATCAAACACACACACACACACACACATGTATAACCCTTTTGTATATATCTCGGTTATCATCGGTGTCTGTGTATATGCGTAGGTGTTTTTTTTCTGACTTTCAAAATTCACATTTTCAGTCGATCAGTTTGATCCAATGTGATCAATTCGGTCGAATGATTATGGACAAAAAAAAAAAAATAAAAAATAACCGGGTAAGAAAAAATCTTTCTGTGAAAATTATTAAATGTGCCAATTGATGAGTGATAGAAAGAGAGAGAGAAAAAGAGAAAAATGAGACTGATACCACACGAAAATTTTTAAATATTACGTCGTGCACCCACACACACACACACACACACACACACATCGATTTGGTTCACTTCAATGATTATGGAAGAAAAGAATGGTGGAAAAGAAAAGAGGACAAAAAGAATTGGTGGTCAAATTTCTCACCATTTTTTTGAAATATCAAATAAGCAGAGATACCGACACACAAATAATGGAAATGATCCTGAAACACTGATTAGTTTGGTCGAATGAAAATGAACAATATATTGATAATCATCATATGCATAATACGATCTATCTATCGATGATATCGATAGATCAAAATTTCTATATCCTTTCTTTTCAAAATACATTCATGGTCATGGTCATTGCCATATATTTTTTTTTTTTTTTAAAAAACCAGTGAATAACCGTATCATTATTATCGATTATTGTTACCATCATCACCATCACTATGATTATCATTATGATTGACCAACTGACCATTAATGATTATATTGATTGCCATTATAATGTGTGGTAACCAACTGTGTGTGTGTGTTTTGGCTAAAACGCGTTGAACTTACATACAAACAATGAAATTCAAAGAAAAAATTGACTACTGGGGGCCGAGACCAAAAAAAAGACCTTATTTATTTATTTATAACACCATCAACAACAATTAGAATCTGCGAAAAAATAGTTTGAGGACAAAGGGTGTTGTTGTTGTTGTTATGGTTTTGACGACGAAAAAATATATTCGTGGGCCAATGATAAACAGTCGAATATTGGTATACAAACAAACGGTAGGTTTATAATCATTTATTCGTTTGCGATGGTGAGTAATATTTTAAATATCGTAACAACGTAACAGCAAGTTTTATTCGTTAAAATTTTGTTTTCCACTCGACGATGTGTTTTGGTTTTGATTTTAATTTTGATTGTTGTGGTTAACCAGACAATTTCGATGATAACATTGTAAAACGTGCATAGAATAACATTAGCTATTATGAAAATGTTTAAAAGGTGGACATTAATATTTATATGAATTGAAAAACAAACAAAATTTGTTAATATTTACCTTACAGAATATTCCTTTAGTCAATACGGTAATTGTACCGATTTTAATGCCCCATGGTTTGATATTCACCATACGTTCATAATAATTCATGATTAGAAATTTAAATCTTCTACATGATTGTTTATCAATCACTATGATCATTCGTTGTAAATCAAAACGTATTGCATTCAATTTTGAATTGAATTTCGATATGAAATATGTTAATGCGATGATAAAATTAAAATAACATACCAATGTATAATATAGAAAAAATATTAAGAAAATTTGATCATTTTGTATCTGTTTCAACAGATATAAAACTAGCTGTGTTCCAACAGTACCGATAATCAATATCCATAATATTAATCTTGACATATAAAGTTGTATTTCTTCACTAAATATTATTAAACGTGTATATAGCTTTAATAAACGATTTATGTTATATTCAATTAATCGTATATTCATTCGATCATTGATATTTAATTTTTTTCGTTTATTTGTAATCCATTCATATAATGTCAATATTTTTCGTATATCCATACGAATTTGTCGTACAGTTTTCATGCCCAACATCATTGTATATGATCCAATAAAGAATGGACTATATGCAAAAATTGCTGTAAAATTCATTGAAATTGGCAATAATTGTATCATCAATATAGAGATTATTAGCTGCCATAATGGACGATTGATATTGATTAATTTATCAAATATAAATATAAAGAAACACAAGTTCAATAATGCTAATCGATTGATTGATTGATTGATTGATAAAAAAAATATAGATTAGATGATGATTTGATATGAAAAATGTATTATGATGAACTTACCATGAAATATTTGTCCAATAGAAATCCAACGATTCATAAATAAACGAAATTGTTTAAAATTTGTGGAAAATTTTCTTAATGAATAATTAAATAACAAACATGATGATCGAGAATAATTTCCATATTTTTCTATCATTATTCTATACATTTTATCAAAATCATCATTAAATTCTTGCATATAAATAATTAACGTACGAAATGCTAATGAATTCTGTGTATAGAATGTATTATAAATAACAATTTCTGATACAAGACAAATATTTGCAATGAATAATGATATAATTTTTTCAGTCATTTGTTGACCATCAGGAATGATGATTGTGGTTAAATCACCGATTAAAAAACGAAATGTATCCGAATATTGGATATAATTGAAACTTTTTGTTGAATAAAATATGCCCAATAATGTGGATAGGATAAATTGTAATTTTTCCAACAATGGTAACAATATGAATAGATGATAAAATCCATATTGATTATTTAACAATAAGAATGATGTTTGATAATCGAACACTGTTCGATATGATGATAATGAATAAGAATTTAGATAGATAATTGAAAAAATTTGATAAATAATTTGTAATTGATTATCCAATTTGGTCATCATTTTGGTTTATATTGATGAATGATGATGGTGATGATTTTTTTTCTCTCTTGAAATTCTCAAAATCGACAGATAGTAGTGTGGCTGATATCACTCTATACAATGGAATCGTTTGCCATGTAAAATTTAATCATTCTGATCTAAAAGTGAAAAAAAATTTTTTCCATTACATTTCAAAATCCATATATCATGAAATGAAACTTGGAAGATGAAAAAATTAAAAAAAAAAAATTTTAATAATAACAAAAAATTCTAGACAATCAATCAATCGACCATGAGAGAAAAAAATTTTTTCATTTTTTTTTTCTTGAAAACAATGCCATTAATTATGACTATGACTACGATGAACTAATTTCAAAATGAATGAATGAGAAAAATGAAAAATTTGTTGAATCGAAATCGATCCACCATCATTTGATTGATTGATGGATGATGATGATGATGAATCGTTGTGTTTATGTGAACAATTTACTCCATAACATTGTGAAACGTATGAAAAATATCATTAACTATATTTGTTTTGTTTTAAAAAATTGTTTTCGTGCAAAAATAAAAATAAAAGAAAAGAAAATATTAATTTTTTTTGCTAGTTGATCGATTAGAATAAAATATATATAAATTTACCTTACTAAATACCGTTTTTGCCAATATAGTAATAATTGTACCGATGGTTTCGTTGTAATTAGCCGTTCATAATACGGTATTTAGATGAAAAAATGTTTTGTGATATTGTGAAATATATTTCAACAAAAATGTTTGTTCGAAATTTTTCGTGTTATTATTGTGTTCAATCTAGCGCCATCTGTACGTTGAATTTTGTATTTTAAAATTTCGTATTTATACATGACTAACACGTGTCTGAGTAGATATAGACATTATATTGTATTTAGAGCTTAGAGAGTATTTTTTATACAGTTCAACAAACGAGCAATTCGAAATTCTACTTACATTCCTTTTTCCTATTCGTGAATATTCGAATTTTATCATCTAACCATTGGGTTTTTCATTAAAAATATTGATACTTAATATTCATCATTATTTTTCGCAACAATGTCCACAAAGGCCTATCTTGATAGATTTCTATCAGTAGTGGATCAAAATGACAAAAATTTGATGCAATTTTTGGAATCATCATCGGTTGATCAAGAATACACTGAACTTATTGATGCATTTCGACGTCAAAGCATTATGGAATCAACAAATCTTTCTGAATTGGATCGCATCGAAAATCGTTATATCGAGGTTGAATCATTATCATCATCGAGTGATGAATACGATGAACGTATTGACCACGAAAATCAACGACTAAATAATAATATACATAGAAATCGACCGATGACAATGGATTGTTCAACACAGGTAACCATGGCCAACAAACATTTGTTGATTATTGTGATATATGATGCCGAATCTAATTTGGTTTTTTTATTCAATTCATCTAGACAGAAGATACCATGGCTACCATAAGTGATAACCATTGCGAAATGATATCATCCGAATTGGAAAAAATGAAATCTAAATTTGACAATTTTTCACAACAAATCCAATCTATGAGTAATGTTTTCAACCATCATCGACAACAATCACCGTATCATCAAGACCAACAAACATCTGTTTCAACGAATGTGGCATCTACTAGTTCCGGAGATAGTTCGATCAATAACGACAATGTAAACATGATGGATGATTGGAAATTTTCCTGTACAAAATGTCGATTCAAATTCGAAACAAAAGCTACGTTTAGTCGTCATTTAAGAAGTCATCGTCCGGGTCAAAAATATTTATGTGAAAAATGTGGCAATCTTTATAAATCTAGATCAATTCTCCGAAAACATTATCAGTTACATTCGAATTTGGAACCATTTAAATGTCACAAATGTAATGATAAATTTAAACGTCGTGATTATCTTTACCAACATATGAGACGAAAACATTCTTAAATTGTGATTATGATGATGATGATGATGTAATTCACAATAGAAATGATAAACATGATAACAGATATCTATATAGAATTTGTGGAAATAGATTTAAATTCAATTCCAACCCGTCCATAATGTAATTAAAAAAATTTTATATTAACAAAAATTCTAGACTATCAATCAATTGACCATGAGAGAAAAAAAACAAGCGATATTTCAATGAGCAAATTTTTTCATTTTTTCTTTTCTTGAAAAAAAAACGCCATTAATTACGACTATGACTACGATGAACTAATTTCAAAATGAATGAATGAGAAAAATGAAAAATTTGAAAAATCGAAATCGATCCACCATCATTTGATGGATGGATAATGATGATGATGATGATGATGATGAATCGTTGTGTTTATGTGAACAATTTACTCCATAACATTGTGAAACGTATGAAAAATATCATTAGCTATATTTGTTTTAAAAAATTGTTTTCGTGAAAAAATAAAAATAAAAGAAAAGAAAATATTAATTTTTTTCTTTGCTAGTTGATCGATTAGAATGAAATATATATTAATATATAAATTTACCTTACTAAATACTGTTTTTGTCAATATAGCAATTGTACCAATACCAATACCCCATGGTTTTGTTGTAATTAGCCGTTCATAATATGTTGTCATATGGTATTTAAATGAAAAAGATGTTGTTCTGGCCAAACATGGCCTACTTAATAACTGAAAACGTATTGAATTCAATCGTGAATTTAATGTTGATATTGTAAATGTATAAACGATTATCATCAATAGATTCAATATTAATGCATAATAACAGATAATCAATGAGATGAATTGATTTTGATCAATTTTTTTAATACATACAATAAACACTTGACTACTTATCATGTTGACCACTAATGACCATAATACTAATTTCGATACATATGGTTGTATATCTTCTATGAATAAAATTAATCTTGTATACATTTCATAGGATTTTTTCAATTTTTTTTCCACCATCATTTTACGTAATCGTAGCATTAAATTCATTTTATAATTTTTATCAATAAAAACAATAATTGATTCATATTCTTTTGTTGTTTGATTAATATCGGATTTAAATTTTTTTATCGATCTATTTGCAACACTCATTGCATATGATCCAATCAATAATGCAGAATAGGCAAATGTTGTACAGAAATTGATAAAAATGAATATTATTTGTAATGAACTAAATCTTATAATCATTTGCCATATTGTTTCATCATCATATGATGATGTATGAAAATCCAACAGATAAACACAAATATTTAACATGACTGAAATGAAATGAAATGTAGAAAAAAAAATCAATTATCAATTAAATCAAATCATCATCATCACTTACAATGTAATATCTGTACTAGATAGTAGAATCGATTCATAAATTTTTTAAATTCAATTGCTTTCATTAAATTATTAATGGTCAAATAATCAAATAATTTACATGTTTTTATTGAATATTTTTGATGATAATAATAATAATTATTATTATGTTCAATTATTTCCACAATTTTATCATCAGAATTTCTATCATCATTCAATTCACGTAAATAAATGACCATTGTACGGAATGCTGATGAATAATGTGTATGAAATGTATAATAGATTAATATTTCAGCCGCAATAATACAATGACAAAAACAAATGGAAATAATATTTTCAATAAAAATTGAATAGCCTGCAATCAATGGTGTTAAATCATTGATTAATCGTTTGAATGTTGGCGGATATTTGATCAAACCAATACCTTTGGTTAGAAAGTATATAGCTTGTATTATTCCGATCAGGAATTGTATTTGTTCGTATTTTGTCAATGATAATATCAATAATGGCCATGATTCGGATGATGATGATGATGGCGGATTTAATAGTAAAAAATGTGTATAAAAATCAAATACAGATGGAAATATTTTTGATGAATATGATGATAAATAAAATTTTGATAATATATGATATGTGTTGTGTAAAATATTATCCAATTTGAATATTTTCATCTTCTTTATGTATGGTTTTTTTCTCTCTACGTTGATAATAATACGTTGTGATGATGACTATGTTTCGAATGTGAATGATAATTATTCAAAAAAAAACATTTGTTGTACATATCAAAAACACATGAATCTAATTTTTTTGTCTTGATATTAATTCCAGGATCGATAATAATAACAACATATAAATCAAATTGTTTATGTTGTCATTACATATCGAAAATGTCATCTTGTGCAATGAATTTCTCTTCATTTCAAAAAATAATATCTTCTTTTTTTCTGAATAAAATTCTAAAATAAGGGTTATATATTAATATTTACAATACAATGGGAACTCTACTTACGAACAACTGTGTGTTTCAGAAGAATCGTTCGTCACTCGAATTTCTGACATTTAAATGGCGAACAATTTATTTTATTCAAAATTAGCAAATCAATTTGAATAGAATAGAAAATTATTTTAATCAAATTATCATCATCATCATTAACTTTAATTTCAACATGTTTGTTCGAAATTTTTTGTGTTATTATATTATTGTATCCAATCTGTAACGCCATCTTTATGTTGAATTTTGTATTAAAATTTAGTATTCATACATGACTAACACGTGTAATATATTGCACGTGTTAGTCATGTTCAATGTTTTATTCCTTTTGTATTGAAATTTGTGCATTTTTTCAGTTTCTCGTAAAAATAATGGACACATTGTCTAATAGAGACAAACGATACATTCGTGAAAGTTTTTCAAAAATAAGCGTGCTGATTATTTATAATAAACCAAGAGCTCAAATAATCGCAGCTTATTCTCGACTAATTAAAAGAATGTGGGAAATTTCACAAAGCAAAATGCCGGAGTTTCTTTTAATGAAACTGAAACAAGATCTGAAACGGGCTAATAGTTTAAAAACAAATTCAAAATCAGTAAGTTACGACTAATATACGTAATTCAAACTAATTGTGTAAATTTTTTCGATAATCGTATTGTAGACGGCACAAAAAAGAAAATTTGATCCCAACCATGAACTGGTTAACGAATGCAAGAAATTACGAAAGGGGATCATTGCATCTGCCAATTGTTCTGATTCAATTGGCACCTTTTTCACCAATTACAAAGACCTATATTATCATTTATGCGAGGACCATCCGTAAGTGTAAATGTAGACAATTTATTTATATAATTTTTCATTACATCTTGTCTATGATGCTATAGAGAAACATTTGTCTGTCCATCAAATGAAAGATGACGATGTTCGTGATGTCCTGCTGCCAGTCAATAATGATGGTGAAGAAACGAAATCCAGTTCTGAAGTAGATTGGAATTAATATTCCACTGGCCATGAGCAAGCAGTTATACATGAAGATATCTAACTGGGTAGATCGTTTCAAAATGACAAAAATTTGATGCAATTTTTGGAATCATCATCGGTTGATCAAGAATACACTGAACTTATTGATGCATTTCGACGTCAAAGCATTGAAGAATTAACAAATCTTCTTTCTGAATTGGATCCCATCAAAAATCCTAATATTGAGGTTGCATCATCTCATGATGAATACGGTGAACGTATTGACCACCAGAATCAACGACTAAATAATGTGCTTAAAAATCGACCGATGACAATGGATCGTTCAACACAGGTAACCATGGCCAACAAACATTTCCATGGCCAACAAACATTTGTTGATTATTGTGATATATGATGCCGAATCTAATTTGGTTTTTTTTTATTCAATTCATCCAGACAGAAGATACCATGACTAACATAAGTGATAACCATTGCGAAAAACAAATTCAAAATCAGTAAGTTACGACTAAAATACGTAATTCAAACTAATTGTGTAAATTTTTTCGATAATCGTATTGTAGACGGCACAAAAAAGAAAATTTGATCCCAACCATGAACTGGTTAACGAATGCAAGAAATTACGAAAGGGGATCATTGCATCTGCCAATTGTTCTGATTCAATTGGCACCTTTTTCACCAATTACAAAGACCTATATTATCATTTATGCGAGGACCATCCGTAAGTGTAAATGTAGACAATTTATTTATATAATTTTTCATTACATCTTGTCTATGATGCTATAGAGAAACATTTGTCTGTCCATCAAATGAAAGATGACGATGTTCGTGATGTCCTGCTGCCAGTCAATAATGATGGTGAAGAAACGAAATCCAGTTCTGAAGTAGATTGGAATTAATATTCCACTGGCCATGAGCAAGCAGTTATACATGAAGATATCTAACTGGGTAGATCGTTTTTTGACATTGTCAAATACGAATTGCCAGTGGAATTGTATTCAAAATTCATTGAATTTTGCAAATCGGTAAACAAGTGTCGATTAAAATTTCATATGACACAAGAAGCCATTTCGTCATTTCACGAAGCATATACAAATATATTTGAATTGGACAGTTTGAATCAAAAATTGCAAAATTTTATGACTAAATTTGCTAATTCAAAATATTTACAAAAAAATTCTCTTTAGAAAAATTGTTAATTTCTAATTTATTTTTTGTAAACTTCAGAACTCACTTATGATTCGATATTTTCATATAATTTCAATTGTGTTTCATTATTAAGAAGATAGATTTTTGTTAATTAGGAAAAGGATATGGTTGTGCACTCCTGATGAAGAAGGGTCAAAGACTTAGCAAAGTTCATAATTTTTCGACCGTCCGATTAGCCGTTCATAATACGGTATTTAAATAAAAAAATGTTTTGGTCAAACTTGGCGTACTTAATAGCTGAAAACGTATTGAATTTAATCGTGAATTCACGTTTGTTCAAAATTTTTCGTGTTATTATTGTGTTCAATCTAACGCCATCTGTACGTTAAATTTTGTATTTTGAAATTTCGTATTTATACATGACTAACACGTATCTGAGTAGATATAGACATTATATTGTATTTAGAGCTTAGAGAGTATTTTATACAGTTAAACAACCGAGCAATTCGAAATTCTACCTACATTCCTTTTTCCTATTCTTGAATATTCGAATTTGATGATTTAAATATTGGATTTTTCTTTAAAAATATTGATACTTGATATTCATCATTATTTTTCGCCACAATGTTTTCATCGTCCACAAATGACTATGTTGATAGATTTCTATCAGTATTGGATCAAAATGAAAAAAATTTGATGCAATTTTTGGAATCATCATTGGCTGATGAAGAATACAATAAACTTTTGGATGAATATCGACGTCAAAGCATTATGGAATCAACAAATCTTTCTGAATTGGATCGCATCGAAAATCGTTATATTGAGGTTGAATCATTATCATCATCGGATGATGAATACGGTGAACGTATTGACAATGAAAATCAACTACTAAATAATAATATACATAGAAATCGACCGATGACAGTGGATTGTTCAACACAGGTAACCATGGCCAACAAACATCCGTTGATTATTGTAATACATGAATCTAATTTGGTTTTTTATTCAATTCATTCAGACAGAAGATACCATGGCTACCATAAGTGATAAACATTGCGAAATGATATCCGAATTGGAGCAAATGAAATCTCAATTTGACAATTTTTCACAACAAATCCAATCTTTGAATAATGTTTTCAACCATTATCGACAACAATCACCGTATCAACAAGACCAACAAACATCGGTTACAATGAATGTGGCATCTACAAGTTCCGGAGATAGTTCGATCAATAACAACAATATAAACATGATGGATGATCGGAAATTTTCCTGTCCAAAATGTCGATTCAAATTCAAAACAAGAGCTACGTTTAGTCGTCATTTAAGAAGTCATCGTCCAGGTCAAAAATATTTCTGTGAAAAATGTGGCAATCTTTTCAAAAATAGAATAACTCTCCGCAATCATTATCTTTTACATTCGAATTTGAAACCATTTAAATGTCACAAATGTAATGATAAATTTAAACGTCAAGATTATCTTCACTACCATATGAAACGATACCATCCTTAAATTGTGATTATGATGCTGTTGATATGATTCACAATAGAATTTGTGGAAATTCCAACCCATCCATAATGTAATTATAATACATTGTGAAACGTATGAAAAATATCATTAGCTATATTTGTTTGTTTTGCCCCTATATATTATGGAATAGGGGTTGTCTCTGTTTTTTCATTAAAAAAATATTTGTTTTAAATTGTTTTCGTGAAGAAATAAAAATGAAAGAAAATAAAATATTAATTTTTTTCTAGATGAACAATTAAAATGAAATATAAATTTACCTTACTAAATACCGTTTTTGTCAATTTAGCAATTGTACAGATACCAATACCCCCATTGGTTTCGTTGTAATTAGCCGTTCATAATACGGTATTTAGATGAAAAAATGTTTTGTGATATTGTGAAATATAGTTCAACAATGTTTGTTTGAAATTTTTAGTGTTATTATTGTGTTCAATTTAACGCCATCTGTACGTTGAATTTTGTATTTTGAAATTTCGTATTTATACATGACTAACACGTGTCTGAGTAGATATAGACATTATATTGTATTTAGAGCTTAGAGAGTATTATATACAGTTCAACAAACGAGCAATTCGAAATTCTACTTACATTCCTTTTTCCTATTCGTGAATATTCGAATTTGATCATCTAATCATTGGATTTTTCTTTAAAAATATTGATACTTGATATTCATCATTATTTTTCGCCACAATGTTTTCGTCGTCTACAAATGACTATGTTGATAGATTTCTATCAGTATTGGATCAAAATGAAAAAAATTTGATGCAATTTTTGGAATCATCATTGGCTGATGAAGAATACAATAAACTTTTGGATGAATATCGACGTCAAAGCATTATGGAATCAACAAATCTTTCTGAATTGGATCGCATCGAAAATCGTTATATCGAGGTTGAATCATCATCATCATCGAGTGATGAATACGATGAACGTATTGACAATGAAAATCAACTACTAAATAATAATATACATAGAAATCGACCGATGACAATGGATTGTTCAACACAGGTAACCATGGCCAACAAACATCCGTTGATTATTGTAATACATGAATCTAATTTGGTTTTTTTATTCAATTCATCCAGACAGAAGATACCATGGCTACCATAAGTGAAAAACATTGCGAAATGATATCATCCGAATTGGGACAAATGAAATCTAAATTTGACAATTGTTCACAACAAATCCAATCTTTGAGTAATGTTTTCAACCATTATCGACAACAATCACCGTATCAACAAGACCAACAAACATCGGTTACAATGAATGTGGCATCTACAAGTTCCGGAGATTGGTCGATCAATAACAACAATATAAACATGATGGATGATCGGAAATTTTCCTGTCCAAAATGTCGATTCAAATTCAAAACAAGAGCTACGTTTAGTCGTCATTTAAGAAGTCATCGTCATAGTCTAAAATATTTTTGTGAAAAATGTGGCGATCGTTTCAAAAGTAGAATAACTCTCCGCAAACATGTTAAGTTGCATTCGAATTTGAAACCATATAAATGTCCCAAATGTAATGTTGAATTTAAACGTCATGATCAATTTTACATCCATATGAAACGAAAACATCCTTAATTTGTGATTATGATGATATTGATGTTATTCACAATAGAAATGATAAACCAGATATCTATGTAGAATTTGTGCAATGTCATTAGTTATATTTGTTTTGTTTAAAAATTTTTTTTCGTGAAAAAATAAAAATAAAAGAAAAACAAAATATTAACATTTTTTCATGAAGATATATTTTTGTTAATTAGGAAAAGGATATGGTTGTGCACTCCTGATGAAGAAGGGTCAAAGACTTAGCAAAGTTCATAATTTTTCGACCGACCGATTAGCCGTTCATAATACGGTATTTAAATAAAAAAATGTTTTGGTCAAACTTGGCGTACTTAATAGCTGAAAACGTATTGAAATTAATCGTGAATTCACGTTTGTTCGAAATTTTTAGTGTTATTATTGTGTTCAATCTAACGCCATCTGTACGTTGAATTTTGTATTTTAAAATTTCGTATTTATACATGACTAACACGTGTCTGAGTAGATATAGACATTATATTGTATTTAGAGCTTAGAGAGTATTATATACAGTTCAACAAACGAGCAATTCGAAATTCTACTTACATTCCTTTTTCCTATTCGTGAATATTCGAATTTGATCATCTAATCATTGGATTTTTCTTTAAAAATATTGATACTTGTTATTCATCATTTTTTTCGCCACAATGTTTTCATCGTCCACAAAGGCCTATGTTGATAGATTTCTATCAGTATTGGATCAAAATGAAAAAAATTTGATGCAATTTTTGGAATCATCATCGGTTGATGAAGAATACAATGAACTTATTGATGAATATCGACGTCAAAGCATTATGGAATCAACAAATCTTTCTGAATTGGATCGCATCGAAAATCGTTATATCGAGGTTGAATCATTATCATCATCGAGTGATGAATACGATGAACGTATTGACCACGAAAATCAACGACTAAATAATAATATACATAGAAATCGACCGATGACAATGGATTGTTCAACACAGGTAACCATGGCCAACAAACATTTGTTGATTATTGTGATATATGATGCCGAATCTAATTTGGTTTTTTTATTCAATTCATCTAGACAGAAGATACCATGGCCACCATAAGTGATAACCATTGCGAAATGATATCCGAATTGGAACAAATGAAATCTAAATTTGACAATTTTTCACTACAAATCCAATCTATGGGTAATGTTTTCAACCATCATCGACAACAATCACCGTATCATCAAGACCAACAAACATCTGTTTCAACGAATGTGGCATCTACTAGTTCCGGAGATAGTTCGATCAATAACGACAATGTAAACATGATGGATGATTGGAAATTTTCCTGTACAAAATGTCGATTCAAATTCGAAACAAAAGCTACGTTTAGTCGTCATTTGAGAACTCATGGTCCGGGTCAAAAATTTTTATGTAAAAAATGTGGCAATCTTTTCAAATGTAAATCAAATCTCCGAAGACATTATCAGTTACATTCGAATTTGGAACCATTTAAATGTCACAAATGTAATGATAAATTTAAACGTCGTGATTATCTTTACCAACATATGAGACGAAAACATTCTTAAATTGTGATTATGATGATGATGATGATGTAATTCACAATAGAAATGATAAACATGATAACAGATATCTATATAGAATTTGTGGAAATAGATTTAAATTCAATTCCAACCCATCCATAATGTAATTGAAAATTTCAACTAAAACCTCTTAAAACGATCATATAAAACAAAATTATACTGATGTAAAGCAATCATAATTTTCGTAAATAAACATTGATAATTATATTGATATATAATCAACACACACACACAACACATTCATAGTTTAATACAATTCCAATATTGAAACAATCTAAAACGTCTGCTAATAATAATATTAAGTGGACCAAATGAAAGTAAAGCAATCCATTCACAAACATTTCCCATTGTATGTAACCAATAGCCAGGCATCATTGGTTTCCAATGTAAACGTAATTCATTATTCCACATGTCCCATATGGATCCATATTTTAATACTGATGAAATGGTGAAAATTCCACAACCAATTGTGAATACAATACCAATCATTATGATGATTGTAGTCGTAATCGGTTTCGATTGTATACCATGTGAATAAAGAATTTCATATACATAAATCTAAATTGATTGAAAATAAAATAGAAATAAAAATAGTCAGAATAGAGATTGGTTTCAAAAAAAAAAAAAAAAAATACAAAAATGATACCAATGCACAACCAAATAGCAGACCGGATGGTAGAAAAAGTGTAACACCAATCATATGACCAGTAAGATTTTCGGTTGAACGAAAATTTCCGGTTAAAACCAAACCAGTTGACATGAATATTGTCATAATGATTATTATTCGGTTACATAGTTTAAGATGATCGATATTTTTATATTCATCATCATTATTATGTTTCGAACCTAACGGAAGCCGTTGATTTAATTCACATCGATAATAATGGATTTGTTTATACAGGATTATTCCTACAAAAGCAGCTGAAAATTGAACAAGATTTTTTTTTTTTTTTTTTTTGATTATTCTGGTAAGAAAATTTATTTTTATGTTACTATTATTATTTACTTAATGCAGCGATAATATCAAGAAATGTTGAAAAATAACTTGCAGCCGGTAATATGGCACCAGCATCACTGACCATTGGCCATATTGGATATATTAATCCTTTCAATACAGTAACGATGTAACTTGTTGCCGAAAATAAAAATAAATAAATAAAAAAAAAAAAAAAAAAATACTGAAATCCATTTACAACTTACGGTATGACACATGCAATAACAATCATAATACCATTGATAAATGGAATTAACCATAACTGTCGTTTTATATTTATAGTTAATAATCCTGATTTTTGAATAAAATGATTATCATGATCATGATCATCATTATCATTTATCATTGTTAATGATTCGGTTGTAATTATGGAATATGTGGTTGTATTGTTAGATTTTTTACTATTATTATCATCCGTACTACAATTCATTGGTTGAATGATTAACCATTATAATGGTAATTATATAAATTATATAAATTAGATTCACAAAACAAAACAAACAAAAATGGTTCCTTTTCATATAAATATATATATATGGTCAATTAATTTGTTGTTTCATTCGATTAGACTGGATCTCTGTACATATTGTGTTTTATTAAATCGAATGTAACAAATTGAATTAAATCATCAAAATTATTATTATGTCATTTATTTAAAAAAAGAATCAAAAGAAATCGAATTGGAAAAAAATAATAAAAATCAGAAATAATGGGTTTATATGTATATAATGGATTGATATATTATCCAGTGATTAGAATGAAACTTGATCCCAATGTTGAAATAATCGTAATCGTTGTGATGTTGAAAATAATAATGGTGCAAATGAAATAATAGCCGCCCATTCAGCAATGGTACTTGCTAAATGCCATTCATAACCATCCATATCGGATGACCAATATAGTCGGAAATTATTATCCCAATATTTAAATGGTGAACCATGATATAAAACAGCGATTAATGCTGTTAAACTGCTAGTAAATGTGGATATGATGTTGAATGAAGTAATAATCATCAAACTGATTGCACGTGATTCTATTCTATCACATCGATATAATTGTTCAATCAGGTAAATCTAGAACCAGAATTAGATAGTTATGAGAAAATGAAAATATGTAATACAATTAAAGCTACAAAATACCTGTATGAGCATGATGATTGGAATGAAACCAAACAACACTGTTACACCGAACATATGTCCAGTCATATTTTCAACGATTCTAAAATTACCAATTAACACTAGACCAAATGGAGCTATTAATCCAAATATGAGAAAATAAAAATTCATTTGATGTAATAATCGTAGTTTATATGGATTATTGATATGTTTGTTCGTTGAATTCGGTAATAAACGGGTTAGATAATATTTGAACTGTTTATAACGGGCCCATATCGTTATGGTGACTGATGATGATCAGACAATCGGAAAAAAACATTAATTCATAATAGTTAATTTACATATATATGCGACAACACTTACATATGATGGCAATCATGTCCAATAATTGTGAAAAATAATTAGCCGCAGGTAGAAATGATGCCGAATCTGATACATATGGAAAAATTGGATGATAATGACCTTTTTGCCAAGTCAATGCATATCTATCATATAGAAAGCCAATTATTAATGAATTCGAACAATTTTTTTTTCTACTTACGATAAACCACATAATAATGGAATGGATAAACTTCCTAAAAATCCTAATATCCATAGATTGTTTTTGATACGTGTATAGAATCGTCGTTTCCATACCAATATATTGTTGGTGGTGGTGGTATTTGAATTTAAATGATGATCATTAATTTTTTGAAAACCATTATTATCACATTGTGATGAGGATGATTCTGATTCATTATTAGTATTTAAATCTGAATTCTGAATCGAATTGGAATTTTCTATAGAAGTAGCCATATTTTCTTTAGAAAAAAAAGAGAAAACGACAGCACACACACACACACACACTTTGTTATTAGGTATACGATTGGCGGTATACAAAATGCACAAATCAAAGAAACAAAATCAATATTTATTATTATGGATGATGAAAAGAGAAGAGAAGAAAAAAAAAATTTTTTTCTTCCGAAGATTTTGATGATGATGATGATGACATATGTACGTTGTTTGATGTTTGATGTGTGTCTGTTATTATTATGATAATCAAAAGTATTCAATTTCAATTATTCATCAATTCAATCGAATTTTTTTCTGAATACTATTTATCATTCATTCATTCATCATAGATTCGAATTGATTTATTTTTCAACTTTTAATACGCACACACACACACACACACAGAGAGATATTTGAAACAAATGTCCATTGATGATTGTGATAATTTTTGTTTCGTTATAAAAAAGAGAAAAGGAAAAGAGGCAATCAGACACAGGGACACAATGATAAAAAGGGAACATTTCACATTTATAACATTTTGTGTGATGATTTTTTTTCACTGTTTCTTTCGAAATTTAATTTTCATAATATTTTAAAACATTCGTTGTCGTTGTTGTTGTTGTTGTTTGGCGTTTGTCGTTTGTCTTTGACCATGATCATATACCAAACATAAATAATTACAACAAATACAATAATGACTTATGGCTTTAATATTATCAACATCATCATATGATGACCGAGAGAGAGCATATGTGGCAACGAACAAAAAAAAAAAAAAAACACATACAACCCCAACAAAAGTCTAAAACAACTATAGTAAAAAATTATTATTATTATGGTCAATCAGTCGAAGGTTAGAGAGTGGACAAACTAGTTTTTAGTTTTTTTTTCGTATATACGATACGATACCATGTTGATTATGAAATTTTGCTATGAATATATGGGATTCACCATTCGAGGTATCCATGATATATATATAGTTAGCAATTGAATTAAATCCTTTTCCTCATTACTAAAATAGTAGTGATCTTTATTTTCAATATTTTTTTTCCCAATCTATAAAAGACGTCAAACTTATATTGATATTTTTTATAGTCAATATAAGAAAAATAGGGATTTCTTTTTCTTTTTTTTTGAATGAAAAAATTCCTCGAATATATTCAATTTAATTATCGATTTATGATTGAATGAATGACAAGTGATAATGATGATGATGACATGATGTTGATTGAATATAATCGCGATTATTTATTTAGCCATCCAACACGTGTTATTACGCATATTTTTCATTGGCCAATCATTGATGATGATGATGATGATTATTATTATTATTATCAAAAAAAAAAATCCCTTTTTAACCACAATAAGCTTCCTACGTTTTTTTTTCTTTTGTTCATTATCGATTGATTGAAATGACAATGAAATCAATTGTTGTTTCAATATATATTTATTGAATAATATAATACCATGTCCGCACGTCAAGATGTTATTTTTAATAATTTTTTTTTCTTTGTTGTTCTGATAAAATTATTATTATTATTTTTGCTTGTCATCGTGATGATAGGTTGATGGATGATGAAAATCACTTGATGAAAAAAAAAGACAAACAAACAAACAAACAAAAAAAATCTAAAAAATTCATTTCATACGAAAATAGAAGTTGTTTTTTTTTCTTTCTGGTTTCCTCTATCGCACATATATATGACATAATGATGATGATGATGATGATATCTACTAAAAACGTTCGAAATAAAAGTTTGGAAAAAAACCCGATTCATAATTGTATACAATTTCAATGGAATTCTATTTTTGAATTTTTCTTTTATTTTTTTTTTCGTTGAATGATAACGAAATGAAATTGAAATTTACATTATAATCTCGTGACATTACATTAATCAATATATGATCATGATGATGATGATGATGATGATGATGAAGCGGAAAAAATGAACCAACAATGTAGGTGTGTTTGATAAGACTTGAAACAAGAGAATGTGGTGAATGAACGATCGAATTATAATGATTTGTTTTTTTTGATCAATATTTTCCATTGTTGTTCACTGTGTCATATATGACAGTTGAAAATTTCATAATCATTATTCCGGTGATAGAGTATTGGAATTTTTTTTTTACCAAATTCCCTCACAACAAAATCGATTCCGGTGATTCATTGAATCCATCCGATCGATGTATAAAAAAAAGTCACTCAATCATATGTTTTGTTCGAATCCATTCGATGGAAAATAATCACGAATAAAATCTTCACATATACGGATGAATGTTCGACAATTTTGTAGATTAATATTCAATTCAATACTGTCTTCTTGGCTACGATACGGAACTGTTTCGATTATCTCATAGATTCGTCCTTTTATTATTTCTACTTCGGATTGTTTACGACGAATTTCCTCCAAAAGCATTTGACGACCATCATGATCATTGGCGGTTTGTCGTATTCTTTCATTGATTGTTTTCAGAAAGCCAACATATGGATATAATGCTTTTGTTAGCTGTGCAATTGTTTCGATTTGTTCTAAATATGAAAAAAAAGAATCTTTGTAAACAATACAATTGGCAAAATGAAATCAATAACCTACCTATAGAATCTTTCGGTGATGGATAAAGATGTACACGAATCTTATGATAACTAGGCTGACACAGTAACATTATCATGATGATCAATATAGTAATCGAGATGGCCATTAAGGCATTGTCAAATTTAATTTTTACCGACATTATTTTCTTTCGTTTTTTAAACTCGTTCCATCCACCCAACCATCCAACCAGTCAACAACAACAATAATAATCGCATACCAATATCGATATGATGATTGATCAATCAGACATATTTAGGAAGAAATCATTATCAAAACATCTTATCAACAAATTGTTACCAATTGATATCAATTTAGGTTATCATAAGAAATGCACAATTTTGCACAGAAAAAAAAATCATCCACAATTATGATTGTCTATCAATAGATGGCATGATTGAAAAAGAAGGTGAAAAAAATGCCATGCATTTACACCAATTGACATGCATTGTTTTTTTGAAAAATGATTTATGGCCACATAAAACCTTGAGATGATTGGATTGATTAAAAGTTTTCAATTATTTGTTGATCAAAGTACGTGTAGTTACCTTAGTAATATAAAACGATGTATAATAATAATCATAAAAAAATATATGGAATGCAGATCGAAAAAAAAAAAAACCCAAACAACGACATCCTGTTAAAAAAAGCAAAAAAAACACCATTCAATTAAGATTCCATCATTACAAGTTTAAAATTGAAAAATAATAATTCGAAATTTCGAAGGTTTTGATACACACACACACACACCGTTTATACAACTTTATGTGAAGGGGCTATTTTGATTTGAGTTGTGTTTTTTTTTGGAAAAAAACATTCGAACATGTATTATTATTATTATTATCAACCGGTAATAAAATTAGCTTATATTTGGCAAACGATCAATGTTGCCATCACGGTGTCGGCATTGATTTGTTTGAAATATGACGACAATCCTATGATAATCGTTGGATACAAATCATGGATAAAGTATAGGAATCAAAATGAATTATTGGATGATGGTGGCTATAATTATCATCCATATCGTCTATATATGATATTTTTGGCCACATATACAGCATTTACAGCCATCATTATGGCAATGTATTTATCATTTATGGTAATTCAGTTGTCAACCATTTTCTTGAACAATTCTAATTTTCAATTCTAATTCTTTTTTTTTTCTCTCTCTCTCTCTCCATTCATCGGTAATTAATTATAAAAAGTTTGTACGACGTATTTTTCGACGATTCTCATCATTTTGGTCAATACACAAGATGTTGATAACATATTCATTCATTTTTGAAACCGATTGTATATGTAATTTTATTTGGAATATTATTGAAAATGGTGATCAAGTGATCAATACTATTGGTATTGAACAAGAATGGATTATAATCAAAACATTAATCATTGCCATTTGTCGTTGGTTTTTATTAATCATATCAACAATGTTTACATTTGGTTATCTAAAACGATTAATGATTTCTGGCCGATATCGTCCAAAATTTGGTTGGTTTTCACAGAATCTATGTGATTATCTTATCATTCGTTATCTATATTATTGTTATCATCATAATCATATGTCAAATTGGTTATTACATTGGACATTTACAATGATCATCTTTTGTTTTTATTTTGTTGACATTCGCCCACTTGTAACTATTTTCCGTAAGACAATTTAAATTCTGATTTTTTTTTTGGAGTTTCCTAATATATCGTCCTTCTTTGTGTTATTTACTATCACATGAAGAAAAAAAAATGAGGAAATTTTTTTTTTTCGTTTGACAAATTGAATACTGATAATAATAAGCCATATATAATTATCATAAATGTTAACCATGATATTATTTGGTGGATGATGATGAAAAAAAATTCAAATTTGAATTTTTTTTTCCTTCTTGGAAGCTATTTCTACATACACACACAGCTGTTATTATAGCTGAACAGTTGAAAAAAAATCATTCTCTCTCTCTCTCTCTCTCTCTCTGTCCAAAAAAATATCAAATCAATGATCAATCTTGAATTACCTTGAGAACAACGAAATAACGTTCATCATTTCAAGATGATAATCATAAATTTTTCAAAAATGCAAAATAATCATCTTGGAACATCAACTAATGCAATGAAATGAAATGAAATGATTTGGTGATGAATACATCAAGGTTAGTAAAAAAAAAAAAATTTTTCTGATAATAATTTATGCACCATCATCAATCAATCAATTAATCGATTTATCGATCAATTATTGATTATCCTGGTTTTTCTGAATGATCATCATCATCTTGATCATGTTGATGATGATGAGAATAAAGTCCAACCAACTTATATCCATCATCATAAAATAAATCTGCTTACACAAATGTGGCTTAACAATCAAACATTCGATCATCAGGTTTTCGATAACATGATGATGATGATGAGCTGATTAAATATCAAACATTTGTTTCATGCTTTAATCACATGTTTTTGTTGTTGTTCGCATTCTATTCCGGATGAAAATTTGTAATTCGTTTTTTTTGGTTTTATTATTTCACACACACAAAAACACAAAGGTTCATGTCCTAATGGTTAACAAGATGTTAAACAAACAAACAGAGTGAAAAAAAGAGAGAGAGAGGTAAATGACATAGAAAAAAACGAAAATCAATCAATCAAAAAGAAAACCCTGGCTTTAATCAAGAATCGGAAATTATTATTTATGGAATATTCTTATGACATGTTATTCACCCGCTATGTGATTGACAAGCTGTTAAAATCATCATCATCATCATCATCATCAACATCGTCAATAGTAATTGGATTCATAATTTCAATCGTTCGAAAGCATCAAAAATATTAAAAAAAATCGATACCGGAAACAACAACAATGAATGGCAAGTAACAGATAGTAAAAAAAAAAAAAAAATAAACAAACATTTCAAATGTACAAATAATCATCATCATTAATGATCATTTTCTTTCTTTCTAGCAATTTTTTTTTATTATTATCATGGCCAACCACCATCATCAAAATTGTGACATCGGTCATCATCATTGTTGAATAAATGAATGAATGAATGAATAAATAAATGGTCAATTCGGAATATAACAACAACAACAACAACAACTAAAAATGAAGAAATCTCATTAAAATTTAAACCGATTGTCATTGATCATTGATCAATCAATTGCCAACATTTGAATGAATCAATCCGGATTGTTCACTTGATTTATCCAAGTTCAAATGAATTTCTAATCAAAAAAAATTTTTGAATATATTTAATATATGTTCTCGACATTAGACATCTGTGTCTATGTGTGTTTTGAATTAGACAGAGAGAGAAAATGTATATGTACGCGTCTAATATACAACAAAACAAGTATATTGTTGATAAAATATATACATTTCACTTTTTTTTATATAAAAATCATACGATTCATCGTCATCATCATCATCATCATTGCCGAATGATTTGTTTTTCTTGTTTACGTTTTTTGTTTTGTTTTTGTTTTTGTTATGTTTGTAGACCAAACCACACTCCATTATAATGGATATATATGGTGCGTCTACATACAACGAAAACGAAAACCAACCATATGGTTGAAGAGATAATCAAAACAAAACAAAAAAAAACACACCATTTCCAAATGGCATCGTACACGAGTTTTTTTTTTTTTTTTTTTGGTTATCACATAGGAAGATTTTTTCTTTCTTCATCCACTTTTCAGTATTGAATTTCCCGAATCATCAAGATAATCATCTGTATGGTTGTTGTTGTTTTTTGTTGTCACTATGGTTTGTATTTTTTTTCTGGAGCATCAAAAACATTATCATTATCATTATTACAATTTAATAATGTGTTTGTGTATATATTTCACATTCAATTATTATGGATTATTTTGTTCTATCTATTTCGGTTACAATTATCCTTGTCCGTGTTTTTTTTCTGGTTTAATCTCTTTTTTATTTGCCTTGGCTCTTTAGATGACAAAATCCCTCGTATTCATCGTATGTGTTTGGTTATATTTATAAACAAAACAACGACGACAACAATAACAACAACAACAACGACAACAACAAAACACGAATGGGAATATATAAAAATAATGGGCTAAATTCATTATGAAGCACACACGTACATATATCATAATGTTATGGCTGGCTGGTTGGCTGGCATTAACATTGAATTTTTTATATATATTCATTCAATTTTCAAATGATGAAAAATGATAAAGGAAAAAAAATTGGTAGGAAAAAAAAAACACACACACACACACACAGAACACATCTTTACAGAATTTGAACCACACAAACGATTTTTTGGTTGATTGTTGTTGTTGTTGTTGTTGTTGTTGATTGTTGATGATGATCTCTATATGATCGCCTACGTTTTTTGTGTGATTCTCTATGTAATAACATGATGTTCATACCATTGACGTCAATAATCATAAATAATGATGATGATGATGATGATGATGTTTGTTTGTTTGTTTGTTTGTTTGCCATAGCAATAGGTTTACCATGATGGAATTGTCAACAATTGTTGTAATTAATGTGCTGTAATAATCTTGTAATGTCATTAATTTTGACCATCATCAGCCATAGCCAATCCATAGTCAAATATAGTTGATTATTGTGGCTAATTAAAAAATAAAATTTTTTATTATTATTATTGTATAATTAATCAAACACACACACAGTGGATTGTGGATGATATGCATTTTTTTTTTAATATCTAATTTCCAAGATTCAATAAAAAAAATGACGACCTTTAAACGAAACAAAAAAAAACTGCTGGAAAACCAAATGAATGCATAGAATGAATGGTTTTTTCCCAGTTTCATATAATAATCACAAATTTTTTTTCGTTGTCAAAATCATATTCACAAACGATGGCAATGACAATTAAATTTTCAAAAAAAACTAACGAATGTATCTAATTGATTTTGTTCTATGGAAATCCTGTCTCTTTTTTTTCTATTGAATGTCAATCACAATACAAAAAAAAAAATACCACAGACACATACATTGGAAAAAAAACAGGTTGGCAGCCATATACGATTCTTTAATCAAATTATCGGCCAATCAATTGGGTTTCTTTTTTCTCTTTATAACCAAATTGAATCCTGTGTGTTTGTATGCAATGGAATTGGATCAAGTTTTGTTTCATCAACAACAAGAAAAATGGACAAAAAAACTCCTTCATGAAACAATGCAATTAATACTTTGTATTTGTATTTTTTTTTTTTTTTACTAATAATTTGATTTTTATTATGTCAAGTCATCATTATCCAAAAAAAAAACGATGCAGTGATTTTTGGGTGATATAATTTTTTTTTTTTTTTTTGATCATCCATATTGTTCATGCATGTTGTATGATCAAATAAGTTAGTGTTGATGATATCTGATGATACCTGTGTGATATAATAATCATCAGTCTATATATATTACAACACACCTGTTGATATTGCTATTTTACTTGGCTATTAGTACCGATTGGTACAACAAAACTAAAACATAAAAAAAATGATGGGCGTTTATTTTCCCTTTACATAGACATCTAACCTGTATGGATGAATGAATGAATGAATAAAAATTCGAGGACATAGAAAAGAAAAAAAAATAAACAAATTTTCACTTCCTATTTCGTTTTTTTTTCACGAATGTTTTGGCCTCGAAATTGATCGATATTTATCGTCTGTTGATTTAAAACAAAAAACGATGATGATTGGTAACCCGTTTTTTGTTGTTGTTGTTGTTGAATGTTGAAAAAAAATTAGATAGGCCAAATGAATGAAAAAAAAACAAATTAACTGATCAGGTAAGATCGATTATTATTATGCGAATTACCAATTGGATTGTCATCATTCACCGGTATTGCAAAAAAAAAGAGATCAAGAAAATAGAACTATAGTTAGCCTCGATTCTTAGATAGCTTGTTTGTTTGCTTCTGGTTTTATCATTATCTGTCATTATCGTGATGTGTGTGTATACATTCGTCAATTATTATGTCAGTTTGTGTTTGGTTAATGTCAGTGATGAGTATGTACTGATTTCGATGGTAACTTGTTGATTTCAATGGTAGTTGGCTTAGTTTCATTATCTGGGCCAATATCGTGTGTTTCAATAGAACAAAAAAATTCAAACAAAATTTCAAACAAACGAATTCACATCTGGAATTTAATTTCAAAATTTTTTTTCTTTGTTATGTCAATGGCTACTTAGTCGATGGACACACTTTTTTTTGTTTTTATTTTAGCCTAGTTATGAGGCAAAAAAAAATTCCAAATTTGGTCAAAGCTAAATTATTGAGAATTCATTACATTCCAAAATAGGATAGGAATGTTTTTTTTTATTTTGGCCAACAAGCTAGGTGCTAGCTGCATTGTCCATCGGTTTTGTTTTGTTTTTTTTCCATTTAACAACAACCTGATTGATTGATTTTTGAAATGAAAACCAGAAACAAAATGGAAATAGAAACAAAAAAAAAATTTCCAATCACAATTTTTTTTGGAGGAAAATTTCCTACCAATGTCGAAATAGGAAAATTTTTCAAAAAAAAAACATTCGAATCAAAAAACCTTCCAATTTCCTCAATTTCGGTGGATTCACAATTGTTGAAACAATGTTTATCATCATCATCATCATCAACAACAATCAATTGGTACCCAAAAGAATTAATTCGGATCATCATATTATGATATATCTAATCAGATCGATAATCGTGATTAAATCAGAAAAAAAATGTTTTCTAAGGATCCTATGATCATCATCATCATTATCAAAGTATCAATGTTAATATAAATGCCGCCAGTGATCATAGTTGACAGACACAGATTTGTTTGTAATAAATACATACGTTGGATGCAACAGCAATGGCAACAACAACAACAACAACAACAACAACAACAAAAAACAAAAATATCTCCTCCTTTTTGTATGATTGCGGTTTTTTTTACATACATTGCAGCATTGTATATTTTGTTGCTGTTGCTGCCGCTACTTGTCGATAATATGATTTGTGTTTTGTGGCAGTAATGATGATGATCATCATCATTTGCCATTTAGACATACGGCTGGTGTGTACACACACACATTGTGATTTTTTTTGTCGTTTTTTATATTTTTTGTATGTGATATTCATTCATTTCAACGAAAAAAAAATACTTTTTTTCTGTTTTTCTCTTTTTCTCTGGATGTACATTTTTTCTCATTCAAAATCAATCAGATTTCATTATTCGAATTTATTTTATTGGATGAATTTTTTTTGATTGATCGATTGATTGATTGATAATAGTGTGAAATCCAAGTGTGTGTGTGTTTTTTTTTGTTTTGTTTTGTTTTTGTACCTGCTTTCAACGGTGTACTAAATATACACACACACACGTACCTGTGTTTTTTTAAAAATTTCAATTTTTTTTTCATTCATTCTTCATTTCATACCGAAATTGTCTTTACTGTGTACCATACATACATACATAACATCCTTAATTGTTTGGACACGTATCCACGGATCTAATAAACAATAATAACATCTAATCCATCTATAATGAAATTGAAAAGTTTTAAAAATTATGTACGACAACGTACAATTAGCAATAGTAATAATAGTAATAATAAAAAAAGTCAAAAATCAAAAGATCATCATCTATCATATGATACAATATCATTGGCCGGTAATTTATTTCGTACAGAATTAAATGAATCACGACGAAATTCTCGTTCCAATTCTATTAGTTCAACACGAACCGATATTATGGATAGTTCAACATCAACATCAACATCATCATCTTCATCGTCTTCATCATCATCATATGGCCGATTATTATCACAACATTATGGACAAAATTCCTACAGTTCATATGAAGATAATGATGATAATGTTGACCAACGGTCATCATCAGATACAATAAATTCATCAAATGAATTGGCTCAATTAAAAACCATACATCATATGTCGGCATCATCACCATCCATATCGTTTCATCATTATCGACCACAACGATTATCAACAACAACAACGACGACAAAAACAGCAGCAACAACAACAACAACAACAACGGTTATCATAACTCCATGTTGAATGGAAACATTTTACACATAAACATTTTTTTAGTGATATACACACACATACATACACAACACAATTTGAAAAACATCAATTGGCCAATTTTCATTTTGGATCTCACAGACACACACACACAACAACAACAACAAAAAACAAACAAAAATCCATTTGAATTCAATTTCAAATGGTTTCTATTTATTTTCTTTTTTTCAATCATCACTTTTTTTTATCGAAAAACAAATGATCATCAAATGGCCACAAAAACAATTTCCATTTCGATACAATGACAATCGCGAGACAATTATTATTATTATTATTATTGTTATTTTATTGTTATTGATGAAACAAAAAAACAACAAATTGTAAATTTTTTTTCCTTCGATTAATTGATTGATATTTGTATTTACACAACAACAAAAAAATGTGCAATAATAATGGCACAATCGCCTTTCTATCTCTGTGGTTTTTCTCTCTATTTTATTTGCTTGGATTTTATATTCTATTTACAATCCTAGTCAATTGTGACGAAATAAATAAATAATGATTTTATTTGATCAATTAATTTTTCTGTTTGAAAATTTTTTGTTTTGAAAAATATGATCATTCGATGGGTAAAAGATTAGAACGCCATCTGTTGGTGACGGTTTAATGGACAAAAACGCTATTCAAGTAACAGAAAGCGCCATCGTCTAGTTGGTTAGAAAAGTATTTCAAGATTTAAAAATACACTCATACCTCGATATACGGCCGCTCTTTATACGTCATTTCGCTATAACGGCACTCTTCAATTAAGGCACGTTTTCGATTTACGGTCTAAAATGTTTCGCTATAACGGCACTTGACATATAAAAAATTTTTTTTCGAAATAGCTACATGTTGCCAATCTCATTCAGCATACGTGCTTTATGTATGACACATAGCGGTATATATATAAGACAATGTAAATTGTAAATGTAAATGTAATTTCTATTCGAATAAAGTTCACTGTTGCTCACTTCGATGATCATTGTTGACTTGTTTTGTGATTTTTTAGAAAAAATGCCAAAAGTACAATTATCGACTTCGATTAAAAGATGCCGAAAATCAATCACGCTTGAAACAAAACTCGAAGTATTACTTCGTATAGAAGCTGGAGAGAGAATTGTTGAAATTTGCAAGGCAATGGGGCTTGCAAAATCTACCATTCAAACTATTCGTGATAAAAAAGAAGAAATCAAAGCATATTCGCAATCTGCTGCACATACAAATGTCGCGAGATTAACCCGACAACGATACTGGGTTATTGAAAAAATGGAAAAACTATTGTTTATATGGATTCAAGACAATAACAAACGTAAAATACCAATGAATCAAATGACTATACAGCAAAAAGCTTTAAGCATTTTCGAAAATTTGAAGAATGACCATACCGATGAATCTGTTAAAGATGTCACATTCCAATCAAGCCGAGGATGGTTTGAAAAATTTAAAAATCGATTCAATTTGCGTAATATCGAGGTATTAGTGTATTTTTATTATTATTGGATCCAATGCAAGATGATTCACATTTGAAATCAATTGCAAATATTCTATGTACTGGTAGTGATGTAATGTTATGACCATTTCTGTTGATATATCTAATAAAGAGATATATTTAATTGGTTAGTATTTTAAGGGTATTTATATATATTAATTATTAATATTATATATTATATATATTATAAATAAATAAATGTAAATTAACCAATAAAGAACCACATCATCACTCTCTATCAAAAACAATAAAAAGGAAAAGCCTTTTTTAAAATGCTCATAAAACTTTAGCTCCTTCAAAGCTAATACCTATTAAGCTAAAAGCATAAACAAACATAACTATTATATAAAAAAAAACACCAAAAAAAACAAAACTCGAAAGATAAAAAGATTTTATATTGACTCTTGAAAAAAAAAACACTTGTATTGTATTGCTGCTCTTTTGTCATACACAAACACATCATCGACTCACTGCATTTATTTTCATCTTATACTTATTGTTTGTCTTCTTTCCATGTTCTCATTTTATATTCTTTTATTTTGGCTAAATTAATAAACACCATATTAAAAATAAATTCAACAGAATGCGATAAAAAGATTCATGAATGATTTTGGATACCCGACAGTGGTATCAAGTGATAATTCGAAAGCCTTTATAGTCATCGAAAAAATGTATAACAAGCATGTTAATGAAAATAAAACTGATCAAAATGTTTCATTGAAATGGCATCATATAACGGTTTACTCCCCATATCGTGGTGGTCTTTGGGAGCGAGCTGTCAAAACAGTTGAAGAAACGATGCAAGCAATGTCGTTTGGAAAATCGTATAAATTTGAAGAATTTGTATCACAAATATCAGATGTTCAATACATTGTAAATTCTAGATCTGGGGCCAATGATTTTGATGCGCCTATAACCCCTTTGATGATGCTTAAGGGGGATAGGAACTGTAGAGGGCGTAAAAAAACGCATTTTTTGTTAAATGATTGCTCTTCAATGAAACGTTAATTGATTCAGCCAAATCACTTGGTATTGTTGGTCTAGCTACATTACAAATGAATATTATTGATAATAATCAAAATAATGGAAATTTATCGATAATCAAAAATATTACACAAAATGATGACGATAATAATAATGATTATAATAATATTGTTAATGATAAAAATATTGATATATCATCATCATCGGCTACAATCAATCAAAATAATAGTAATACAACGAATAATAATAATAATAAATTACATACTGGTTGTAAAAAACGTGGCCGTAAACGTAAATTACCAATTGTAAGTTTAATAATTTTGTTACGATTTCTTTTTTTTGATTGATTTTTTTTTTGGTTAATTTTTTTAATTTTTTTCCGTTTCATCATATATTAGTCAAATGATAATAATAAACCGGTTGTTGTTAATAATAATAATTCTAATGATGATCTCAGCACTACTACTATTACTACTATTGTTACTAATCCCGTCAAACCTATCAATGATAATGATAATAATCAATTTAATAATGGTTCAAAAATACATAAATCATTCTCATCAACAACAACAAACCATCAATCGAATGGTCTCAATCAAAATTTAAATGATATTAAAATATCAGATAAACCGATTATAGAATCGATCACATCATCATCATCATCATCATCACCACCATCATTGTCATCATTATTATCATCATCATCGTCATCGTCATCGCCACCAAAATCCAATGGTTTAGATAATAGAAATGATAAATGTAATGTGAATCATACACAATTGAAAATTGTAAATAATTTACAAAAATCGATAATTACGAATGAAAAATCCATTGTATCATCATCATCATCAACAACAACAGCAGCAGCAGCAGCAAATGTTGGTGTTGGTAGTATAATTTCCGAAACAACATTTAAAGCCAATGATACAAAAATATTGAAAACAACACCAGCAAATGTTGATATTAAATATGAAATACCTGAAGGAAATTTAATACGTGTAGAACCACGTCGTGGTAGACCACCAAAAATTAAGCAAACATCAACATCATTTACTACCATTCAAAATCAACAGGTACCAAGATTAAGTCCATTGGTTCTGTCAACAAAATCAACAAAAAAATTAATCAATGGATTGTTCGCTTACTGTATAATGGACAATCAACGTTCAATACCCTACAATCACACACACACACACACATTGGCTTCCACACACTTCTTGACCTAACTCGTTGGCCATCAAGCAAGTCGTGTTTTCATTGATTCCATTAGCTTAAATATGAAATACCTGAAGAATTTTACGTGTAGAAATTTAAGCAAACTTTCATTTACTTTTTGGAGGTACAAGATTAAGTCCACACACAAAATCAACAAAAAATTAATCAACATTGTTCGCTTACTGTATAATTTGGACAATCAACGATACCCTACAATCACACACACACACACACATTTTCCACATTTCATAACTCGTTGGCCATATATTTTCATTGATTCCATTAGCCAACACAGACTTTCAATTTTCCTTTCACCTTTTTTGGATACACACACACACACTACAAATGAACACAATTTAATTTAATTGAAATGTATTTTTTATTTCATATTTATATTCTTTGTTAGGCTTTTATTTTTATTTTATTGTTGTTGTTTCCTTTTTACTACTTGATCGATTATCATCCTTTCCTGGCTTATTTGTATTGTTATTATTTTGAATGCCTTGATTGGCCATCGCCGATCTATTGGAAAGAGAATAAAATTAGTTTTATTTAAAAAAATACCCTCTTTGGTCGATGGTTTCAAACCCGTACAACGAAAAATCATCCACACGTGTTTTAAACGTGATGATCAACGTGCAGTAAAATTGCTACAATTAGCCGGAACGGTTTATGAATTGTGTGCATATCATCACAATGAAATGTATTTGATGGAAACTATTATCAGGTTTGCACAAAATTTTACTGGAAGTAATAATATCAATCAACTTCGAAGACATGGTCAATTTGGTACAAGATTTGAAGGTGGCACAGATGCGGCTCAACCACCTTCAAACCTTGTTCCAAATTGACTTAGTGCTTAGTCTGTGAGCTGTAACTTTGACAATGCTTTTGAGAACTGTGTTGGCAGCGACATTTCTGTTGTTGCGGTTATAAACAGCAACTTTTGAACTTGCATCATCGATTTATTCGCTGCAAAGACTGTTTTGTTGTTGTCTTTGTCATTTTTGCTTTAGAAAAGCAATATTTTCGTTTTTTTTGGTGTTTTTTTTACCTTTATTTGTTATATAAAATGTCCAGCTTCAATGTAATGGTATGTAATAATGTATTGATATGTGTTTACATAAGTGTGTAAATGCTATGTAATTTTGTTTTGTGTCTATGTATTTGTGATATTATGTTTTGTTTATGAATGAGTGAAAAGGCCCGTGACTGGTGAAGAATAATATGGTGTATCTGTTTGGTAGAATATGGTCTGGAAGGGAGGAGTGAAAGAATTTTCTAAAATTTTCATTTGAGTTATCCAGGTATTTTTTGAATTTTTTTGTGATGTGAGGAAACCAGATTTCGGCACCGTAGGATAACGCAGGTCTAAGGGTTGCCGATATGAATGCCCAATATTTTGACGGTGTCTGATGGTTGTATGAGGAGATTGTTGAGAGACACTGGTAGTTTTCCTTGATTATGTAGACATAATAAGATGCTAGTCACCATGATTGAATTTGGTTGAAGCAGGAGATGATTTCTGATCTGAGACCGTGAATGTCGTTATTCCAGACTACAGCAAAAGTTGCATTGGTCTTACAAGCTAAAAATGCTGGTGCTGTGCTTCAAGATGATGTAATAATAAATTTTTTGTTAAATTCCTTGCTAAATGATTATGAAAAAATTAAAGAAGATATCCTTGATAATACTGACAATATTCCTATTTCTTTGGATAAAGTCATTGTTATTTTCTATTTATTTTTCCCGTACCTTACTTGAGTGAGAAAGGATAACCTTTCTGTTCGAAAGAAAAGATAATTTCATTTATTTTGCGTTAGGTTAGGTTATGAACCTTCCTATGCTTATAAAATTTTAAATTTATAAAAAAAATTAGCAAAAAGGCACCACCGGGATTTGAACCCGGGACCTTCTGTTGACCGGAAGCAAATTCAAAAGACCCTAAAATGGGCGTAGTTTTACTAGACAGACGTCCTAACCAACTGGACGATGGCGCCCTCCATTTACTGTAGATTGCTAAGCATTCACTAAATGGAGAATTTTAATAAATGCAACACCCTTTCATGAATACAACAAATGACATATTACCAAATGGTAATGTGGCATTTGTACATCCGATTGTTAAATCAAAACAAATTGTGAATTCAAAATTATTATAAAAGCGAATTGAAAATAATAATAAAGCACGATATGTGTTATTCTCGTCTATTTTGATATCCATGTAATGAATTAATTACCATCAATGATTAACATTTAAATCGAATCAATTTGTTCCAGTTATGAACGATTAATTGTTTGGATTCCGAATATAGACTGTAAGTAAAAAAGAAAAAATCTCAAAACACAATGCTCATTTCATATTTATATGCGTGTGAGCAGTTTGTTTACTATAGTGGTGGTGGCGTTGGCGGTTGAGAAATTCATTTATTCCTCATGGTTTTCATTTTTTTGATGTTTTCTTCAAATTTGAATCACCATTCATCATCATCATCAAAATGAACGAAGCAATGATCATGTCTAACGATGGTAATGATGAGATCAACAATTCATTGGAAAAACTTGTGGCCGAAATTCATGCAATGAAAAATGCTGAATATCGATTAATCGAAAACAAACTTAATGAAGTTCAGAATCGAGTGTTAACACGAATCAAAACGATTGAATCAAATTTGGCAATTTTTGAATCAAAATCCAAACAATTATTTGAAAATGTTGCCAAAACAATGGAAACAATACCATGGGAATGTAAAATATGTTTGGAAACGTTTGATAATCAAAAAGAACGTGATGATCATCAAAAACAATCTCATATTGATGATCATCAAGAACAACCTCAAACTAAGAATGATCATCAAGAACAACCTCAAATTAAGAATGATCATCAAAAACAAAAAAATGATAAACGAAAAATTGTAAATCCTCAGCCACAATCTACGGAACCTTTAATGAATGAATGTGTATTCTGTGAAAAACAATTCATTAGTAAAGATAATCTACTCAGACATATCCGCAAGAATAAATGTTCAACACTAAAATGTCAATCATGTGAAAAATATTTCAACACTTTGAAAGAAATGGATCTTCATAATGCTATTCATCATAAAATATTTAAATGTTCAAAATGTATGGAAAAATTTAGGAATAAATCTCTACTTGAAAAACATATCAAAACGAAACATGATGTAAAAGTTTTAGTTATCGATTCTACTTCGTCGGGTGCTGAATCTCCCGAAGAATTCATAGCATCATCATCAGATTAGCCAAGGTATGAATTTTTTTAAATGTTGCATTTGTAATAAACTATATTTATTTGTTTTTATTACCAGATTGTAACACAATATTTCAAGATTAATTGAATGGAAAAATTTTATACACCACTGGCCATCAAACTTATTTACAATCATTATTTTTTTTTTTTTTTTTGAATGTATCATGTCGAAAAGTTTGGAATTCCTCAACATTTTGTCCATAAAATAAAATTCCATAATCATCATTTTTTTGAAATTCATTTGAATTTGAATGAAACATTTGTCCTTGTTGTCTTGTTGTCCTTGTGATGTTAATGATTTTTTGGTGATGAAGGTAGCACATGATCATCATTACAAAACAAAACATAGGACGACGACCAATAATCAGTTGATTCATCAATGTGAAAAAAATGTGAAAACGAAACAAACTTAGCGGAATATTTTCCAATCATAAAATTTGTTGAAAGAAAACGATTGTTTATTTATATTCGATAGTCTTGAACACCACCAGATTAATGTAGTTATAAATAGAGTGTAATAAACATTGTGTATAAAACAAACGGAATATAATTGAGAAAAATATTTCATGCAAAACATATTGAACATACACAGTAAACGCATTTTTAAAAATTGAAGCAACGAGATGGCGTCGTTGTTGACTCTCTTAAAACTTGTTTTTTCCATCCATAGTCATCGGAAAAAAAGATCATCTTAAAATGATCTAACACAAAATCATAATGATCAAAACAGTAGCCGAAGCCGAGTCCTATTATTCAATGGTCCAAAATAGTTCAGACGAAATTTGAGTTTTTAAAAATCGAATTTATAAGCGTCGTTGGTTCAGTGGTAGAATGCTCGCCTGCCAACAATTTCCGCCGGAAGTCCGGAAGTAGTTCGCGGGCGGCCCGGGTTCGATTCCCGGACGACGCAATGGGTCAATTATTTTTTTTGACCAATTAATTTCCAAACGAATTTTGAGAATCTGGTTAAATGTTAATTTAATTTAATTCTAGATGGCGTTGTTTTTTTTAATCAAACCGCAATATTGATAGCTTTTCTTCAAACTTGGCACTTGGCGAGTGTAAAAGTTGCAGTTAATCACAAACGCAAGCGACATAGACTAGTAGATAAAATAGATGATGATTGCCAAGGATGTTTATGCGTTTTCAGATTAGTATTGCCATGAGAATTTATTATTTGTTCAAGAAAATTAATTACATCTTCAATAGTTGAGATCATCTTTCCAGAGGATGACCTGTCTTCTTTTTCCAGTAATATTTAATGTTTATTGTTGAAGCAAGTATCAAATTAACCAAAGGATTTCGAGGAATTTTTTGAGCTCTTTAGATCGGTGTTGATAAAAAGATGAGTAAAAATTCACCGATTTCCCCACAAAAAATGTCATTTATGAACAGATCTATCAGACCAAAATAAAGTTGGGAAGATAGTGTGTTACAGAAGAATGGTGATGATTTAAATTTCCAAAATTTAATAGTTGGGTGTAGGAGTTTTACTCTACACGTAATAAATATAACAACAGCACAATTGGTACACAACAAAGAACGTCAAGTAGTCATAAGTAGCTCTCGTTTATTTTTCAATACTTTAGTAATATTTATACAATAATAAATAGTTCTATAATTCAATTATAATTTTGAATTGAATTCAATTTTTTCGGTGATATTCAAAAATTCCAGAAAAAAAACAAAACAAAAACAACAACTGTTACTTTATCCAACACTAAAATCTTGTATATTCTGCGCCAATCAGTGTTGTAAACATTGGCTGCCGATATCATAATGTATAAAACCATTGTGAGAAAGGCATAAAAAGGCCAACTGGTACCAATAGATTTATATTATTGGTACCCACAACCCGAATACAGAATCGACGAAACGTCGAAAATATGAACTGCTGGCCAACGAATTGAAGTCGATGTATGGCTGTAAAGTGACCACAGTACCGATTGTACTGACGTGGGATGGTCTGGTCACGAGGCATTTCAGGAAGTATGCTGAGAGCCTGGGGTTGTCAGAGAAGATCCAAGCGTACATCCAGGGTCAGGTGCTGAAGAGGACCATGGAGAGCGTAAGGATTGATCTGAGTAGCTCTCAGGAATGCACAGGATAGATCCAGTCATATATGTATAATTATCATGTAGATTTACAGCACATTGATTTTCAATTAAATTTCGTTCAGCAACAAATAAACAAATCAGATGAATAGAACTTTGAAAAAAAGACGAATTAGCCAATTTTAAAAATTGAGTAAACACCAAATTATTTTACGAGCATATACAGATATATACAGATGGTAGCTGAATCATCTCGAATCACAGATCCAGATTAATTTTTAGTCAATAGCGTTGACGAGCTAACAAATCATTCATTCATTGGTAAGAATAGAATTTATTACAGCATTCATCAATCATCATCATCTTCAGGAAACTCCCTGTTGGCCCTGAATTCAATCAAAACACTCTGACACGTCCTTCGCAAAACCTCAGTTTGGATGTAGGCCTGCAGCCTTTCATTCAACCCCAAACTGTTCATGTGTCGGGTAAAATGGCGCGTAATGGCTGCGTTCTTCGAATTCTTCATGCGAATATCCATTGATTATATAAATATAACTGAAGTATTGAAAACTAGACCAGAGGAGAGCTTTTTTCACCATATAAATGGAAATTTTACATTTCATAACAATAGATGGAACAGTAATCAAATGATAACGTAATATTTCATCCGTTAGATGGTGGTTCGTGTACCATTCGAATCGTAATTGGCTACCTGTTTGATTGATGAAAAAAAAAGATTTGTAATGATTATGATGAATAAAAGACCGCCCTTGTTCGTCCAGGTGCAACATAGAAACTTGAAGCCAGTTAGTTCTTTTTTTTGTTATATACCTATGGTTTATTTTTTACCATTCATTTTCCACTTTACAACCAGCCTTCTTTTTCGAATAGACTGCTCTCTCTTCTTCAACATTTGGATGTTCATCATTGAGTTGCCGTCAAATATATAAAGGCCAAACAAATGCAAAGAGTCGTATTCATTCGACTTTTGTCTCGTCTCACATTTCGATCGGTCACAAATTTCGTAGTAGCAAACGCGGCCACATTTGGCAAATTTTGGACTTTGATTTTTTTTCTCTTTTCCAATCTTCAATAACATATATCATATCATATTCGATTTGTTTCGAAACTAATGTTTATACCATCACCATAAGTGCCTTGTCAAGAATATAGAATGACATCATCATCATCATCGTCATCGAATCATCATCATCATCATCATCATCATCATCATCATTGTAATCAACAACAATCGAATCATTTTTGTTGTTCACTATCATCGTCGTCAACATCATCGTTGTTAAACACTGTATCTCCACATTCATCACGACATAATCGAATCATGTCATCGAATCGACGTACAACGACATTGAGAGATCCATCATCTGTTTTACGTTCGATTAATAATTCGACAACATCCCCATTGTCGATGCCCATGATGGTCGACTTGAATAACAACAACAATGATAGCCATATCAACATTCCTCATATAAGTGCATCAACATCAAACATCAGTGATCCAATCCTATTAGATCGTATGGCTATTCTTAAAGCTTTTGCTCCACCAACGACGACAAACACAACGGGTACAACAACGACGATTCGAAATGGTTCAAGATCTAGCTCAAAATTTGAAAAACCAACCACAGCACGTGAAGCTAGACGACGATCAAAACAACGTAGACATAGGCAACCAGCCGTCTATGATCCAGCTGTTGAAGAAGAATTTCTTCGACTTCGAGATTCAGTACCATCGATTGCTGGCCAATCGAATGTTACCGATTTGACCATAATCAACGAAGCGATCTCACTTATCTGTGATCTTGAATCTCAATTATTACATAAAATTTGTTGTCAATCATTACCAGAATTACGGCAACAATTTATCAAATAATGATCAGATTAGATGAATAGACTTGTGATCACTGACTCCCATTTCCCTAAACACAATCCACCAATTGGCGTCAATTTGGCACCATCATTGTACATACGTTGAATGAATCTCAATCTATCAAACAGCTATTATACCAAAAAAAAAACAAAACAAAACAAAACAAACAAATAGTATCCGAAATCCAGAACGTAAACATATCATTGAATCTTCAAAAAAAAAAAAAAAAATAAAAATCTCAGCCAATAAAAAATGCAAAAAATTTGGCTCCTTTTACTATTTCTTTTTTACATCATATCCAAAATGCTCAACATTTTTTTTTATCCACCTCCTAAAAGTTCTTTCAGCCAAAATTGGCTTGTAACATATCTAAATGAACAAAACATATCTTTTTTTTTATTTTCTCTTTTCATCTATCTAATATGACAACCTAATACACAAAATGTATATCAATCAATCACAGTCTAACGGTGTATATCGTCAACAAAAATGAATTGTATAACATATCAAATCAAATTAATAATAATAATAATAATAAAAAAGATAAAATTATCATGAAAAAAAAAAAAATTTTGATTTTTTTTCAAAAAAAAATTGGCGCCAAATTGGATTTTCGAATAGACCACCCACCACCATCATCATCATCATCATTGATCAAATAGATCCTTGTTGTTGTTGTTGTCCTTGATTTTTGTTTCACAACAAATTTGCAGCTGTCCTTACCAAAAAAAAAACTAGAAAAACTGTGGGAGTCCAAAGAAACAAAAATCAAAAAGGCCCTTCATTTTAACCATATAAATATCTTGCATAAACATACTCACACGCTTACTAACAGCCCAAATGAGATTGAATTGAAGAAAAAAAAATACCGACTATAAGGCCCAAGGGGTCTTATTGGCCATTTGACCGCTGTTGCTGCTGCTTTTACTTTTGTTCCCTTGTTGTTGCTATCGCTTCTCCATTGCAATTCGTTGATGAAACGTTTTCTTTTTTTTTGCTTTTTGACCAATAGTGGCGGCAACTCTTTGTCCATTGTCAATAAGTGATGATGGCAGATGGTCGGTTGTAGGTTTAAATATTTGTAGCTATACTGTATGTTGTTGTTGGGTCCAATCTGAAACCTTAGAGACCATTTTTTTTTGATGACACATATACACACATAACAAACAAAAACAAACAAGGTAAGAATTTGTCTCTTTCTCTTTATTGGCTACCTGATTTCTGTGTGTGTTCCAATCATCAGAAGCGCAGATCACACATAAATAAAGTATATGGTTGGTGGTATCAGAATTTCTACCTTTTTTTCAAGAAAAAAAAACGCAAATCTTTTATGGTGGGCGACACTCAAATACAAAAAAAAATGTCATATGATGGATGCAGGTGAGTCAACAAATGGACACCACACACACACACACACACATGTTGACCATTATTATATTGACCAATAATTGGCATGGCCTCAATTCTTTGCTAAGAAACAGAAAGAAAAACCATAGAAATTAAAGAATCGAATATCTAGTTTTGTGCTTGAAGCCCATATTATGTATTTGCATGAGGAGGTTGGATTGGTCACGATTCAACAAATGGAAAAAAAAAAAAAAAAAAAAAAACCATTGACCAACAATAACAATGATGATTCATTCATTCATCGTCAATGTTTTGTACGAATAAATAACGATGCTAGGCATGGATCGTTTCTTTCTTTTTTGTGTTTTGTTTTGTTTCGTTTTTTTGCTATGAAGAACCTAGAAAAAACGTTTTTTCATTGTTTTGTTCATAATTTCTTCATATTGTATTCGACCATTGTTGATGCAAATTTGATGCACGTGCCATAAGGAAATTTACAATTTTTTTCTGGTTTAGTGACACACCACGCCCGAACAACAAAAAACCCAAATCGGTCAAGTCTCATCATCATCATCAAGTGTTTATCTCACTTTATGTTTGTCACCAAAAAAATTTCGCATTCATTCTGTAATTTTCACTTTCATTTATAATTATTTATTATCAGGTATATTTTTTTTTTTCACTGGAACTGATTCATCATCATCTGATGCTAAGGTTCATGGCCACCACCATTTTTATTAACAAATGATGATGATGATGATGAACCATAATAGAGTACACACTATATAATTGTAAATTGAGGAAATGGACAATTACTGATGATGATGATGATGATCGTCATTGTAGTTGGTCGGTAGGCCTTATCTACTTTTTATTGTATTATTTAAGTAAAAAATTTTTCGTTGTTATTTTCTATGAATGAAATACCAACCATCTTCACCAAATGGTTGGCTTGGAATTCAATATAGAATGGAATCACTATTTGCTCGAACACCTGGGCGATGATGATGATCATTAGTTGATTCAATTCAATTCAAATGTTCAGGCATCTGTGTATGCCATGTTATTATGAATGAATGAATGAATGAATGGATGAATGCCATTCACCAAGAAAAAAAAATTAAACCACCAGGATTGAAGAAAGAAAATAAAAAACGAAAAATTCATTCATTGAATTCGGATTCCATATACACAAATAGACACCTAAAAACATTAGTTGGCTTTTTGTGTCAATCTTTCAAGGTCTTCAGAATCGTGGCCACCTGACACAAACACACACACACACACACAATAATAATAATCTTTTGAATCGATAATAATCTTTTTTTTCTTTGTTGAACAACAACATTGACCTTTGAACCAAATTTTTTTTTTGTTCCATTACATAAGACTGTAGTATATAGTTGAAATGGCCATGGTATGTGATGAGATTTATTTATTATTATTTATTCGTCATGGGAAAGTGTAGGCTGAAAGCATTCAACATTTGATAGATTCAACTAACCAATTATCGACTGATGATGATAATGATGATGGAATTTTTAAAAGTAAAAGTGACATTGAAATCAAAACAAGTGTCACCTGTCTACAACCAATCATCATCATTTATTCCCGATCAATCCAATGATATTATCAATATGACAGGATGTGTGTGTGTGTGTGTGTGTGTGTGGGAATGATGATGGTGAACAATGAACAATGGAGCAATTTTTTTTGGGTGACAATTGGTGATGGTAGCCAAGCTATGCATCAATGATTACACCATCTTAAGATCATCATCGTCGTCGTCGTTGAATAAGAATCGTCTTCGGACAGTGCAAAAAAAATGTTTCATTCAATCCCTCCAAACAATTCGATCATTATAATTTCGTCGAATAATAATGATTCTTCTTGCTTCTTTCACATGAAACACACACACACACATTATTTCAAGTTCAATCAACCAAACACACACACATATGGATGAATTGAACACCTGTGTGTTGTTGTTGATGATGATGATGAAAGAATTTAAAAATGTCCTGTAGTTGAAGCCATTTTGGTTTAGTTTAAGAATAGGATGATTTGTCTATGTGCGTGAGAAAGAGAAAAAAAGGGTTAAATCAAAAAAAAAAGTTTTTATACGAATTTACATTTCTATATGTAGTGTATACCATCTTGAGAAGCAATAAACGAAATAAATACCCGAATAATTTTCGATGAGAAAAAAAAACATTTGTTGGCTGCTGCTGTTCTGTTTTGCTGTCGTTGTTGTTGTTGTTGTCTTTATCTGATTGTAGAAGTGAAATCGATTATTTTTTTACAATCAGGCGTCTCTGTTGATGCTGCTGCTGCTTATCTGCTTATCATCGATGATCAAATCAAGATGGAAATAAAATCTTATTTAAATGTCCTTGGTCATCGTTTTTTTTTCGTTTGTTTGTTTGTTTTTCAATCATTGCACAGCAAATAAAAAAATAATGGTCATCGTTTTTTTTCCTTCACAAAATGCATTTTCAACATTTACGCGTAGGTGTATTAATAATATCGTTCGTTTAAAAAAAAAACATCATCAGCAACAATAATAATGGCAATGACCACATATCTGTCAAAGAATGTAAATGAAAAAAAAATTTTTTATTTTTTATTTACGATCAATTTAATGTATACTCGATTGATTGATTGATTGTTTGATCGATTGATTATTTTGTATCGGTGATGTTTCATTCTGATTGAAATTTATTTTATTTTCATTCGAAAATTCACCAACCACCATACAGGAACAATTATCCGGGGATTATCAACGATTTTTTTTTCCAATCGATGGTTATTTATATGATATAAATCTTTCTTTTTTGATGATGTTGAAATCTTAGCAGGTGATTTGTCATGACATTTTCATTTGAAATTATATATGACTTTGTGTGTGTGTGTGTGTGTGTAAAAAGATCTTTTTCAAAACGTAAACAAAAACATGGTTGTCATTAAGAAACACAACATTCGAATAAATAAATAAAACTACTATACTATATTCACTCATATTGGATGACACAACCAACCATCACATCAACACATTGATTTTTTTTTTATAAATTTTGTTTTTGTTTCGAATAAATGTTCAACTAAATTTTATTTCAGTCTTGATTATAGATAAGATTCGTTCATCATCATCATCATCATCGTTTTCCATATAATAATATTCTTGGTAAATAGATGAAGTTTTCAAAATTCAACACAGGGTGATGATGGAAACCATATATCGAACTGACCAAAATGAAAATGTCCAAAACAAAAACAAAAAATTGACTGAATGAATGATGAATATATGTGGTCACCATCATGATTGGAGACATCTTGGCATCAAATATATCATCCATTCCATATACACAAGTTTTATCCATTACCACCATCATCATTATCCATAACATACATGGTGGCCATTTATTTATTCATGAATCCATCTCTAAAATGATGCTGGGATTATGATGTGATTGAAATTCGATTTAAATCAATGACTTGAATGAAATGAATTAATGATTTTTTTTGTCCATGTCAAAAGACCAGTAGCAGCCAATTTTTCTGTCTTTTTTTTTCTCTCTCTTTCTCTATAGCTGCGATAATGATATCGTTATGGTCGATGGTCGAAAATATCAACAATCATGGTGGTAGCCACAATAATCGTTGATCATTCAATCTGGAAAAAAGAACCATCAACGAAAAAAGATATCATATTCGATTCATCGAATGTATCATATTCGATCATAAGAAATACGAATGGCGGTGGTTGGTCGTCGTCATCTTTGCAGTCTGTTGATGGTGAAAAGAATGTCAGGTGAATCTGGATCATCAAACCATGGCCATTTTCATCATCATCGTCGTCGTTGTCCTGCTGTCATAACTATGACTACTACTATCATTTAGTTTCTTACAATGATGCTCTAATGTTTAAAGTTTGAAGAATGATGTCCAAGATCCGTGAGAAAATTTTTTTTTTCTGTTTTCACTTACAATATAAGATGAAACCCGCTGCTGCTGCTGCTGGTTGTCGTTCATCCATTTCTTAGAGCTAATGGACGGTGTGTGTATTTGTTTGTTTGTGCAAGGTAAGCTTAACTTTGTTCAAATCAAATACAACCAAACGGTATAACTTGATTTTCAAACAAAAAAAAACAGCCATGATATACCGTTTTGCATTTGTTTCATCATCATCATCATTATCATCAAAAAGATCATTATTTTCTTAGTGTCTTTGGTATAAAAAATGTAAATTAGTCTAGATTGTCTGAAATGACCATCAAATCAAGAAAACAAGAAAAGATTTTCACACGAAAAAACATTTTTAGTTCATAAAACAAATGATATGATTTGACATTTTGTTGTTGTTGTTTTTTTTGTTGGTTAAGCAAAATCAAGAAATATATCATGTGATGAATGTTAGTGAAAGAAACCCGGTAATTATCCATCTCTCTCTCTCTCTTTCTTTTTTTGTTATCATCTGCGCTAACAAACACACACACACACATACAAGTTTGATTTGTTTCTCATTCACTTGCACATTCATCCGTGATTTGTTAGTGAAACCCTATCGTATCGTATATGGCCAGCTGGACTTTGGAAATAAATATCATCATTAAACACAATGAATGAATGAATGAATGAATGAATGGATCAAAAACAACCCTTTCACCTGGGCATACAAAATAAATGATAATTATAGGGTATCAAACATATTCAATGAAATTACTGGATCATTTGATTGATTGATTGATTGATTTGATTTGATAAAAAAATTTTAAAAACAAAAAAAATAGCCTGTATTTTGACCATAAGTCAGAAGAAGAAGAGAATAAAGTGGAAAGTGAAAGTCTCATTTATGGATTGATAATTTTGAAATTAAGAAATTATTCCACCTAAGAAAATTTTTTTTTTTTTAATTATTAGTTTTCAGCTACCAATAGCTAATCATGATCATCATCAAGCATTATAATGGCAGCATATGGTACGCGCGTAAATTTTGGTTTCTTTTCTTCTTCAGAAAAAAAAAAAAAAATTGATGACACACACACACACATTGGTCTTTGGTAGCACACAAACAAGATGCAAATTACCAACCAGAAAAAAAAAATTTTGAATAAACAAATGGTAAGCACGAGCACACAAACATACACAGGTGTAGCAGAATTGGAAAAAAAAATTCTCCAAAAAAATGCCGTAACTATGATTACTATGGCCAAAACATCGACAATGATGATGATGATGATGATGATGATAATGGTAGCTCTCTTTCTCCTTCTTTCTCGAAACAATGATTAGCATCCCAAACCATCATATTGTGTATTGTATTCGTTATCATCACAATCAGCAGCAGCAGCATGAAAATAATAACAATTGAATAGTTGATGGTAAAAGAGAGAGAGGAATCTTTTGTTATCATCATTGAATCCAAAAGATTTCGTATATGTGCTCCGATTTCAATCTTTAGAAAATTTCTTATGATTTTTCTCTCTTTTCTTGTTTTGTTTCGTTGTTATATAACCACGATGATGACTACCATCACGGTGATGATGATGATGATGATGATGGTCATTTATTTCATCGTTCGGTATTATTTGCGATGCTTCAAGGCTTCAGAAACATCATCAACAACAACAACATTTGAAAAGAGCAGCAGCCAAGTCATTTAGAAAGTTTTTTTTCCATTCATTTCAAACGATAGAAAGAGAACGACGACCTACGCACAAATTTTCGATTTGCATTCATCAATTCGTAATGCTTGCTTGCTTACATTTAGGTTTTCGATGATGATGATGATGATTGTCCATCGTTTTCTTTCTTTCTTTTTTGTTTTGCTGATGCTTTGGCTCTCTATTGGATTGTCATGTATGTATAAGCTAATTTGATGCTTACTAAAAAAACAACCATCTATCGTGTATACTGTGTATATTGAAAGCGAATCACATCATCATCCAGGCCCAAAGTGATGGTGTCGGTATTCAAAATTTAAAATTTAGATTTTTTTTCAAAAAAAAAAAAATCAACACGAATGACGTAATGAACTCATGAGATGTGTGTGTGTATGTGTAGCTCATCATCAGCATTCGTGATGATGATGATGGTGGTTATTATTATTATGGTAATTACGTTTTGTCGATTTGAAGTAAGCAAATCAAGGATCAAGAAGCGGCCACACGTTCTTCTTGTCGGGGTGATCAATGTTGTTGTTGTTGTTGTTGTTGTCAATGTCCACATATCTTCAATGATGATGATGATAATAATAATGCTGATGATCATGATGTTGATGGACATTGAATTGAATGTATACCATTTTAATATCAACAATAAAGATTTTCACGATTCTTGGAGCAAGAAGAATTTCGATTTAGAAGAAATGAAGCTTTTTCATTTTCTTTTTCTTCGTTCTTCTTTCATTTACGTATATAGAACACATGATGAAGATTTGAATCCGAATAATAATTTTTTTCACAAACACACAGACACACACACACAAATAGCATTTGTTCTCCAGACTTTTCCGTTGTCATTATCGTTTCGTTTGTTTCGGTGGATTGTTGTTGTTGTGAATAGATAGTCGTCGGCCAAGACAAAAGGCTAATCTGATTTTTATGATGTCCCTTTTTTTCATCTTCTTCATCACATTTGTCTAGGTCTGTGTACCTGTTGTTTTTAAAAAAACCGATTGTAATCGTATTAGTACATATTATGTTCGAATCAAACAGTGATAACAACAACGTACCAACGTACACAGGTGAGGAACTCAAATCCATCTGGAGTGTAGTGAAAAATTTTTGTCTTGGTTTTTTTTCTCGGTAATAAAATCACCATTTATTGTCTAATAATATACACACATACATCGATGATCAGGGCAAATCAATACAACAAGGACGACACAATGGATGTTGATGATGTGAAGACAGGTGAATGTGTTGTTTTGGTTGGCCATCCCGATTTTAAATCCTGATGATTCGAAAGATTGTATTATTATTATTTTGATTTCGAAATATTATTTAGGATTTATACTTACATATATGTAATATAATCAATGTCGGCATTTTCATTCGATTTGGTGTGGCGATGGGAAAAATATTGATAAAATCTGTTTGTATTTTTTTTTTTTTTTTTTTGACTTTTTTCTGTTGTTGTAAATAAATTTTTTTGTTTCTTCGTTGCCGACGATTTAGTTTAGAATTTGATTTTCTTGTTATTGTATTATCGGATATATCGGATATATATGATGGTGGTGATGATGATGATGATGATGATGGATATGAATGGCCAATTATCTGATCTGTACTTATCTTCACAAATGAATGAATGATTACATTTGTAGCTAATTGAATCATCAGATTTATTCAAATTTCCACAAAAAAAAAAAAATTTTTCTTCTTGCAATGATAGATTATTATTGTTCCAGGATCATTGTAGCGTTTTTTTTTTGTTTCATATTCAAATATTTATATATTCTTATTGAATTGACGACTCAATTCATTTTGGCTGGAATGGAATAAAGGTGAAACAGACAGATGGTCAATTCATATTCAAATTTTTAAAGCCAGGCAGTGTCATCTTCATTCATTTCATTCATTCATTCATTCATTCGATTGTTGGATGGCTACCTGATTTTCTTGGTGGTCAATGAATAAAAGAGAGAAAGAAAAAAACATTATTTTGTGACAAATATTGTCAATAGTGTGTTAGTTTGTTGATTGTAAAGATTGGCATGATGATGATGATCTTCCTACTGATTTGGTCATTATTTATTTTTGATTCACTTTTTTTCTGTCTATTGTTGTGTTTGTTGTTTATATATTCGAATGTCAAACACAATCCACCAGATGACCATTCATTGGTGTGTGTGTGTGTGGTGTCTATTGTCATCCAAATCGGCTGATCCGATAACTTTTAGCAGTAGTAGTAATAATAGGCTACTATACTTCGATATAATTGGGTTCTTATTATTATCAATTATCAATCAATTTCTATTGTAATCATTTTTTATTTTTGACCAAATGGCCCCAAATATTTGTATTTGTATAATAATAATAATAATAATAAAACTAAATATTTGGAAACAACAAGATTGAGATATTTTTTTTGTTCATTCATTCATTCATTCAACACTATGATGAATATAATTGAATTGAAAACTAAACTTTTCATTCGAACACAAGAGAAACACAGTTCACATTTTTTACTGATCACCGATGATAGATTGGACATAGATTTGACCAATGGTCGATGATTTGATAATCAATTGGCGCCATGATGGCCATACAAGAAAAGTAAAAAAAACATTATGGTTTCAATTAAGTGTATCGTGCATCCAATGCGATAAATTAATGTATGGATGATCACATATAGATATACGCGACTCCCACGTAACATTAATTTTCATTTTTGGTTATATGTATAGGCGATAATAACACCGGCACACACACACACACACACACACACAAATATTATAAGTCACTTTTAATCTTCAACAACAAGATTATTGGCCCAAAGTTTTTTTTTATTTTGTATACGTGATTGCATGTATATGTTTTCTTGATTTTTGCAAAAAAAAACGTACAATGTAAATCGATTGGTCACACACACACACTGAGTGTTGGTTGAACACATTATCATCAAAATAAGAAAAAAAAATCTGAAAAGAAAATGTATTTATTTATTGGATTTATTCGCTCTTATTCTACCTGTTTGATTTTTATTTATTTATTTAATTCCTTTTCATGGTTGTATATACTGACCTTTTTTCAGCCGATTTTTGAGCAATCTGTTTTGTCCAGCCAATGATGCTGATGATGATGATGGAAATCTTGGGCTCTAAGTCTGTTTGTTGGTTTGTATATATTCAATTGTGAAATAGGATTAAAATGAATATATATTTCATGTGTGGTCAACATGTTAGAATGGAAGAAAGAGAGAGAGAGAGAGAGAGAGAAACATTATCAATGGCCAATATTTTTTTTTTTCAATAAAATCATCAGCAATTGATTTATGATCTGAATTGTTTATATTATGAATGATATTTCATCATTCGAGTTCCAAAAAAAAAAAAAATAAATAAAAATCGACAACACCTCCATCTATTGAGTAGCTCATATTCATGCACATGTTCAACAATATCCTGTTATATGAGCGTCCTCTACCATCGTGTGTGTGTGTTTGTGAAAAATGTGTTTTTCTGTGATTAATGAGTGATGATGCGAAAACTTTTTTTTCTATGAAATTGTCATCATTTTGGGTCGAAAAAATTTTCGAATCAACCGATGATATATTTTTATTATTGTGAAATTCGTTAATGATCTCCAAAACCAAAATGGATTCATCAAATCCAATCGGGTATTTACAAAATTTGTGTTCAAAAATTGGATGGCTTCTGCCTATTTATAAAGAAATTAAACCATCTCAACAATCTACCAATAAATTGATGTATTCAACTCAATGTATATTGAATGATATTGTTGTCATTGGTGAATCGAATACGAAAAAAAATTCAAAAAAAGATGCTGCCATAAAAATGATGAAATCATTGAATGAAAATTATCGTTCAACTATAACAATATGTAATCTTCAAACTGGCATTAAAGGTAATTTTATTCTATTCATATAATGATTAAAAAAAATTCTTTTTGAATGCAGAAGAAAAAATTCGATTACTACTTTCGGATATTCATTCAATAAAAACGATTAAAATGTTGTACGATATGCATAGTAAAGGATTAGCAAAAGCTGAAGTGATTGTTGGCGATATATTGGATATGCTTGTTGCTAAGAAATTATACAATGGTTATTCATATCAAAGTAGGTGTTTTTTATAATTTAGAATTAATTCAATTAGAATAAATGTATGTATATATTAACCATAACCCATTTTATAGACCGTAAACTTTCTGTAACTTGTCAAGCTGAATTGATCAAAACGCCAGAGATTGACAAGCAAACAAAACGTAAACGAAAATCAAAAAGAAATCGTTTGAATCGTAAATTTGCCATGTTGGATGAAGAAAAACCAAAAAAACAACACCAAATGGACATTTTTCTTGGTACTGATGATGATGATGAAAATGAAAATGATAAAAGTTCAAAAAAAGATGTCCAAGATGACAATGACACTGATGATGACAACAAATTTTTGGTTATCGATGATTTTACTCATCCGAAAATTGTGCCTGATCACAAACCAATTGTTCCATTGGATTCCGAAGTAAATGGTTATGATATTGAAAAGAAATCTGGCTCAGAATTTAGTTATTGTGATGGCGACAATAAAATTGTCAATATTGACAACAATAATATCAATTTTCAATCGGTTTCTTATCATCGTGACTATAAAAAACTTGGTTTTGTTGAATCTGGTGAAGATCGTTCCAGAATTCTTTTGACTCATTCCATTAAAAATTGTTCGAAATTCATTTGTGCTAGTATGATTAACTCCGATGATGAAATAATTAATTGTGAAGCAATTATCGATGATAATGATAATGATCAACATCCAGAAATTGTTCCAACTGATTTTTCAGCTGATGATAAACAAAACGACACGAAAGAATTGACCATTGATGAATCCATTGCTCGTTATTATCAACCTGTTAGTGATGAAGAGATTAAAAAATTACAAGTTGGCTGTTGTAACACATATATGGATGATTTGTGGGAAGATTTCCAGAAAGCTTTGAAAACAAGACAAAATATGATCAACGGCAATGATTCAGTCGATGATAATGACTCAGCTATAATTAATTGTGAACCAATGGTCGATGTTTCTAAATCGGTTCCAAATCAACATGACTATAAAATACCTGATCATAATGATCAATCCGAAGAAGATCGTTCCCGAATTCTTTTGGTTAATTCAATCAAAAATTGCTCAAAATTTACTTGTGCCGATATGATCGACGGTGATGATTTGGATAATTCGGATTCATTTGATTATGAATCAATTGTAGATGATGATGATGATAAAAATCATCGTTCAGAAATGGTTTTTTGTAATGGCGAACGAAACGATAAGAAAAAATTAATCATTGATGATTCTATTGCTCATTATTATCAGCCTATCAGCAAGGAAGAAATGAAAAAATTACAACTAGGCAGTTGTAATACATATATCGATGGATTATGGGAAGATTTTCAGAAAACATTGGAACCAAAACAAAAACTTGCTACCGATACTTTGTGTGATGGACTATTCCACAAATGAATGAACAACAATTGAAATGACTACTAATTTTTGAATCTTTTGAATGTATGTAATGTTTATACTTATTTTGATTTATTGAAAAAAAAATGATTCCTAATGACCAAATAATAAAATCCTAAATTTATTTCACCTATCAAATCAAAACATTTGATGATGATGATGATGAGTGTCAATCTTATTGACACCCAAAAAACTTGAATCCTGTCAATGTGTTTTTTGGTGGTGGTGGTGGTGGTTGTCAAAATCTGTTTGATCAAAACTGAATCAGTGTTGGCTCCATCTCATTGATCAATTATTTCAATTTCTGATCAAACACATCTTGGTTCGGCATCTTTTTGATCTGTTTTTTTTCGCTTTCTTGTTCGCTCTCTCTCTCTCTTTATATTATCAAAAAAGTTCGGCGCACTTGATTTTGATTTTTTTTTTCGAATTGAAATGGTCATTTTTCTTTGCTATCTTTTAAATGGTAAAACTTTATTTTTTTCCAATGAAAATTTCATACAAACCATATGATGGACTATATGATATTTCGATTCATCAATTGAGTAAAAACGAACAAAAATGAAAAATCCCGAATCACACACCCCATTATGTGATGATTAGAATAAGCCGATTTGCAATATAAGTTTTGTTTCGATTATTCGATTCAATATTCATCTATACAATGTTACCAAATCATGATGATGATGATGATAATCATCATCAACAACAACAACATTAAAATACGGATTTGTAAATACCATTTAGGGTTGAAGGTCTTTCGATCATTATCAGCATCATCATCATCATCATTATGATGATGGTTATATGCAGATTGATTTTTTTTTTCATTTCGTTTCTTTACTTTGATTTGAACTTTCTGGTATTTCTTCTTTTTGATTTGATTTAAATTTTGCCCCGTAGCCAAGTTTTGTTCAATCAGGCGCGTCTCACAGTCACATAAATGTGATTTGATGATGATAAATTTTCTTCATCATCGTCAAGTTGGAGACAAGTTGTCATGATGATGATGATGATGATGTTGCTGTTCAAAAAAAAATGTTGATTAAGACTTGAAATCCATTCATTTATTTATCCACATTTGAAGAGAAACGGATCGGTAATTTTTTTTTAATTTAAAAAAAAAATTCGATTGTCGTTTTTTTTTCATTAATGACAAGTTGTGAGAAAAGAAATAAGCGTGAACAACCTGTTCACGATACCTGTAACCGGTGTGTTGTTGTTGTTTTTTATATATAAACGTGATCAGTGTGTTTTTATTGTTGGCCTCTTGTTGTTGACGCCAGAGAAAGAATGATATTTTGTGGTGGACACATTTTTGTCATCGAAAAAAAAATTTTTTTTTTCTTTGAATTTTGATAGCCATTTGTTCAATAAAATAAACTCTTGCTTGTTTTTTAGCCAAAAAAAAAACGAAAAGGTCATCAATAGTTTGTGTGTCTAGAGTCTAGACACACACACACACACAGAATGATTATGATCGTTGTTTTTGTTTCCATAAAACTCTTCATCTTTAGCATCATTTAACATTATGACGATGATGATGATGATTAACCAAACGATAGGTAGATAACAAACATAGATAGCATATTACTACCTGTGGAATGAATTTTGTGTGTGTGTGTGTGTGTATGTGTATATATGATGATTATGGACTCTGAACTTGACTCTAAAGTCACGCGATAAACATACACATTGTAACCACTATGAAAACATCCAAACAGATTACCATTATCATCATCATCATCATCATCATCATCATCATCATTGTTTGCCTTTTTTTTTCTTCTGGTTCAAAGTTCCAGTTTTTTCAGTTAATTCAATTTTTTTTTGTTTTGTTTTGTTTTTCTCGACCATATGACGACGACATTGACTATATTGAAATGAAATGAAATGTGATGGAGATAAACGACATGTGTTTCGACGCTTGTCGAAGTGAAGTGAAAAAAAATGAAAAAAATTCAGTTTGACAGGTTGTTCGAAAGCAGAATGTGAAAAAAAAACCCGAAGAGCCTCTCAAGTTGCATGTAAAGATTTTTTTTTTTTTTTATTTTGATGAAGACGATTCTCGACGATGCTTTCTATCTCTCTCTCTCGCACAAATTGATCGATAATGATCGATAATAATAATATTTGGCCACCACACAAATGTCTTTGTAGCAATACATACACACTGCTTCATAATATTTACCTTTCTGCTTTTTTTTTTTTTGTAAATCTGATCATCATCATCATCATTGATCAATGAAGGAGATGTGATTCTTCCATGCAAACAGTGATTATTATTATTATTTTTTTTGTCCACTTAAATTAAATTAATTCTTTTGAATAATATGATGACCTCCTCAGCACGTCTCTCTCTCTATCTATCTCAGTTTCTGTTTATTCATATGTATATATAGAAGTTCAAATCAAATCTCCCGAAAAAAAAATAGATTGATGGCCATCTTCGGTTAATAAGTGGCTATTTTGATTTTGATGATGATGATGATGATGATGGTGGGCAATGTTGGTGAAGATGCTTTTTTGCTTCTCTTTTGAATATCTACAACAACAACAACAACAAATATTCGGCGACAACATTCAATCATTTGGTGTGTGTGGGAATAGAAGAAGAAGAAAAAAAAATTCAAGACCAAACACATTTTTCACCATTGATTTTCGACATTGAACATATCCATCTATCGTTTCATTAATTTAGCTAATCTCAAGTTTCGATTTTTTTTTATTTTATTTATTTATAATATATGTTGGCTCCCACTATACACTATAAATCGATCGATCTTTTTTTTTGCAGGTTCACTGTTTGACCCTCTAGATGTAGAGAATAAAATTAATTTTCATGAATATCACTATATATACGAGATTGATGTAGAATCGACCTGGATTGTTCAATATATTACAGCATCATCACTTGTTGTATAATACACTTGTTGCACACATACATACAACATATGGTTATTGTTAATCCATCGTTTAGTCACGAATTTTTGTTGTTGTTGTTGTTGTTGTTGTTGTTTTTTTGGCAATGTCCATATAGCTTTATATTTCAGGTTTAATATATAATATGAATATTAATTGCATCTATGTTGCAGAACTTTGATTTAACTGATCATTTTTTTTTCTTGAATATAAATCGAGTGAAAGAGAAAAAAAAAGATAGATTCGAACGATCCATTGGAATGTTTTTTTTTTTACTTTGGCCATGGCAATAATGGAAGGGAGGGGGTAAAAATGGCAAAAAAAATCGTGACTTTTAAATATGGAAAAAAAACATGGATAATTCGACAAATCTTGAAACGAATATGCATGTCAGAAAGGGATATGTTCGTTTATGTTTTCGATGTGTGTGTATGTGTGTTTTTTGTTGTTCGGGCTGTCGATCACCACCATCATCATCATCATCAACAAATTCAACCGGATTTATTTATCCATGCTAAATGTGAATGAAAGATAATGAAATTCCTTCAAAAATAAATTGAGAGTTAATTATCCATAGACAAAAAAAAGGGGCATGGTCGTCGTCGTCATCATCATCGTCGGATGTTGTCGCGCCCATCATCAATTGTTTGATCACAATGGTCGTGTGTCGATTGATAGCTAGATCGATCTATCGATAAGCAACCCAATCGATACGATTATTAATAATCCATTTATTACCATCGATGATTAACAAACAGTGTGTGTGTGTGTGTGTGTGTTGACAAAACGAGAAAAAAAAACAGGAAATTATCAAAGTAATAAAATTTGAATTTTAAAATCAAACTTTTCAATAAAAAACAAACTGTGAACCACTCCTCTCCTGTGAACACAGGATGTAAGATTGTTCCGTTGGACAAAAAAAAAAAAAATAACAACAATCTTTGTTGGTTTACCGCTAACGGTTGAGGTTTTTTTTTCACATTTATTTTGTCAAGTCAACGACCAACATTGTGCAATGGGCAATGACTTTATTTATTTTGTCATTTTTTTTCTCTTCTGGAACATTTTGTTTGTTGATGTTGTTTTCAATTTTTTTTTTCATTTTTTTTCTCGAGCATCCTTCAACTACATTCATTCATTACCAACAAAAATAGGCGGACGTGTGACAAGCAAAAGAGAAAAGAAACAGTCTATTGTTATACGAGAAAAAAAACACACACACACAATAGGATGTTGTCGTGCTATATTTTCATTCTTAAGATGTCAAATACCATTCACCATGATGATGATGATGATGATGAGTACGATTACTCCCCGGTTATTATCATGTCATCACGAATTTGGCGGGTTGTTGTTTTTTTTTGTTAAGGCAATTTTCTTGTCCCAAGTATATGTTGTTGTTGTTGTTAAAAATGAAATGCCTGTCCAATTCCATTGATGATGATTATTATAATTGAATTATATGTCGACATAGAGGGCTTGCCATTTCAACAAATCTCAAAATAATTCGGGTTGTAACCACAAACTCGCACACACACACACACACACATTTTGATTTGTTGTCTTGGCCTTGTGTGTTTTTTTGTTTCTGTTGTTTTCCAAAATAAGAAAAAAAAATTCCAATTTTCTTTTATTTTTTTTTGTCTAGTCAAAAATCAAAATGATCAGTAATGAAAAAAATAAAAAATCCGAACTAACCAAAGGTGCCAGATTCAGAATTTTTGGCCATCAATCACACACACGCACATTGTTAATATTTAGCTTTAATTGACTAATTTCATTAATATTAATGAATGATAATCGATCAATAGATTGATCGATTGATCACGTTGCACACCTTTATATTAACAAATAGCTTAAATATTAATAATATTTTTCTTCATTTTTTTTTCTTTATGGTTAATATTTACTCGAATAATTATACCTTGACCATTTTGTGTGTGTTATATAATCCAATCTAACCGTCCAAATGATGTTCATTATCAATCGATTCATTTTTTTTTTACTTCATTTCGCACCATAGCCATGAGTGGGTAGTCCGGCAAAAAAAAAATCAATTTCACTACCAAAATTTGCCGGCATCAATTCTATCTATTCTATATATAAATCGCAAGTTAGCAAACGAATTATTATTTTATTTTGGCTGTTAAAAAAAATGAGATAAAAACTATGAAAATTTGCTTGCGGCATCATCATTTGCTTGTTGC